GTACATAGCAATATTTCGTCAGCGAAAGTGCTCACAATATTTAAATTTGTGAATACTGAGTAAGGCTATGAATAATGTGAAGTGAAGGACTCGCTACAGTACTAGACTCATGAGGATGAAATAGTCGAAATGTGCCAGCGATAAAGTGCCAAAATTTCCTAAAAGTCCCACACGAAGTAGCAAAGCTCTTCAGTTTTGAGAAAGGATGTGTTTCTGGTGGAAAGCAAACTGTCTCTAATTTTCTATCTAAAAACTAATTTTTTACTAATCAGCAATCCTTTTGTTTAATTTTATTCTTTTTTTTGACAAGAAGTGCTTTATCTTTGAGTGTTTGTAGCTGATCATGAAATGACTTTAATTGATGCTCCTGAAATACGAACTCGTCTATTGCCTCTGATTTCAACGTCTAATTTTTATTTGAGACAATATCATAATATAAATGAAAAAAAAAATACGATTAGTCACTTTGTCTCATTTTTTTAATGGAATCCATCAGCACTCTTAGATTACAACAAAATTATAAAAAGACATCTACAGTGAACCTATGGGGTTTGTGAAGTTACTGTACTCGTGTTTGTCTTACACTGAGCTCATATTTGCTGTCCCGAGGTATTTACCTTCAATTCTTGACCTCTAATATTGGCGATTATATTGACCGATAACGGTAAATGTCGTGTATGTCTTAGCAATGTAGAAGAATTTGTTCTGATCAAGATGGCGAGTTATTGACCAACCTCAGTTTGTTGCTGTCGTCAATGTTTTTTATTATTATTTTAGTTTAAATGGACAAAGTCGAGTTGCATTTATAAAAAACAAACAAACAAACAAACAAACAAAAAAGACTCCGCTTGGTCGACATTCAGCCATGTTGGTTTGGGCCTCGCGATTCACCAGTGACATATCAAATACTTACATTAAGGACGTGTTTGCTCATTTTAGAAATGCGTGCGATCTGACACTTCCTCACCCGTCCCCTCCTCGTATTATTTTGTAATGGTACCTCCTTAAATGGTAATTCGGGTTCCATGAAACCTTGTGCGCCTTGCACATTTTCCCGCTCAAAATGTAAATTGTAGCGCGGGATGAAGACGAAATGTTCGAAGCTCGCAAAGATAAAATGAACAAATTTCGTCGTGAATGGATTGATTTCTGATAGAACACAGTGCCTAGATGTACCCTGTCCCAGTGTGGTTAAGCAATCTAATTTCGGAATTGAATCAAAATCGGGTAAGTATCACATAATTATATGCGAAAGCTTTCTATTTAACAAATAGAGAAGCCTTGACTGTGCTCTGTTCTGTTGTAAAGCACGCAGGAAGCGGCTAGAGCACGAAAGAAGTGTAGGGGGAAACACGAGACGTAGTCGAGTGTTTCTCCCCACTTCTTGAGTGCTCTAGCCGCTTCCTAAGTGCTTTTCAACAGAACAGAGCACAGTCAAGGCTTCTCTATTTGTTTTATAATAAAATAATCCGTTAAATTCCCTAAGAATTACTTTCAATTTTCAAAACAAATCTTATTTCCAAAGCGAACAACAGTGTCGTCAGCATGCTCTATACTCTCATAAAGCACGCTACAATAAGCCAATCAGAATCCCTGTTAGAATGGTTCAAATAATCTGATTGGCTGTACAAGACTAAAGCTGTCAAAAATGTCAAACCATCAAAATTCAAAAACCATCAAAGTTCATATTCTGCAATAGTTTACAAACTAAAATAGCTCGGCATGTCGAATTTAACACTTTTGCCTGAAGTTTTTTAGTTTCTAATACAGGATCTGAAAGTGAAATGTTCAGTGAAATTCGGCCCAATCGTGGCTCACAAAAATACGCAAGTTATTTCACATGACAAGTAGAAAACAAACTGTTCAAGGCGAGTGAATTATGAAGGAACAACAGCCGAATTCACTAAGAAATGAAGATCGCTCGGAATGACAGCGCCGTAAAACTCGGTTGCAGTGACTGATCTGGCCTTCCACTCAACGCATCGGAAAGGTAATCAGGGCAGGCTCTTATTTTTTCACTCGAAGGGTAGTCGATTTAGTTCCTGAGGCTTGCTCCATTGCGATGACCGAAGATCGCCATGATTAGGTAGCCGCGATAGACCTTAAGTCGCTCTGACACCGTCATGATTAATATGAATTTTAACAGTTATGCCAGGTTATATTTTTCATCATTCCTGTTTTTTTCTGTTTGAAATCGAAACTTTATATTATTATACAAGTGTTAGCTGTGTTTGATTTTTATTACCGCACGTAAACTCGCAATCCAACTGAGCGTGAAAACCGTTAAAAAAACTCGGACTGTCTATCTTGTGTTATCTTTGAGGATTTTTGTCTCTGCTCACGTTACAGTAACGTAAATTACTGCGCCTGGCATTTTTGCAAACCTTTGCTCTCTTGTTCCGAAATTTCACTTTCAATTAACGAAAGAAAAGCTAGAAAGAAGTCCCGGAAAAGGTCGGACATAGTACGATTTGGCAGATGGCGTGACAGCTTTAGCTCAGTTCTATGCTCTATACTCTCATAGAGCACGCTCTTTCAACCAATGACAGTACGTGTTATATCCGAGCTTTATTATAATAGCCGATCAACGAGAAAGGCAATAGCCAAATCGGCTGATTTGGCGACAATAGCGTGTTTATCCCCGGCACGTTTTTCTGCTAATCAATATATGGCTAGGTGGTGATTCAATTCGAGTATGGCCTGTCATTTATTTGCCTATTTATTGTCGCTTGCCACAAGAAGTGGAAGCCCCTTAGCAGCTTGGACAGTACCACATGAGATGTAGAAGGCCTGAGGTCTGCGATGTAGCCAGAAATGAGGTTCCCTTTGATCCAATTGTAAAACTTAGACACGTAAAAATATTTGGCCTTTTCACACATCACGAATATTATCCACAATTCTAACACGTTCGCGCGAAATTTAAGACGATCAAGTTTCTCATAAACTGTGATAAAAACCAAATTCACGAATTGCTATTTTCCTGTTTGTAGCGTCGTAATGCATGACGAGCTTTATGTCGGAAAAAATATGATGCTAATTAGCTGGCTGCACATTCAATGTGCAGCCAGCTAATTTGCATAAGTAATTCAAGCCAAGGTTTATGCCTCTGGCTGGCACAAGGTGTTTGCTAAAATTATGGTCTGATGTGATCGCTGTGTAAGGAGGGGAAAAAAAAGAGCTTAAAAATAACTATTAGATATACACTGCCCGAGAGGGCATAGAAGAATAGGCCTCCATGATGAGAGCATGCCAAGTGATTCCAATCCAAGATTTATTGTGTTATCTTAATTGAAGTATTTATTATCAGGTAAACCTTTAACTTATAATCAAAAGGTTTAAGTAACTGCATAGACACCTACCAACTGCAAGCGTTAATGTAATTCTCTATATTGATGACAGAAATGATAGTGCCTCTGTAGAATGCATGCTTCAAATTTTATGTTATTTATATAACATTGAAATGGTATGTTTTTGGAAAGTGCTGCAGGTACTGATTGATCAAACAACCTTTTTGTTGTATTTATTATACTTATATTACCAAACCTTCAGTATTAAAATTTCACTGTAAAGTACGACCAGTTTCTAACATTCAGCGAGAAACACTTCTTGTACATACCAAAATAAATAATGTTTACTTAATTCAGCCTATGATAAGAAAGTGTATTACAAAAGTGCTAAACTAGCACTGTAGTTGCAAATGTCTTTACGTGCTTAATTTGTCTCATTGACGAAACAACATGAAACAAATTGATCCAAAGCTCAAAGCAAAATGAAGAAAAGAGATTAAGGCATAGAAGATGATTGTAACTGAATCATGCTGTCCTAAACAGAAAATAAACTTGATCTATACTTCATCAGATGCAATCCATGACCGAAGTGTTTAATTATGCAAACCGCACTCCACTGCAGTTGGTGCATGTGTATGAGCATTATTTTCCATTGTCTCATTTCAACCCAAGTCTCTCTCAGGAAAACTTGCTCTCAACTACGCATGTGTAGAATAATTTATGCATACCTAATGAATTACACACTTTGATCATGTTGAAGTCCTAATGCTACTGAAACCTGAACTAGGGGAAAATAATAAATTAAGCCTGAAATATACAAAATGCAAAATAAAACCTTACATATGAAACAAAGGAAGCACACAATTTAAGACTAATTTACATTAAAATACAAGAATGCAAAAACTAAGCAAAGCAGGAACAAAGACAAATATGTAATTGCTGGTAATCCTGGTGTTCATAATCCTCTAATGCAAACTTGTTACCTGAAGTCCTGAGTTGTATTGAGCAGTGTGGGAACAAGCTGACTCACACTGGGCATGAATCAACTGAGCTCAAAACAAGTTTGGATGTGAAACAACTACACACTAAATGAACAATGCTTATTTTGCTGTTATGAAAACAAAGAACCCTTCATTCCTTTGTTATTAAAAGGAACAATGCTTTTGGAGTTTATCATCAGACATTTTAATTCTGATCATGTGATTGATTTCTGTGTAGTCCAAGTCTGCATGGTGTTGTCAGTGACCAACACTGCTTGAGTGATAAAGAAATCACAAATTTATGAAATGTCCGTTGGTATGTAACAAGTATATTGTATTATAGAAATGAACAATGCTTATAGATTCATCACATGTTTTAATTCTGATCATCATCCTCATGGTGTTGTCAGAAATGTAAAGCACTTTTAATCAGTGATAAAGATTTCTCAACAACATGCCTATTTACAATCTGTAAGTCTGATCTTTAAAGTAATTGTTTCTACTGGCAACATGATTCAAGTTCATGTGACATGACTAAAAGTTTTAGTTGACTTGACTACAGTTTTGGGTGATATGGCTGCAGGTGAGATGATTTTCAGGTGACTTGACCTGTTACCATGTAGAACACACTCACATCAGTTATGATGCAAGATTTGAGATTAGTAACATCTTTGTAATTTCCTTTCAGGAGAGCTGGAATTAGTTGGCATCTCATTATTCTCTATAAGTGAAGATGGTGTTTAAAATAACCCTCCTGGCTGATGAATTCAAGAAATCAAAAAAAGGTGGTCTGTCTACCTTGAATAGACAGCTAGCTATACAACTTGCTAAAGTTCGGACTGTAAAGGTTCGCGTGTTAATGCCTAAAGCCACTGAGGAAGACCGAAGAGATGCTAAGAAGCACAATGTCAATATAATTGAAACTTTGAAGTGTGTTGGCCTTGAAGAAGCTTACTGGTTAGGATATCCACCAGACAATTTTGATACTGACATTGTAATAGGTCATGATATAAAGCTGGGATGGCCTGGTCATGTGATCAGAAGATTGTGTGGTGCAAAATGGATGCATGTTGTTCATACAAATGCTGAAGAAGTCGGCATACACAGGAATCGCGAAGGTGAAATTTCAAGAGGCGAAGACAAGCCGGAGATTCAAATGAATCTGTGTGAAATTGCAGATTTGGTAGTAACAGTTGGCCCTAAGCTGAAAAGTAGTGTTTCTGTGAGCGCTTGTTCTAGTGACAAGGTCTTTAATTTTACACCAGGTCTTTTTGAAGAATTTGTAAATGAGCGTAAAGAGCTAAACAAAGGTAATCGATTTGACATCTTACTCTTCGGAAGGGGAGATCCTGAAGACCTTGAAGTTAAAGGATTTCAAACTGCTGTGGATGCATTTCGTACATTAAAGCGAGAGGACAAGACATACAACATGATGATTGTTGGAGCCCCAGAAGGAAGTCAGGACGACTTGATGGCAAAGTTGACAAGCAGTTCTGCAGATAGCGCTAGGCCATTGATAAGAAGGTATGTAGAAGACCGAAAAGAGCTGATGAAGATATTCATTGGTGTTGATCTTGTGTTAATGCCATCAAAGACAGATGGATTTGGTCTGGCAGGGCTTGAAGCCCTGTCAGCTGGGGTAGCCATCCTTGTGTCAAGCAATTGTGGCTTGGCAGAAGTACTTGAAAAAATTGCGAATGGCTCACAATGCATAGTGGAGGCTGATGATGACTGGGTAAAGGCCATCAAGAAAGTGAGGCGAAAGAGCGAAAGAACCCGCAATGAGGAGGCAAGAATGCTTCGTGACAAGTACAATGAGATGTTCTCGTGGAGTTCCCAGTGTGATGAACTGGTGAAAATAATGAAAAAAATGTGTCAAGGTGAGCATATGTAACTGTTTCTTTTGCCAATAGTTACTGGATTGTGTGACAAAGTATCCCTTCCATTCCATAATTTGTTAACCCTTTAACTCCCATGAGTGATAAAGACAGAATTTCTCCTTACAATATCAATACAATATCATGCACACAAGTGATGAGAATAAAGAAAAATATCAACAAGGGGATAAGTAGTTGATCCAATACCAAATTTTCTGAATTAAAATCTTAAGAATTGTGTGGTAGTCAGTGAGGAGAATTACTAATAAGTCTTTGGGAGTGAAAATGAACCCAACAGCCTGTTATCAGTAAATGTAAATGATCCTGGGTGTCTTGTGTATGTCACACAGTCCTGTTGCAGAATACAATCACAAGCATGTAAAGCAAATACCATCAAACTTCATTTAAATCTAGTTACCTAAGACTGTAATTAGTTACCGCTTTGAGTGCTGAAAAAAAACCAAGCAGACCACAGGCTGCCCAAGCTCACATCTCGAGAATAAGCCAACAATTAATTCATGAACATGTCATGTGTTGTGTGACTCGGTGTTAAGTTAGGAGAGGAACCGTTGAAAATTTGAACACATTATAAGGAATAGTATGGGGAATGAAATATGGTCGATTTACATTGATAAATGTTTCAAAATATGAACTGTAAGTGATATGAATTTTTCAGTGTTTTAGCAGCCACAATCCAAAAGAAATTCAAACAAACAACCTTGAATTGAGATTGGTGAAGGCTTCTCTGTCCATTCATCAACCTGACCAAGTGGTACGAAAGGCGATTGATGTGTCAGCAGCTGATTGGCAATATCAAACACATGAAAAGATATGATATTTTTTCACGTGTTGTTACAGCTTTTCTTTAGGGCTGGAAATCCTTGTGTAATACCTTAGTTTATGTGATAAACAATGTCATTTTTGTCTTTGAGTTTGAACTACAAGCTAAGACTGCAGTTTTAATGTCCTGTATCATGGAATTGTATTTCCTGTATTATGAAATGAATTATTTAGAAAATGAAATCTGCAATAATGTTAAATGTGCAAGGAAGACCTGTCTTCCTCCTGGCTAGTATTTTAATTTATCTCCATCTTATAATCTGAGTGTACTACATGAAACTGTGAATTGATTATAACAAAATCAGTTATCATATGCTGTTAGATATTTGAGATACACTGAACAATGCAAGACTACATTCCTACCTCTGACTAGCAATTGGTTAAACATAAGTACCACTCCAAAAGATGCTTCAAAAAAGAGAAAGTCCACAGACCAAAGCAAACCAGGCAATGAATCTGGAGGTGAGTTGTCTGACCTATTTTTTCATGATTGTGTTGCATCCTGTCAGACAGAGTTAACAACATAATACTACATTCCTCTGACTCAACCTCTATAGTTATTGGGCTTTCTGTTGATACTTCTGACTAGTATGTCAAAATATAGGTGCCACTCCAAAGACTGCTTCAAAAAAGAGAAAGTCCAGAGACAAAAGCAAATCAGGCAATGAAGCAGGAGGTGAGTCATTTGATCTCTTGTTTTATGGTTGTGTTGCATCCTTTCATACAGGAAATTAATAAAGGTCCAAGTAATGTAAATAAGTTGGAAATATTCTTTTGAAACAAAACACCCATCTGTTACACAATATTAATTAAGCTAAAAACAACAATTGTGACCTTTTCCTTATCAAAATGAACCCAATACTCCGGTATCAGGAAATGTAAATGTTCCTAAGTGTCTTGTGTGTGTCACACAGTCCTGTCACGCAGTACAATCACAAGCTTGGTAATGTCTCCACTGCCTTATTTCAGCACTTCAAACGGTACGGTGGTTGTGTGTAAGGCAAGGGAAAATTTTTGGCAACTAATGTTTGCAGCAATTTGGTGACTTGCTTGGCAGTCATGAAGCAAACTGTAATATTTTATTTCCCATTGTTTTATAGTTTTGAGTTTAAGATGGATATAGTGAGACTTGCAGAGATATTTTTTTATATTGCAAAAATGTTCTTTCCTTTTTTTTATCTTTGGTTTTTTCTGCCTAATAGTTAATTGCAAGAATTTTGCTTTTATTGATGAAGGTTGATTTTCACAGGTCTGATAGATGCCATGTTGGAGAAATGTTTTTCCCAACTTAACATGTTTAGTCCTTACAGAAATTTTGTCACACACTTGAAGGGTTAATTTAACCTTTCTTAACAATTCTAGGAGTTACTGGGATGTCTGGTGAAAGGGAAGATGATCAATCAGAGTCAAATGAGATGAGTACAGTGGCAGAAGAAGCTGGTAGGTACAGTCTGTATGTTGCTGCAATGCAGGATGAACTTTACAGACTGAGATAAAAAATTCAAAGGCAATTGAAGGGTTTATTTTGAGCTGACAATTCAATGATTCTTGTAATCTCGAGGCAAATTAAATATTATAACACAACAAATTGACAACTAAACACATTAAAACATTGCAAATAGGAGTAAAAGATAAGAATGTGACCTACATATGAGGCAGAGCCCCCAGTTGCAATGCCAACATCAAATACTTACAATGAAAAGCAACAAATCTTAATTGAGCAAGCCTGCATAAAATAAACCAAAATATAAGAAAAGAAATGTGAATATCTATCCCACACCGTGAAAGGTTCAGACTAAGATGGCAATGAAACGGCAACAACAAGGTAAAAGTGCAGATGGCAGGACCAAGAGCTTACTTGAAAAAATCAACCAGAGAAAAATGAACTTTGTACAAATGACATGATGTGTGTAAATTTGATTATTGTACACTTGAAGATTAATATAACCTTTCCTAACAATCTAGGAGCTAACGGGATAGCTACAAGTCCAAACAAAGATGAATCACAGGAAAATAACGAGAGTATGGTAAAGGAAGTCCATGGTGAGTGTGGTTCAATCTCCATTCATTGTCCTCTATGTACATGTACATGTTCACAATCTCACCTTACTGACACACATGTACTCTTTGCAATTATTTCATTGTTGTTAATTGTCTATTGAATCTAGAAGGTGCCAATGAGAAAGTGCTAGAAGAAGTATCTGAAACAACTGAGCAAGAAACAGGGTTTAGAGGTAAATTATTCTTCAGCTCTCTTTTCCACCTTTTTTTTTTTAATGAAATGTGACTATATAGAATGTATGTTTTAGTAACAAGTGGGGTTATGATGACTTCCACCAAAAAAAAAACATTTTGCAGTCATTACAACCAACAACAGATCATATCAGAGCTGTTATGGGCAATTGGGAAGGACCCAGGAATGACTAGCCCCTTCTGGTCTGTATTTTAGGGAAGTTTGTTTTAAAGAAAGTGGGTATATGTAAATGTGAGGGTGTCTCAATAATTTATATATATTAACTCAGGTTCATATAGCTTCAATAACTGATATTTTATCAAATAGTTTTTTTTAATAAGTACCAAGAGATAAACATATTAAGAACCACTTACTTTAAGGAAAAAAGAGGTAAAAGTTCAGACACTTTTCAGCAGTATCACACCATTTAGACACAATCACAAGCCATTTAACATTTAATTCATATTCACATTGATCAAAACATGGCAAATTTCCAGCCTCAGATAACTTGTTTTATAATAAATTCTTAAACAAAGATCTGAATTTCCCATATATTTTTTTCCATAAAAAGGCATTGCTCTTTCATGATGAAGAAATTGACCTTGGAAATATCCTTACAATTTTATTCTTGAATACCAACAAATTTATGTCTTACATGTACATAATTTCTACCAAGTTCAAAAATATTCTGGGATAACCATAACTTTAAAATCAAAGTGAGTAATGGCTGTAGACTATATCTCAGCATTTTTCTATTGTTCTCTTTTTAATGGTGGGCATTTGATATTGAAGAATTGCAGACTTTGATTTCTCCTGGTGGAACCTCAGCCAATGGAAACACTTCATGCACAACATGATAGGAAGCAGCTAGCACTGTGCAGACAAAAAGATGCTCCATAGATGAAAAAATATCTACAGGATTAAATTGTGAAATGGTCTTAAATTTGGAAATTAGTTCATATAGGTATATAATAATATTAGAGAAACTAAAGTACATTTTAGAAATAATTAAGCAAGAAATGTCAAAATTAACTGCATGAGGTACATGTTCACCTAAAATTAGTCCAGTTCATTGTTCATTTTGATGTAGGAAGAATTTTGGTATTTATCTTGTCTTTCTGTTAGACAATGTCAGACCTTGTTTGACATTTGATTTAACAGTGAACGTTTACTTTACATCATTACAGTTAACAGACTATACAGTTATAGGAAGTCTCTTCAATTTACAGCTATAGTGTGGTCTTTTCATGCAATGTATTCTTTAGCATTATGGTGTGCTGCTTGATAAGACCAAGCAATGGCTTTGCTAGAGACTTAATTAATAATAAAATAATAGCTTTATATTTTTTTATATGGATCCTAACTAACCTAGTGCATGAGAAACAGTGGGTCTATAATGCATTTATTCATGGGTTCATTTGAGTGTACACAATCAAGACCAGTTGCCACTTGGAAGTGGTTGATGTCAGTAGAAGAACTACTACTAATCATTTAGAAGTGAAGCTAGGTAAATACTAGGATAGTGTATAACTCCAAGTCTGAAAACGAATTTTATTAACCATTTTTTTAAAATTAAAACTACTTTACATTGTCAAGATTTCAACCTTGGGTTGTTTTAAACTCAAGTGTCATTTTGTGTTGTAAACCAGCAGAGTGAGGATTCTCTCTTTGTTCTTTGGTCTACAAAATATATTAGGCTTTTGGTGTGCAGACTGGTGACTAAAAGCACCAGACTTAGGCTAGCAAGGTTTATGTTTTAAGTAAATGACCTCCCAATTGGCAATGTTTTGATCTGCCTTCATGATCCTGTGCCCAAAACATAATTTTAAAATTTGATCATAGTCAACAACAGTTTCTCTTTAAGAGAGAGAGAGAGGCATTTTTAGCTTTCCTTAATTAACTGGAAGAAATTCACGCACCCTATTTAGGGTAAAGCAAAATAAATTCAATGGAAAAAGAACTACCAACCTTCCGTTTAAATCATTCCACCACCATGCTCCCTCTATGAGACACAACGATGTAGTGTTTTTGAATGCTGTCAATCACAGTGTTCGGGATGCCCCCACAGTCGAAAAAGAAAGGAGTCTTCTGTAGTCGAATCTTGTATGTATGTTGATTAAATATCGTTGCGTTCATATCAGAAGTTTCAGTGTTTATTTAAGCCTAAACACCACAAACACCAGAGTGCACAGAACTAAAATTGCATCACACTTGGGATATTACATGGTCGTGCGGGAACACATTTTGTAGAGTGGTGATGGATTCATTGATAACATGAGACAAGGTGAATCTGTTGAAATTAGAGACAAAAGAAAATCGTCCTATAAGAGCATCAAACGAAGTCATTCACGTCGTGCGGCAGGCTGCTTTGGCAGAATTATTCTTCAACCTTCGATATCCAAAGATAAGGCACTTCCTGTCTCCAAAAAAAGTCAAATCCTTCAGTTAAATCCTTAAGTTTTTAAGGAGAAACGGTTTCTTCCTCCATTAGTAACACATTCGTTCTCAAAACTGAAAAACGATTCGATTGGCAGTGTCCCCCACTCCGTTTGGGACGAAGATAAGGAGCCTTGAGATAGAACTACACGAATTGCGTGCCTAGCAAAACTCGTGACGTAACCGGTCAGGGCCATTTCAGGCCAGGTCAGAAAAATCCATAGTTGGGTGAAACTCAGTAGTGCTTGCAGACTACATCTATGTTGGAGCCAACTTTGTTGTTGTTTTAGTCATTGTCTCAACCATAGTCAACAGCCGTAATAAATTCTAGCCTATTCCTGTCCTATTACACTGTCCAATTACAAGCATGACGCATACTCCGACCTATCAGATCAAGATACTTTGGCCGAAATCATGACGTCATTTGATCTAATAATCTTAATTTTACTGTAAATAAAACCTTTTTAGAGGCTGAAAAATATAAAGAATGTATCAATTCTTCTTTTCCAAAAAGGGCGGGTCTAATTCAAGGACGGGAGAAAAGGGAGTGGAGGTCACCCAAACCTCCTAATTCCCGGTCCAGTGTGAAAAAACTCTAAAATGTTTAGCGAAATTACATGACAGTGCAGGGACTAATTTTTTTCTTGAGTGCTGTTGGATTCCATTGGTGCTATGAGACAAAGTGAATTTGTCCTGGTGGCCAGTCATTTTCTTTTCATTCATATTATGATATTGTTTTAGATATAAATTAGATGTTGAAATCAACGCACCAAGACACGTTGCCTAACAAATCACCTTTTTAATAATCTAGAGAAATGAATCGCCGTAATTAAATTAGCATGACAACTAACTAGCTGAACATGGATGACAACCTTTTTCTCTAACAAAACAAAGATCATAATCACGAGTTTCTTGTTTCTTCATTACGTGTTTCTGGTCTCTTAGTGTAAAGTAACAACAATGAAATGATTATCTATAGTTTCCAACGGCAATGTATGAAGTCGAATTTCAAGAGGATCAATTAAAGTCATTCCACCTGATAACATCCAAAGATGAAACACTTTGTCGCAAAAAAAGAGACAAATTCAACCAGGGGAATTCAGATTAAAAATAAGTAGTTTGTAGGTAGAAAAGAAGGAACTGTTTGTTTTCCACCAGTAGCACATCCTTTCCCAAAGCTGTAGAGCTTTGCCTCTTTGTGTGAGATTTTTTAAGGAGAGGAAGGTATGAGGACCCATGCAATGAGTTGGGAGAGAAACTTAAAACTTTGACAAGGTGACGTAAGCTACTGGCTCCTCTTGTTCGGAGGGTGGATAACGCTATCCACTGGGTAAATCTCTGTCCGGGGGATAGCGCAGTACGTTTTGTTAACAGTTATCCGCTGGATAGCGATTTATCTGATGGGTAGCGTTATCCGCCCTTCAGGGACAAGCTTAAACGCAATCAAAATGCACGAATTGCATGCCTAGCAAAACTCGTGACGTAATCACGAAAGGGAAATCATGTGACGCAGCCTGACACAGACTGGACGAGGAGAAAGACATGGCGTTGACTTTAATTTTTCTTGGGTTAATTTTGGTTCCTTACTGCCTCTCGTTGAAACCCTTGGCAGGAGGAATACAGGATCGCAAACCTGATGACCCAGATGTCCTTGATGCACTTGATTTTGCCATGAACGAATTCAATGCTATGCAGAACAACTTGTATCGCTTGATGTCGACTAAAGTTAAGGATGCGACTGTGCAGGTGAAAACGCAGCTTTGTTTGGATCGATTCAAGTACATAAGAATTACATGATTGCACATTTTACATCTCTCATTCATACTTAACAAAGTATTGTTTACTCTTTGTTCAGAGTCCTTTCAAAAGAGGTTCGATCGATGTTGAGTAATGCGACGATGTTAGAAATTTACATCCGGTTTAGAAGTCAACTAATTTATGTAACAGCTTTAATCGGCCCTAAACCTAGCGTTGTTCAAAAACAAAAAGATCGTAGTTTAAACACAATTTACAAAATTCTCGTGAATGAGTGTTGAGAGAAATGATGTACTCTATCGATGTGCTATTGGGATCAATTTTTATTACGCTTATTGGTGTTGGTGTCATGATCCTAACTGAATTTTCAAGTTGTGGATAGTATGTATGTTACACGATTACAAGCACGTTCTTTCTCTTGCTAGCTGCAGCTGAAAGTTAGCACTGTTTCAGTTTCTCGTGTATGTCTTGTGATTTGATCAATTTTTGATACCTTGTTTCGTGCTGAGCTAAAGAAAGGTGCGGATAATAAAGAAAGATATATAGTATAACACACGGGCGCGCGTAGATATGGAATTTCCCAATCTACAAGCAACCATTTATTATTTTTTTTATCATCTAAACACAATATAGTGACAAGAACAGCCAACTTCATTAGTGAATGAAAATGAAAGAATCAATAATCTCCAAATAACTATTATATGGTGCGTTGGCGCAAAGACTCGAGATGGAGAAATGTGTTGAATCCTAATTGCAAAAACAAAGATGGGCATAATTTTCAATTTACAAAATTCTCATGAATTGACTTGGTCCCTACAGACAGCGAAGTCTTTCAGGTACATAGCCTAAATTGGCCTGTGGCCAATCTTCCAGTTGTTGTTTTTCATTTTCAGCCACAAGAAATGCTATTACCAAAGGCAATAAATACCTAACTTTTGGTTTTTCTTTCGTGGAAGGTGAGTTATTTGTCAGCAGTTGATTGGCGATATCAAACACGGGAAAAATTTTTTTATCATATAAACTATGGTGTCACACAACAATTTCTAGCCCTGAGAATAGCCATAACAACACAATGAAAAAGTATTGTATTTTTTCACGTGCCTTCACCATAGTCAATCCAAGGTTGTTTGTCTGAATTTTTTTTGGATCATGGCTGCTAAAAAATTGAAAAATATGTAATTGCCTAGAGAGAGTGACGTTTAAACTTTCCTTGAAGGGGAAGAAAACCAAAATATGGAAAGTAAAACTGAAAATTTTGTATTCATTAGCTTTGGTAATGGCATTTGTCACACCTGAGAACAAAAGTCAACAACTGGAAGATTTGCCTCAGGCTGATTTTGGCTGTGTACCTGAAAGATTTCTTCTGTCAGTAAGGACCAAGTCAATAACTGAGAATTGTGTATATTGAAAATTACACCCGTCATTTGTTTTTGTATTGTTTCAACGTATTTTTTTGTCTTGAGCCTCAGCACCAATGCACCTTTTGATTTTATTCAGGTATTGTTGATTCTTTCATTTTCATTTATTATATCGACTCTCTTGTCAGTAAAGGGCTGCTGCTACTTGCTTGTAGAAATGAAATTTCTCCTCTTGTGTTAAACTTGTGTCCTGGTGTTCAACTCTTGTGTCTGCTGTGCTCACTTGTGAGCTATTGAGTTAAATACTCCAAGAGAATGTCTATATCTACATACGCCTGTACATTATTCTCGATGTAGTTTTTCACGTGTGTTGTTCCAGCTTTTCTCTGAGCTGGAAATCCTTGTATAACACCAAATTGCACATGAAGTCATGTTATTACCTATACAAACACAGTACAGTATATTTAAGTATCAGAGGTGATTTTCATAATATGGTTTTATGTTTCAGGTTGTTTCTGGCCAAAAGTTCTGTATTGTTTCAGAGGTTGGCATTTCCCGAAGTTGCCGCAATGATGAGACTCACAAGTCTGCCTCTCTGGATCTTTGCCCTGTTGACACTCTGGAGGTAGGAGATTGTGTTCTAGGGATATGTGGATGCCATTAGACTGACAATGGCGCCAGTGCTTTATATCAAGAACTTAGCTCATAGCCAGAAATTTCTCAAGCACAAAAAAACCATTAGTCTTATTTTGTAAGCTCTGATTTGATAAATTTAGTGGAGGACCATTGCTTGTTTCTTGGGGAGTGAGTGGAAAGTTGAAGTAGCTTCTATTGGTGCAAAAATGTGTATCGCCATTTGTCCTCGGACATTATCTGTTCCTTGAAGCTCACAGTTTTCCTTGAGCTTTGCTCTTACTAGGAAAGCTGTTCGATTCTTGGAACAGATGATGTCTGCAGACAGATATCCACACATATTTTTGTCCTAAATAGTGATTAATAATTATGTTTATTATCCTTGAAATATTATGCATGTGAAAAACTGTTAATGAGCAGCTTACTGTATGCAGCATGGAATGTTTTCTTTTGAGTGTTCACCGGTAAGACTTATTGGACAAAAAAAGATTTCCCTTCTCCAGTAGCAACCACACAAAACCCTCTCATTTTGAATTAAAATTAATTAATTTTGAAACGAAGCCCTATGGTAGTGGACGTAAGGTTTGAAAATTTAGGAATATCGCTTGGGTGATATTCTTGGATATTACCCAGTTTTAGCTTGAGGATATTAATTTTGGTCGTCCTTTATCAAGACCAATCACACATGAGCAAAAATGTTTGATGGATCTTATTTAGTATTAGTTTTGTATCATTATTTATGTTTTTTATTATTAATCATTAATACACTTACATTCATTATTGTATGATAACTTTTAATAAAGGATTTCACAGGTACTCAAATGACAGATGTTATCATGTTGTTCTTCACAGATGCAGTGCAGATTTGTGGTGAACAGCGTCCCATGGGAGAAACGCAAAGACCTCATCAGCCATGAGTGTGTTGGTTTGGAGGAAAAAATTATGTCATGTGAACGGAGCCAGCCTTCTAAAGTTGCATCCAAACCAGATGAGAGTAACTCTGTGGTAGATTTTGAAAAGCAATCAAAGGTAAAAGCAGGTTTCTTTTGAAAACGCGTAGAACACTAATCATGAGAAAGTATAAGCCCCACTTGTTACCATGATGGTAGTTTTTAACAAAGGAGGCTGTTCTCCAAAGTTGTAACTAAGATGTACATATGAAATGTTCTTGCTTAACATAAATTTTGTGGCACTGGAGAACAGCATAGCTTTTGCAAAGTGTAAGTCTTAAGGTGATATGACTCAATTTATTTTTAAAAAATGATGGTCTCTACTGATTGTTTACAGTTGTTGTGAGCTGTGCTATTACAACCTTCAGCTATCAATGTCTGTAATTTCCTTTTTATCTACAGCCAGCAAATAAATATGTACACTCAATTGCAAACACATTGACACTTAAAAAAGCATTTGTAATCAATAACAAGACCCCACAGTTCTGTGGTTACACATAAATACAGAATGGCCACCATTAGCATGTGTTACATGATGGGAGTTATGCTGGCTTTCTTGGAAAAAGGGGATTATTGTAACAAAGGATTTCATGAATAGTGACAAAAGCCAATCACTGATTATGCATCTGCACTTGAGCATTTCCCATAGAGCTGTTTGGTCTCATTGTTCACAAATCATGTTTTCTAGGGGTTAACATTTTTTGCAATTTAGTGTGTCATCAAGAAGAGAAAACAGTTACTAACAGTTTTGTTTATAGTCATGCACTGTGATCAGGAACTACTGTCAGTACCTTTTCATCTGGGAAGTATATGCACAAGAGTAGTACCTGTGGCTTTCAGAATTTGCTTGCCAACCCCCTTGGGAGGTACACCTGTGTTGCACACAGTTAATTTCTTTTTTTTTTTTTTTTTTTTTTTCAGCCAAAACCTGCCATAGGTGACAGTGATGTACTTGAGACATTCCACAAGTTTGTTATTAAACACAAGAAGCCCTATTTAACAGATAAGGATGGTATGTGTTAACGCATTAACCCAAAAACTCCCAACATCTGATTATTAATTTTTCCCTTTGACTGCTACACATTTCCTGGTAAATAAGCTACAAGAATTTAGTGTTAGATCATGAAAACAACTTCTACCTGATAAGTCTGAATATTCTCACCACCTGTTTACTGAATAATGTATGGATATTGTAAGGAGAAGTGACATGTAAATCACTTCTGGGAGTTAAAGGGTTAAACAGGAGAGAAGTGGTTTGTTGATCAATAGTTTGCACTAGAAAATGTTTCTTTTTGATAATAACTCAGAAAATAATTTGGTTTGGAGGTGGTGCTTGTTAAATAACTCTTGGTGTTTTGTTACACTTTTGCAGCAGTCATATATTTTTAAAATTTTTCATGTCATTAAAATTTTTTATGTCATGTTGATCTTTTGGTTATTTCTTTTATTTTTTCAAAATTTAATGATGAACACAAAATGAGAAAATTTCTGCTGGTTTGAATAATTGTAAACAAAGGTAAAAAAATTATGTTAGATCTATCAAAGCTCCAACCTGCTGGTGGGAATTCCTTCTCATTTCCTACTTTTCTTACAATTTTTCTCTGAAGTGAAGCCCTTTGATGTCCCCATTACTCCTCTCAGTGTGCAGTTTGTTCCTGTCGTTTCCCTCTATTTACACAGTTTGTCTCACTTTTTTTTAAAACTCTTTCAGAATACAAGAAACGCTTTGCAGTTTACCAGGACAACTTGGTCAGAGCTCGAAAGATGCAGGACATGGAGCAAGGTTCTGCCAAATATGGGGAGACAGTGTTCAGTGATTTAACAGGTTTGTCTCCTCAATTGTGACTTTTCAAGGGGAAACTTACACTAATACTCCATATGAATGCTGTTTGTCAGCCTTACAAACATCTGGGGAATCTGTTCAAGTAGCTTTAGCAACAGTTTGAGTGACATGGGTAGCCATTAAACTGTTGTGGCATCTGTATGGTAAAAATCTCTACCTGCTCAAATGAGTTGAGACATTAATTTTGGAAGGGATTGGCTTCCATTTAAATGATATGCAAGTCAATTTAGCAGCCATGTCATCACGTACTTGGTTTATTACATTATAATCAATATATCATACCTACATATATCTTTGATGTGGATATTTTGTGTTTTTTCCTTTAGAGGAGGAATTTAAGAAGAGTTACAAAATGCCTGGTTGGGGAAAGCCACAATATGAAATGAAGCAAGCTGATATTCCCAAGGGAGACATTCCAAAAGCATTTGATTGGAGAGACAAAGGTAGAGTGTATGAATGTTTAAGGGTGTTATGAAGTTCACACAAAATGGTTGTTTGTGTAACTGGATGTAACCCATTTCACTTGCAAGTGATGTCGCTGAGGTTGTTCTGTTTCTTTAAAGGTGCTGTGACTGCAGTAAAGAATCAGGTATGTAAACAGAAATGTCAAGTTTATCTACCTGGTAATTGGTCCGTTGACCCTTTAACACCTAAGAGTGATTAGTAACTATTTCTTCCTATCAGTATCACCCTTAAAACAAACATTGAGCTCACGAGAATAAAGGAAATGATCACTGACTAAATAGGCTCTTGATCATTAAACAAATTCTCCTTGTCAGCACCATAGGAAATGCAGAGAGCAGTGTGGAGAAAATGCATACTGATGTGAGGGGGTAAAGGGTTAAGTGTAGGTGTGTTTGCTATAATTTGTAGTCTCTCGTTGCTGTGAATAAGCAGTGCTGCTGGGCTATAAGATACTTATTGCCTGGCATTTGGCTGCATCTTGGCCTTCACTGGCTTTTGTGTGGTTGTGAACAACCTTGCTGATTGTGTACCTTTAAATCTAAGAAGACCTCTCTAAGTAAAATTCTCGCAAAAAGATGTGGTATAACGAACAGTATTAATAATATATCTATTTGAATGTGCTTTTTTTTCCCCCTGCCTCTCAACTTTTCACCCCACTGAAAACTGATATATCTGTTTGCTCTTTCTGTTTGTGCAGTTTCAAAGTTATTTAGTTCCAGGGGTGGAATTTTTCCAAACAATGGCATTACAGTTTTCAGTAGAAATTTGACAGGAAGAACTCAAAATAACAACTTGGGGTCATCGCTTGACTCGAAGACAATTCTCAAAATTGAAATTTTTAGAAATTATATCACAGACAGCAAAGAGAGTTGATATATATATCTTTGGAGTGACAGGGATCACATAATGATTAATTTTACTGCATGCAGGGTGTGTGTGGTTCATGCTGGGCTTTCTCTACAACTGGTAATATTGAAGGACAGTGGAAAATCAAGAAAGGGGATTTGGTCTCCCTCAGTGAACAAGGTAATTAATGAAGGTAATGGGACTGAGTGGAGTCCAGTTTGGTCTGTAATCATACAAGTGATTAACAAAATTGGACAATGGCAAAGTGGGAGTATTATTTGTTAATTGTGAGTATAATTGCAGACTGGATTGAATGACATGAAGTCCTGTTACCATTAATCAAAACTATGACAAAATTTGAGAAAGAAACTAGGCATTGGTTATATGCTTTCATAAACAAACAACATTTACATGTAACTCAGCAAATTGTGTGACAACAGGGCATGTACATGATGTATACTTTAATATGTGTATACTGTCATTAGTGCTCAAATTGGGCTGGTGATAACCATTCATGTTGAAGAATTTTTTTTGGCTTTGATGAACAGGAAAACACAGCATATCAATTGATATGCTGCATTAAAAAATAAACTGTGGAGTTTTACAATGTTTGCCTTTTTCTGGCATCTCATTCAGTTATTGTATAAAATTTCTTGTTTTTTCTTTGCAATTTACAAAATTATCGTTCACAAATTGAAGTGTTTTTAGGTTTGGTTAGTGATAGATTTGCCTTAGAGATCATTGCAAGGCTGAGACAAACAAGTATTGTTAGGGATAAAGGAAGTTTTCAACTGAAGATTTCATAATGTGGAATTTTTTACCTTTTTAACAACTGTACCATCCATGGTGTACTAAGGAACAGCCAAGCTGAGCCATTCTTTGTCTCTTAAAGTCCTTTTAAGTTAAGGCAAATTAGCCTTCCTGGCCTTGTTTTTGAGTGAAAATTCTACTACCTTTTAAACACCTGATCAAGGCCAGAAATAAAAATGAAGCTGTCATGTATGAAAGAGGTCTATGTGCAAGTGTTGTTGCTCACAAACCGTACTTATGATCTTCTGTGATCTCTTGATCTTTCCAGAACTTGTTGACTGTGACACTGTTGATCATGGCTGCAATGGTGGACTACCATCTAATGCTTACAAGCAAATCATGAAACTTGGTATTGATAAGATCATTTGTTACAATGAAATATTTTGGTGAGGTGACTTTTAGAAATACTGGTAGCTGAGGTTTTTTTTTAGTTTCTAAGTTGATCTTGATTCTGGTCCTTTTACTTGTGGATATGTAAAAGATAAGGAGAAATGATGTGGAGTGTACATGTAAGCATGGCCACAGGAGTCTGGAGAAAGAATGCATCTCATCAAAGATGGCAGGCTGATAGTTAACGATGGTAGACTTTGTCAAGTCACTCTGATTTAGATTCTCATTACTTGTACTGAACAGTTGTATCTTTGAGATTTTGGAAAACATGTGAAACTTAATTTTGGTAACAGAGATGTTCTGAATGTGTCAGAGATTTATGCTATACTGTATTGTAGTACGTTTGAGTGGTCTAACAACCTTGATTTTTTTCCTATTGAAATTTTGCGTTCAGGTGGACTTGAGACTGAAAAAATGTATCCTTATGAGGGATCTGATGATAAATGCAAGTTTGCAAAGTCAGAAGCAGTTGTTTACATCAATGGGTCTGTTGCGATATCAAAAGACGAAAATGGTAAGTCAGGGTTTCTACAACCGTCTGATCTTTCTTCATCATTCTGAATGACATTTTCAATCCTTCTTTACTGGCTGTGGAATTTCTTTCTGTTTGAAGGGTTAACAGCCCTGTAGTCAGAGCCATAATGCTTTTGGTGAACGTTATGGAACAATGGTTTTACTCTCATTTATGATGTAGTTTACAATGAATTTTCAGGTGAAAATGACTTAAAATTAATTTAAGCTGTTGGTGTATTTATGTGGGGTTTTTTTTCATTAATCCTTCAATTGAGGATAACTCAAATCAAATTTGGTGTAGGCAATTTTTTTCTTTGAAATTATTATGAACTTCCACACAGGTAATACCTATTTTTTTAGTTCAGTAATTGAAGCCATTGATTTGTTTACCAATTCATATATTATTTCATTGTAATCAGTCATTTGATACAATCAACTTACAAGTTTGTGCAGGTTGTTTTACCGCACAGTTGCAGTGTGATTTGTCTATGCAGCAATGAGATAGGTCGATTTGTTGAAGGTTTGTTCATCATGTACTAACCTCACAAATGTTATTTTTTCAGAAATGGCTGCATGGCTGGTGAAGAACGGACCAATATCTATTGGTATTAATGCTAACATGATGCAGGTAAACTGAAGTGCATGCTTTCAACTATTCTTGATGTAAAAGTTTTCCATGATATGTTCCTCATTTTAGCTTGGAGTTTATGCTTTGCCTGATGAACTAGTGTACAGGTTATCAATGGTCTAAGTCTGAACTAAAAACTACAAACTGTACACCAATTCATCTGATAAGGAAAAACCCAGCATTGGCACCAAAAACTATTACATGACTTTGTTGAAATCTTCAATGGTGATCACACAAAGAATCGGTCATTAAAAAATTGTGCCTCAGTGGAGAATTTTATATGCAATTTTTGCACAGGTCTGGGTGGAGGGGGGGGGGAGTGGGAGCTCAAACAAAACAATGAGAGGGGGATGTTGAAGCTTCAAATCCAGGCATTTGTGACACACCCTTTGTTACACATGTAGGCTTCTAAGTTCACCTAACATCAAAGATCTTGTCACTTCTGGGGATAAAAATGGTAGGGAGGGGTCCCTTAGACTTACTGCCCCCTCCCCCCCTATGTATATTTGGTTCTTCTTTATTAACCTTAAAGTCCTAGAAGTGATTTACATGTAACTTCTCCCAATAATATCCAGACACTATCCAACAAACAGGTTATGAGACTACTCAAACTTATCAGTTAGAGGTTGTTATCATGATATGACACCAAATTCTTGTAACTAAATTACAAGGAAATGTTTAACAGCTAGATGGGAGAATTAACAATCAGATCTTGGGAGCTTACGGGTTCAGGTGAAGGCTACTTTACCATGTTGTTTTTTCATTTGTTAGTTCTACTTAGGGGGAGTTGCTCACCCATGGAAGATTTTCTGTAATCCAGAATCTCTGGATCATGGTGTGCTGATTGTAGGCTATGGCGTCAGTGAGTATTGCTGTTCTTGTTTCCTTGCTTTGAAACATGTGAGATAGCTCTTTCGGGCAAGTTAAAGGCATGAGCTTATGAACCTTTATCCAACCAGCCATGTTCGAGGTAGAGCTAGATTGGACATAAGGGGAGTGGGCAGGGACAGATGACATGCTCAGCCCAACCCCTCCCCTCTCCTTTCTTCAGACCATCAGTCACCCCTTTGGTACAATTTTTTTGCTCCCCTGCCTTCTACTGCTGTAAAATTCAAAGATTCAAAGATAGCAGCTATGATTTAACCATGGAAACACTGAGCACTCACATTTCAAGAGCAATCCTGCTCTTTAGACTATAAGTGAAGTTGTTAAGACCATTGTTAGAGGTTTCATTGGTTACCCAAGGATGTGTTAAACATGATGCTGTGGGTGAAATGTATTACACTTGAGGTTTTTCATAAGTGAAATGCTTTTATTTTCACAATTATGGGAATCAGAGCCCAGGCCATTGTATTTCAACCTCTGATGCTCTTCCACTGAGCTACAGAGAATCTTATGGTGAGCTAGGACATTAATAGACGTTCCTTTACGTACGTTGTGTTGGAAGCATTTTACACACCGTTGGGGTCAGCAATGTGAAAATTGTCATGTGGGTAATAGAACCAGATAGTTCAAAATTTACTACCTTTTTCTACTTTATTAACCTAAAAATATGACATCTCTTTTTATAGAGAATAGCTGGTTGTGGGGGGATGAACCATACTGGATCATCAAGAACAGGTATAGAATGATAGACTCCATTAAATTCGGTCCTGTAAAATGTACTTTCATGCGCATTAAAACAATTATAATTTGCTTCTTTTGAAATCTCCAAATTAAATTTTTACTCAGTTCTGTGCACTGTACTTCTAACTTTTTATTTAAAATTTTGGCTATGAGAATTTGTTGCATTTTAGTCTATATCCCAAATGTATTTTTTCAATTCTTCTCGTCCCTTCTTATTGTAAGGAAAAAGTTCTTTTTGATCGCTCCTGGAAGTGAAAGGGTTAGAGTTAGTATTCCTAAGGGTTGAAGTGAGATCCAAACAGAATAATCTTTGGTTGTTGGCACTGTTTTATCGGAGCTTATTTTACTGTGTTCTATGAACATTGTATGTGGCTTATTAAAACATTTCTTTTTTCATTCTAGTTGGGGTGAAAGCTGGGGCGAACAGGTAAGTTTAATTTTTTTTTTCCTGAGAGGAGGCAAGAGCCAAAGAGAACGACACAGTATTTTTCGTGTCGCTTCTATATCTCGTGACTCTTCACTCGCGTGACACACCACTCGCGTGACTCACCACTCGCGTGACTCACCACTCGCGTTCGCCTCGCTGTTGCTTCGTGCTTGACGCTTAGCCCGGAGGCTAGCGTGTCTCATGCCACAGGGACTGTTATGGGGAACTTAACTAACTTAAATCTGCCCATGTCTTTTGCCACAGGGATACTACTTGATATATCGTGGAGATGGCAGCTGTGGTTTGAACACCATGTGTACCTCGGCCGTCGTCGACTGAGCAATTCTCAGGTCAGGTGATATGCTTGTAAATGAAACATTTTAAACATTCATTGAACATAATGTAGAAATGACGAATTTTTGTAAATATTAAGCATTTGTTTTCATTATCTCTTTTATTGTAGGTTTTGAATCAAGTCATTTAGTACATTATACCTATGATACCTGATTTAAATTTAAGCATGTAGAATCAATTTTTTACATTTTTCGTAGCCATGGGCTTTTATTAGTAAAATGTTTTTTTTTCTTTAGTTTTTAATTCGTTTTATTGCCTTCCACACAGTTTTCACTTGTATTGTACTTGACTTACTTTTTATCGGAGAAATCAAAACAAACCCTCGCTAAAAGATGTAGAAAAAAACATTTTGAAGTTTTACTTAATGTTGGATTTGGAATGTTAAAAGATGGAGTTATTGGCCAGCTTAAAATACTGGCAGTGGCTATGTAAGCTTGGTATGGAGGATCAAATTTTTAATTGTTTTTTTTTTGTTGTAAGAAATGGTTTGTTAACGGTTTAATTGACATCGAAACTTAGTAATAAGATTTTTATTGTTCTATTTTCCAACCTTTTTATGCATGTTTTAGCTGAGCTATATGACTGGCTTTGTAGAGAGGGATATAGAATTTGTAGCCTTTGTTATGATATTAAACAGTGAGTTTTGCCAATTAAAACAATGGTGTGTTTGTTTGACTTGAAATAACCTCTTTTTGAAATTGTGAGTACAGTTTAACTTTATTGGATAAAAGAGAGATGAAAATTAACATCAGTATGCATATTATCCATACTATTCTCCACATATGAGGATAATTTGTTTTAATAATCAAGAGCCTCTTAAGTTGGTGATCATTTCCTTTTTTGTCACTCCGAGGGTTTAAAGGGTTACCTTAGTGTATGGCTTGCTGTTGATAGTTTTCTTTTTTTGCGAGGATGAGTCGTCTGATGACTTAGTCATGCCGTCATCCAATCGGCTGTTGATTGGTCATGACTTCCTCTACGAAAGTAACAACCAACCAATCAGGAATACTTTGGATTGCGTTTGCTGTGACGTCATGAGTGACGTCTTAGAATTGTCGGGCCTAGTCCTTCCACGAAGAAGGAAAGTATTTTAAGATTTATCTTTGAAGCAATTTTGTTTTATTTGGGAAATGTATCGATATTTAAAGTACGGTCGTTTGAGGTTCATCTTCGTCAAGTGGTATGTCTTCGAGTTTTACTTCTGTTTCATCCGCTTCGGGCTCAGTTAAGGTTTCTGTCATCTTCCTAAACGACATCGGATTCTTTAAAAACCTGTTCCATGAAGAACAAACCCAAACAATTAGAAATAGCTGGTAAATATTTCCCAGGGACTTGGAAGTCGTTCGGGTTTGACTATCTGACTGGCATGCAAAAAATACATTTAGACCTTAACTGTTAGGTTGGAGATAATTTAGGGGAATTGGAAAGTTTAAAAATCTTACAAGACTTAAAAGCTGGATTGGAAATTTTTGATACGGGATGTATTTTTTTCATTAAGTCTTATCAAATGGTAGAGTGCAATTTATGTTAGTGACGTCAAAATTAGACAGCGATCGTATAATTTTCATGACATATCATATTAACAAGATCATATTGCACAGAAAAATTAAATAACCAAGTAATACTGGAAGGAATTAGATGGTTTAATTCATTATATTCTTATTCCGGCACGATTGGTCGAGAAAATCAAAACAGGGGTTTTTATAGAATACTTGAGGGTTGAGAGAAATCCTGGAATCTATGAGGTTTACTTCGCTTCGCTCGGTGATAGGTGAAAAAAAAAATTCACACCATTTTCTCAACCAATCAGATACATAACCAAAACCAGTTGTGTTTTGGCCACGTGCGTTTTCCCGCGCGTCACTGTTTTTTTTAAATTTTCTTTTGCTGTCATTGGTTTATGATATTTTCCTTTGCTCTCATCGGCTGATGCGATAAAATTAGTTTTTGTTTTACAACTTATCTCAAAGCCGGCGTTTCCAATTGTTTAGTGATTGCTGAAGGAGGAGGACGAAGCAAAAAGGAACCGAACACAGAAAAGCGGACACTACATTTTAAATGTTTAAACTTACTTGGTCAAGATCATCGGAATGATTATCAGTACAGCAGCCACAAGAAATGGCAACCCTCGAAAACCAAACTTAGAGGATTGAATGTACATCGGATTAAAGATAAACGCGCCCAAAAAGTTACAGAATGTATCCACTGTGGCCACCGAGGAAAACATGGCACCTAAAGAATTTAAAAGTGATTGATAAATAAATGATACCGCAGCCAAAGAAAAATGAGATAAATAGAGACACATAAAGGCGCGCTTCGGGGTGGGGTGGGGTGGGGTGGGGTAGGGTGGGGTGGGAGAGGATTTTAGGAGGAGGTGTTCAGGGGCAATTGAGGGGATCAGTAATTGAAAACAGAGAATAAAGAGGGTGCTACAGAAAATTGACTGCCAATGAGGGGGGGGGGGGGGGGGTATCATAAGAATATTACTGAGCCTTATGGGAGGATCAGGTAAGTTTAATTAAAATCCTCTGGTTCCTTCCCCCCCTCCCCCCTCAAGCCGATTAAAAAAATGACCAGTTCCTCAGAAATAGCATTTCCCTCGATGTGTTCTAAACCATAAGACGTAACGCATCTTTAATACGCAACCCACATACAAACTACGACCATGAGTAAATCGTTTTCAAAGGAAGCGGTTGTAGGGGTTTCTCATGTTCATTTTCACTTCTTTGCCTCCCTTTCGACCAGCCCTGTTCTAAATGAGATATCATGATCCAACTGATAGATTTCTACAGAATTTAAAACTAATGAGCCCAAGATTGGTTATGGATAAGCACACCAACGTGTGGAGAGGAAGTGGGAGAGACAGACAAGCTAACCTAACGTCTCCAAAACAAATAAAGGTAACATAGCCAACATGGTCAACTTAAATTGAGGTCACAAACAATACCTTCATCATGTGCAACATCCATTTTAACTGATATGGATAAAATGGCTACATGTGGCAGGGGCGTAATCACAAGATTTCTTTGAGGGATTCTACTCTGGCGTGTTAGTATCATTTGGGAAGAACACAGGCTGTTATATAAAATATTTATATCATATAATTTTTCTTCTAAACAAGGGAGGATTCATTGGTACTCCTGAATTTCTCACAGCCAAACCCTTGTTATTAGACAAGGAAGGGGTCATCTGCAACCCTACAACCCACTCAGCCACACCCTTGCTGTTAGAAAAGAGGTCATATGCACTCCTGGACCTCAGCCAGCCACGCCTTTGTTGATAGACAAGCAGGGGGTTATATGCGCCCCTGGATCTCACCCAGCCACACCCTCCGTGTGAGACACAAATAGCTCAGTCAAGGCTTACCTCGTTCATCAGGTTCAACCATCTGTGACATCATCCCTTTGTACAGCGGAACAACAGCACCGCCAAAAATACCAATAAGGGGAACTGTAAAAAGAGTCAGATTTTCAAACAAAGAAAGTGTGATCGTAGTTATTCTACAGAAATGGTTGTAACGGGTAACTCGTCTTGAGGAAGGTGGTTTAACTTAACTCCTTCATGACGAAAAGGAGGGTCGAATGCATCTCGTGCTCTGAACCTTTCCAACCCCCCCCCCCCACCCTCTTCCCCTTTGACCACACTCCTGAATTCATGATGCGAAATAAACTTCCTTGTAAATTTAATTTCGGGTTCAGTTCTCACCTAAAAAAACCATCCATGTGCGATTACTAAAGGCAAAGAAAACCAGCGAAAGGCATTGGGACACCATGCCAACTCTCATGACATTCACCTCGCTCATGAACCTTTTCAGAATTCCGATTCCCACGATTCCACCAAAACCCTGCATGAAGAATCGGAAAGCCATAAAAACCCCAAGCGTAGCTGGTCCCCAGCAGAGTGGGGTGCGCAGGACAAAAAGCGACACTACTCCACTGATACCCAAAACCCCTAGAGTGATTATCCCGTCCGAGATGAGAAGCATAAGGAGATTTTTTCTTCCGCCGTTTCTTGGTTTCTTGTACACACTCCATACTGCTTTAAAGCTGTCTAAGCTGAAGAAGCGGATCTTGTTTTTCTGGCTTTCGCGTTTTGATTCCGGTACCATGAACGCCGCCCATAGCAACCCGGCCACGTGACAGGCGAAAATGAACCAATAAGGAGGGATGAAACCGAGTCTATTCAACCATGCACCGCTGGTCAACTGGCTCACGACTCCGCCAATGAATACCACGAGCTGGACAACGGCTAAAATAGAAAACTTCGAGAATCAGTAGAACAAATCTCTCCAAAACACAAAACAAAACAAACAAAACAAAATTTAAAAAAAAAAACGGTCACATGGCTATGGGGGATAGGACTGCTAACCCTAGCTGGTAATTTTACTACAACGCAGAATACTGTTCACCAATTCAAACGAGGCGAAGGAACTTAATTTGATTGCTATTCCAGTTAATGTAACGAACAATTGCAACGCACTCAATCTTGTTGATTGACTTTTAAAAAATGTGATCTAGCTACCCTTAACTAACCAGACGAAAATCGTATACAATACTTTACTGAGAGCTTCACGTCTCGCGAGGAAACTCTATTTGCTGGTCCTAAATGCATAAATACGAGCCCGCTGATATACAAGAAAGAACAGCGGTACATGCCTGCACACGCAAAGCGTACATTTGTAATTGTGATCCCACCCTGCCCTTAGCCCTCCTTAAGAAAAATCCACGTTACGCCGCTAGCCAGTCGTGGATTTAGCTTTTTCAAGTTTTTGAGTGGTAACACAAAAGGGAACTAATCCAGGTTTCGTTTGCCATTTTAAAAATAGACAGAAAGAATTAACTAACCAATGTGGATAGCGAGTCCTTCTTCGGTTGTGATGTCAGAAACATAAGCGAAAGCAGCCATATTCATGATTGTAAAGAATCCCGAGAAGCCATTTATGGCCGAGCCGACAAACAACACAAACACTGGCCAATCAAAATACATTATAAGCAGAATAGTAATGGCCTCTAGAGCACTCCCTAGAGGAGGGGCTAACAGAGCGGGACGTCTTCCACCAGTGTCCGTCCAAGGACCCAAAAGAAGGACCATAAGAATGGACGGTAGAGACTGGAAGAGGATATTTCCCATGTCAATTCTAGCCGCCAGGGTTTGCACCTAATGATTAAGAAGAAAAGAAAACATGCTCACATTTGGGCTCCTCATCACTGAAATGATCCTTAAAATCTTACGAATGAGGGGAAAACTAACAGGAAAAACTGTATCATCAAAACAGAAATTCAAAATTTTTCAGTATGACCGTAACATTACAAAGAACTTCATCATGATGCTACCTACCTCTTTTTCCAACTCCGCCAAAGACGTACCGTTTCCATTAGAATCTTCGACACATCCCTTTTCAGTAGTTGCCGATATGTTGTACGGAAAGCCCTTAAATTCACTGACTCTGAAGTATATGTACTGTGTCATGACAGGGAGACTCATGAACAAACCAAATGTATAAAAAAGTACCACTGGTTCCACTGTTAGGTAACGTCTCCATCTTGGCAAATTCAGAGTAGGCATTGTGGTTCTTTATTAAACAATAAAAATCAAGGAAGCGTGTTAATAACGGTAGTAATTTTCGTAAACCGCTGCTATCTCGCCACGCACCAAAATAAATACTCTAAGTCATGATTTGCAATCTGCGTCAATCTTCTCCGGTGTTGACCATTGTCGTACAATTTAAGTGGATTCTTACCTCTTAAGCACTCACCAACCCAAGCAAACACCTGTTACAAGGTTGTATCAAGGTTTGAAGAGATTCTCCAACATATAACGTATCAAAAATTACTCAGCATTCCGCGAGTAATTTTTTTCCTTCTTCATATTTAGCCCCTGTAATTACGACGATTTCGTCAGTTTATTTACATATCCGAAAATACAATGCTCAAATCAAACCAATTTTACAAAGTTGTACAATTTCTTCTGTAAAATTTCAATCAGATATTCATATAAATATCACTCAATCAATTAATGAAAAAAACGGCTTTTTGCCCTTTGGTGGTGGATTTTAATTTTTTTTCTTTTTCGTGACGCTTTTTTACACTATCATTTATTCTAGCTTTTAGCGTCCATCTAAGATATTGCAATTCAGCTCAGCAAATTAAATTTGCATCATGAGGTGTTGTCGATAAAGTTACTTTACTTCAAAAGTGCTTAAAATAGAAACACGTACTCCAGAACGAAGATGGTTTGATGTGGAGTCACGTAAGTGTGACGTTTTAAAGTTCGCAGTCACGCAAAAGCCAATCACATGCTCAAAATCCTGAGAACTGTTCACTAAACTGAGATAATGAAAATTTTTATTTGAAAAGATTACTAGAAAAAACTGGATCAAGTTTTTCATCTTAACTATACAAATCCAAAAAGACCGGCGCTTTCATCTTCAACCAAGCGTGATCTGCTAAATATTGCGTTACAATTACACAAACAGTAGGAGACATTTTTGCAGCACTGTGCAAGAATATGCAAATGTCGCACTAGAAAGAGAGACAACGAAATTTGTCCAAATGTGTCTTATTTGGACAACGACGACGAATAAAACATCATGACATGTTCAATAACTTCCATATTGATAAAAGTTAGAAACGACGGGATTAGAACGCTGTCTGTCTTCTTCGGCCTAACAATACTGGTCAATCGTTCGCACGAATTGTTTGTACGCGATCGCAAATTGTAAACTCAGGCAGTCTGTCAATACCAACTTTTTGATAGAAAAATAAATAAAAACTGAGTCAAAAACGGGTAAAAATTTACGAAGTTTTACAAGCCTCATCAACTTCGCGCTGTTCGGCGTGGTTCGCCGCCCTGTCGAGTGTATGTCCCATCCAAAATCGGACCGGAGTCCCGAATTGAAATTTCTTATGTTTCTCGCGAAAGCGACTCCAAAATGTCCTCAAGTACCCTCCCTTAACCTGGTAATGAACTAAAAGCTTCATAAGAAGGTCCTTGTCTTACAAGCAGAGCTTTTTAAATAGGTGCACACTTGCAACGAACGAATAAAGGCCAGGTGAAGAGAGAAACTGTATAACTGTAATTATTGTAATTACAACCAACACGATATTCCACCTGAAATTTAAAATGTATCTCACCTCTTTCCTTGATATTTCTGTCTGAGTTATGTTACTTGATAATTAATATCCTATTGGAACTGACGAATGTTTCGTAAATGTTTGTATTGACTCCAAAAGATCACAGAATCTTCTTACAAGATTGCTATCTCAGCGGGTCTTTGTAACACATCTAAAGTTCACGTAATCACTCCTCATTCTAGTAGGGTAGGGTGGGGGCCTTTCGTGCCGTTGCGCGTACTGTATTGATTATTGTAGCAACAAGTACTTATACCAGTATCATCGATTTTTTCTGCTTTTTTCGTGATTTCGTCAATTATATTTCTATACGATTATTTGAACATCGCCCGGGAAGTACGTATTGAGTGATATGGCTACAAGTACTTTAACCCACGCTGGTGATATGACTGCTGAATGACGTAAAGGTACTATAGTCAAGTAGAATGATTGTTGTGGGTCGATGGAGGGTTGAACTTAGAAAGTGTCTCCTAACTGACTGAGCCATTAGATGAATACACAACACTGAAGAACAAAAACGAGTACATCTGTTTCGTGAAAAGCGATAAATTTGGGCACAACATCAAAGTTAATCCAAGACAAAACTGAAAACTGTCCCAATAATAAGTTTCAATTATTTTTTTATTTTTCATATCTTTACAATTTCAAAAATGGATTGGGTCTCCCATCTTCATGATAATTGTTATAAAATATTTATCAATTTATTCCAAATGACTTCTCCATATATTCTCCCAATTCTGGCTCTTTTGTAATCAAAATTAGGTTTTTCTGTAATTGACTGATTGTCGTGAGCTTTATATTTTGCCTTCATTTTGACTGTAATAATTGCCTTGTTTTAAAAATAAAATATCCTTTTCAGTATATGCTCTCATTAAATTAAACACGATTTCCCCTTTCGGCTTTCATTAAACCTGTGCAACAAACTCTTTCGCCTTGTTCGAATATACAGAAGCAGCGCGATTAATCGTCGAGCGGGGAAGTGGAAATTTTCTTCACGCCTCCCCATAGTAGCTTTTATCCAAATGTCACGCAACATAATATGTATTCCTACAGAAGACAGGTCACGGCGGTTATGATGAAAGGTTACTTACTCATTGACACGTCCGCCCCAAGAAAACTTTGCCAATCATTTACAATTGTAACAAGAGCCTGCGAGCGCGCTCTTGTTAGAGCTGCGAAACGACGACGATGCCTGCGAGAAGTCTGCAAGGGTCTGGTGCAAAAATTGCCAGAACGCGAGGCGACCTCTCGCACGCTCTCTTCGCTCACCGGTTCGAAACTCGCGAGCTTCTCTGCTCGTGTCGTAACCTTAACAAAAGCCTGCTCGCAATAGTCTCAGTTCCACGCCTCGCTTCTGCCCCCTGCCCATAGCCTCAGTTTTATGCACATAATCTTTTTCAAAATTTTCATGATTCATTTGAAGGGTAAAAATAACCTTTTATGATTCAGTATCAAAGGAGCATCGCACTCCCTTAAGGAACTGGTTGGATGATGGGGGAATCATCGGGCACATAAATATCAGGAGAGTCGGGCTCATACGGCTCATCTTCTTTCTCATCTTCGCTATCTTTGGTATTTTCATTGACGATTTTCCTTCTCCGTGAGAACATCTCTTGATCCCTCAAACAACTGAAAGGTAAAAGCACTAAATCATTAACTAGTAATAAACAGTGTTAGCGACGGGTATGAAGCATAGCCAGTAGCTTCTGTTTACGAGAATAATCATAAAAATTACAATTTCCTCGATTGTGATTGGTTTAAAAAACTCCTATTTACCACTAATTCACTAGCCAAGATGTTTTCGGACAGTTTGTTATTGCACAATTTGATAAGCCAATCACATCTTATGTTGTAGTTTAAATCAACTAATCACAATCAAAGTTGTAGTTTAAGCGACGTTTTCGAATTCTGCTGCGCAGTCGTACGATTTTGTTACCACTTGTATGATTACAGACCGAATTGGACTCTACTCAGTTCTATTACCATTACTTACCAACATGTTTCCTCCGCAGCTTTATGGCCTTTTCGAGACGTTTAGTTGGTAAAACGGAGCAAAATAGTAGTAATAATACGGCGCGATGGTAGGAGGAGTGAAAAATATTTACTACTTGTTTCGTTTATTAGCTGGACGCCAATAACAGGCTAAACAGGATCTCAATGAATACTCTCTCTTTTTGGAAATAATGGCACAGCACACCTCTGAAAAGTCTTACATACCTAGTTGCATAAAAATTTTTAGAGTCTCAATTTTCACGAACTTTATGGATCTTCAGCAATCCACAAACGTCTTTTTTTCCACAGAAAAAGAAAAACAGAAAATATTCATCTTTTAGAGGAGGGAAATAACAGGAGAGCGAATTAAGTATAATTCTATGTGATCAATTTTCTGCACAAGTCAAAATTACTCTGACGTTTCACAAAGGTACGTACTGCGGGCTTCACATCGGAATAATGCGATGCATTTAAAGATTACTGAAAAATTTATAGTTCTGAACAATCCTAGAAAGATTTGAGGGAAACTATGCGATTGGACGATATTAAATTGAATATCAAAAGTGGTCAAGGATTGTATTGGCCTTTCTATTGGTAATCTTTTTCAAAAATCTATGATACTCTTACCACCGTCTCAACCAATCAGATGCAAAACTAACACTGATCGAGTCGCTCTAGTTTTCCCGCGCTCGAGTTCTTTTTTGCTCCTTGCTTTGTTCTGATTGGGCATCGTGATTGCCGCGGCCTTCGTTTCACGACGCTAAATCTAAAGCGCTTTACATCCCACTTTCGTATACAATGATGTATTGAGCCACACCGACAACTGAGAGGTAAATATCTGCTCCCGAATGCCCTAGAAAATGTGAATTCCCGTCGAAATTATCCGACAAAAGCTAAAAAATAACACAGAATGAACTCACAAGGTACACAGCAGTGGTAGCAGCATCAAAGTGCCTCCCAGGACAAACACAAATCCCGGCATGTTGAATTTCAGAGATTTGGGGTACAAAGAACTGAACAACGCAGTACCCCCGAAAGTGCAGAGCATCTCTATGGAGGAAACCGTGGAGAAAAGTGACCCTAAAAAAAAAAAAAAAAAAAAAATTAATCCATACATCACAGCAATGAGAGATCTGAGTTAAGGAAAAAAAAGGTGAGCGCGCTAAATCTCGGATCGTTCCCTAGCCACAGCTACTAAAGAAGAAAGAGCGTTTGCATTCAAGGGTAAGAAAGATGTCAAGAAAGCGGGAGAAAAGGTTTTATTAGGAAAATGAAAGGTTGCGCGTTAGAGAACTTGGTAAATCATCGTGGAAAAAAAAAACCGTTCATCTCAAGTTTCGTTTAAGAATCAAGTCCAAATTATAGCAGTACTAGTACAGCATATCTTTACCTTGATCGTCTGTGCTCACAATTTTTGACATCATAGCTCTGAAGACAGGCTGTCCCGCACCACCAAAGATACCAACTAAGGGAGCTGTAAAAAATAAAATGAAAGAGATGAAAATATAAAACAAGAAGAAAGAAAATTGAACTTTGGAATGCAAGTAAGTATCACTATCTTCAGAGTCCTCAGACTTATCTAAAGCTCGAAAGATTTGAAGATTGCTTGCGTACTTATCGAGAACATTCTGACTTCTTCGCGCGGAATCTTCCTAGTACATTGGGATGTTGAATAATTCATAATAATCTATATTTAAATAATTTTTGAAACACACGAAGGATCTCTTTTTTTTCGTTTTAATAATAATTGAAAACTTTCGACTCTACACTCACCCATGAAAACCATGAACTCGTTTGCGGAGAATCCTAGAAAAATCAAAAACCCTGTGTACGACAAGATGGCGATACGACTGACAACGGCATCTGGGAGACACATCCCGAGCACTTTTATAGCTGTCACTCCACCGACTCCATGCATAAATTGACGAAACGCCAAGAAATATCCCACTAACGTCGGCGAAAAACACAAGGGCGAGTGAAGAGTGTAAAGATTCACTACGCCATTGATTCCCATCACTGCTATTGCCAGAACACCGTTACAAAACGTCAAAACCACTAAGTTTCTTTTCTTGCTGCCTGTAGCTTTTCCGTAAACCGTCCAGCTGGATTTCAAGTTCTGAAGGCTAAATAACCTGCCTGGGTTTTCGCTGGATTTTGCGCGCGATTCTGGTACAAAGAAAATGGCATAGAGCACGGCGGCCATATGGCATCCAAATATGATCCAGTAAGGAGTGATGAATCCGAGTTTCTCTATCCACAGTCCGCTGGTCAGCTGAGCCACCATGCCGCCAAGAAATACTATTAGTTCGATTATACCTGTAATTTTGTGAATAAAGGAAAAAGGAGTGATATGCGGCATTAAAATATATGGGGATATTTTCCATTCTGATTGGCTGACAAGATAACAAGTTCTTTTATTCAGCCGTCTTTCCATGCAGGAAGGCAAAAAGTATTGGATCAATGTCAGTATCTGAGAAACTGTACACCTACCCCTCCCCTAACCTAGCAATAGTCAACTGATGACAAGTTAGGGTTAATGTTGTGGTTGTTGAGGGAGGGGTATGTGCGTAGTTGCTCAGATACTGTCATTGATCCAAGGTATTTAAGAAGATCAAAAACTTTAACTAAGACCTTATGCTGATTACCAGGGGATATGGGTTGTATTGTTCACTGGAGGCCTGGGGAAAAGAAAGATGAGTTTAAAGACATTCCTAATTTGCAATTAGCCTTTCATCATTGTCTACCATTGAAAAAGTAGCCTGGTGCAAGTATGACAAGTGGTGGAAGGAGTTTGTATTCCATGACACTTGTTTATCAAAGTGTTATGTGAAATCTGTCCCTTCTTCCACTCCCTACTTTGGCTCTAATTGTGACAAAACGGAAGACCTACATATTGCTTATCTGAACCCCTCAATTCTACCAATTACCAAGGAAGGGGAATGTTATTTTCAAAAAATAATATCAACAGCTGTTAGGCACAAGACTCACCCAATCGCAGGGCAATTCTGGACTCCTCTGTTGTATCTGCCACATAGGACATGCAAGCTAAGATGATAGTTGTGTAATATCCACAAATACCATGCAGAAATCCACCAATGAACAGGCAGTAAATAGGCCATTTCAGGTACATGACTAAGAGAACTACAACAGCTTCTAATGCACTGCCAAGAGTAGGTAAGATCAGGGCAGGGCGTCGACCAACTTTGTCTGTCCATCCACCCATGAATAAAGTAATGATGATTGATGGGAGGGCAGAAAACATAACAATACCCAGCTGAACATATGAAGCATCTGTTTGCACCTGTGGTAGATGAAACATCATCACATAGGTAATTTCATTTAACAGTAAGCAGGTCCATAAACAGCAAGCAGGTTGTCAATTTATCAGTGCTACAGAATGAGCATTTCTTGGCCCCCTTTGCACTCATTTACATGAGCCAGCAAGGGATCTGCAAGGGATCTGGAACCCTTGTCATCAAGCCTCCAAAGCTGATTACACATGCTGAAATGCAAAACCTACTTTTATTGCACGTATATTAATGTCACAGCATGAAATAATGTTAGCATGGTTTCCAACAATTAAACCAGTTTTCATGCAAAATAACAATGTAAACCAATTACACCTGGTATCAAATTACCACACAGCAGTTATGGCTAAATTGAAAATCTGTTATTTCCACACAGCCATGTATCTTGGAGCACTGTGGAGTGGATGCATTTGAATATGGTTTAAAACTAAAAATAATACAATCAATGCACTTCCAGTCTGAAGGCTCAATGCATTACATTGATTCCATACCTCTTTCTCAAGCTTTTTCATGGAAGCATTCAGGTTCTTTCCTTCACATCCTGTTTCTTGCTGAAAGTGATAAGGGAATCCCTTTGCATCACTCAGCCTGTGGTAAATAAACTGCTGCGACACTGGAACATTCATGAACAACCCAAATGCATACAGGAAGAGAACAGGTTCCACTGTCAGCAGCTGTCGCCATGAGAAACCACTTCCCTCTGGCATTGTGATAACTTCTGTGATTACAACGAAGAAAGCATAGATAAAAGTGATAGTAAATAGTAACTAGATACGATGAAATTAATACTTCAGAGCCCTATTCGAGTCACATGCATTGTCACTGATTGTGGTGTTTTGAACCTAAAGAGGAAAGTCCAGTATATTCAGAAGGAATATCCAAAATTTGATTCTAAAAAAAATTGTTTCAAACGGATAAATAACCGCCAGCGTATTCACTGAATACTCATCTTCCACTAAATTGTCTTCCACTTGGTCACGCAACCTCGCTACGTGACGAACTGTAATCGAAGTAAAAATACAAACATGCAGCTCAAAGGCTGCGAGCATTGTATCATAGCTCACTTAATGTTAAAATAAATGTTATAATTGAGACACCTAGGTAATTCTCTCCCAAAGATTTTGTGAAAGTGCTTATTCTGACATCGAACGCTACATTTTACTCTGAAACTTTCGATCCACGGGTAGTGCTCAGATGTCGGGCGATTGGCACAATTTCACAACAATTAAGTGATCTTAAAAATTCTGCAAGAAAAGACGAGTTTGTAAACTAAAATATTTCTATGGATAAGCTAAGCTCATAAAGTTAAACCGTTAAAAGTGACAAATTAAATTTGCAAATTTAACCAGCGATCACTGAGTAGTGCATCAGCTGAATTCATTGTTTGTCTGATCTTCCTCGATTGAGTCAAATATTAGTGCAACATGACAATCCATTCAAAGATATAAATTATTTACCTCATGTACTAACCTCCAGGGGTTATACACTGCTGGAAAGGTATCTAAGACAGCGCCCAAGAGCTCGCAATCACCTGTTCTAGACTTCCCTGACGCGCCTGGACGAACAATGTCGAAGTCCTCTGCGGTTGAGTAATCAGTAATGCCGCTGAATTCCCGAGGATAGGGAAGTGGCGGATGAGGGGATATATTAAGTTGGCGGGGACGGCAGAGCGGAAGGGGGAGGGGGGTTGCAAATTCATGTCTTGTTCTTTAAATAGTTTGCTTTCAACGGTTCTCGAATAATCCTGCCAAAGGCAAATTTGTAAACACAGAATACGAGAATAGTTATTCATTTATCTAACTTTGGGAACCAGTGAAAACACTGCAAATTCGGATGAATCACTAGTGCTCTCTGGAGACTGGTTGTTCATGCATGGTAAACTGTAACCTTTCCCAATGGCGTGATGAGAGAATCAACTTGAGAACTTTCAAGTGAACAGCTGGAGGCAAAACTTTGTCTTTAATGGAAGCAGTTGAACGGAATATTTAACACTATATGTACAGTGGATGGACTCTGTTAGTGACTAAGATTCTAAATAATAACAATAATTCTTGTTCATTTTCCTACATCAATAAGCTTTTACTAATAAGTTTCTTTTATTTCCTTATGGAATTGTTCATGTCCCACTTTGCATTTTTTAAACATTCCTTAAGTATCACTGACTAAATATATAGTATGCTTGCCAGAGGTACGTTTTTTCTACACAACTGACCTCCTTAAACAGCACTAGTACGGAAAAAAATTGTCTTTGTTCACTGCAGCCAGTAGCTTCATATCAAGGCGTCAAATAGATTAAAAAACTGAATTAGCTGTTACAAAGCTAGAAGGAGCTTTTTTTTTTTCCATCAAGAGACACCATTAAAGTTTAGTATCTAAATGCTTCATTTCGGCAAGCCCTGGGCGTTGACCCATGTTCGCTCGGTCATTTATCGAACCTGAAAGTTGAACATAGAAAAGAAGAACTGATAAAAAGATTGCCGAAAGATCTGATATTCGTAATTTCACCACCGGCACCCAAGCCCAAATTCCACATACATTTGTAGAGGGAACACTTGTTAAGGGAAATTCTTTACAATTTAGTAATCGGAAAAGAGGAAAGATCACAAGTCTATAAATAATTACAATATGTGGTAGGTATAAGGCCAGTCATCATTCACCGCTTGGGGGTGGGGTGGGAGGAGAATTTGAAGAGATAACATGGTTTTCAGGGGGTACGGAGGGGGATATCGGTCGTCAACCGCAGAGTATAAAGGGGGCTATAGAAAATTGATTGCCAATTAATTGCCAATGAGGACGGGGGGTGGGGGGAAGAGTGGTTGGGTCTCCTAGGAATATTACAGAGACCTATGGAGGATCAGGTAAGTTTTATCGTGACACAAACAAAATTCTCCAGCGCCCCAATCCCCCAGACGATAAATAATGACCGGTCCCTATGTAAGTGTAAAAAAAGTCTGGAATAGGGTGGATCCGAATGAGATAAAAAAACGGCAGCCAGAGAGGAGGAGAGAGGGGAAAGAGGGAAAAGGAAAGGAAGAAAAAAGGATAGAGAAAGGATAGAAAAAAAAGCGAAACGAAAAGAGAGAATGATTAGATAGGCACAGCGAAAAATCCCACCCTTGGAAAATTTGTCTAGCACTTCACTGCTAGATATATCAGTCTCGTGAGGACGCGCATTCCCCGAACTAAACGTATATGGCAACAAACGCTTCTGCACGGTACAAGACAGCGTAAAGCAAGAATGAACTAATAAGAACTAATACCTGCAGGTGACAACTGAGTAGTTGTTGATACAGTAGATCTGCAAATTTGGGTCAAAATTCCTAATCGTGTCCTTGTAATGAATCTGAGCAAACTCTCTCTCACCTATTGTAACAAATAAAGAAACACTGCAACAAACAAGTATAGAAAATCAGCGATTCTACCTAAAGTTCTGAGTGTGGAGGTTTTACCGCATAAGCCATCAATTTAGAGGGCCACCACAAGGAATACGATATTCTGCATCAAACTTACACCAAAGCTGTACGAGTTAAGTTGGAAAATACCTGGTCATCCAAGAAGCCATGGAAGATACAAAACACCAAACCCTAAAAGAATCAAAAGAAACACTAGTGAGGTAAACTTGATCGATGGCAGCAACTGTAGAGCACATAGAACCGTGAGTACCTGGGTCGAGTTGAGTATGATGAACAAATACGCAAGGACTTCACTCCAGTGGATAAAGAACCCCAGCAGCCACGTGACACCCAACAGGGGCAGTAGAGCTGCGATGCTCCTCAATCCTTTTCTGTAAGATTAAAGGAACCTTTAAGGGATCGATCACTGGGGGGAGGGGGACGGAGGATTTTTTGGGGGGTATGACATGGTTGTCAGCGGGAACGGAAGGATGCTCAGTTGTCGCCAACAGAGTGTAAAGGGGGGGGACATTGACTGCCAAACGTTCAAAGAGCCATGGAACCACCACTGAAGTTTATCTCAGTTTCTCTGGCGACAGAACATAGAAGAGCATAGCTCAATTTCAAATACTTCTAAACAGCATTTCCTATTCTGTGCGCATGTGGGAGAAAACATATTTGCCACTTTCTATTAGCCCTTCGCGAATATCTTAGTGAATAGCATCTAGTTAAAAGAGCTTGTTAATTAAAAAAAATCACACATACAACACAAATCTGACTCTTTTACTAGATCATAAGCAAATATATATATACATCAAAGAAAGGAAACAGGAATGAGAAAACAAAAGAAGAAACTTACCTGGTCTTCTCTACATTATCAGTCTGATATTTGTCCGATATCTTGGTGAAGATAACTCTCAGCAGAATTACAAATATCACAAGATTGACCTGGAAATAAAAAATTGAAAAGTGTTTGACCTTAAAAAACATTCTGATATTCATGTCATGTGTCTGCTTGGTCGTTTGAAGTACAGTAAGTTGGAGCGCTTGATTGAAAGTCACAAGAACAAAACCCAGCCGCCTTAGTCGAAACGGTGTAGCAGAACAAAGGAAAGTATCAAAAGAGTTAAACGAGAACTCAAAAGAAACAGATATAAAGGTGTTCATGGTCATTATTTATTCTTCACCCCCCCCGGCGGTAAATAATCAATGGTCTAAGAAAAAAGCGGGACTTTTCAAAAAACACATAAACAATTACTTAAAAGTTGATTTGGGAAAGAAAGTTGAGCCTACCACGAGAATTGCCAAGATTGGTCCTTTATGCAGCCATTCACCGTCATTAAGCCAGCACCTTGAAAAGATTATAATATTCCAACATGACTAAGTAAAGAAAAAGGAAAGCAGATCAATGCATTTAACTTATTCATTTGCAACTTTCCGCTTTGTTGCAAATGAAAAGGAAAAAAATAGAAAATACAGTAATAGAAAAATCGATATAGAAAAGTTTGTGAACCAAACCTTTACAATCCGAAAGAATTAAAAAAAAAGACATTCAAAACATTATAAATCAAACACATCGGCCTCTGAAAAGGAAAAGTGTGGCAGTTAAAAGAAACAGCTAATGGTCCTAATCGTGGAAGTTGGAGAGTTATACTAACCTGTCACGTATAATCTCGGCTGAAAGTTTCAGTGATCCACACATGACGTCCTTGTAGTATGTCTTGCTCATATCATATGTCACAGGTCTGATGGCTGCTATTAGACCCACAATAACAACTGGTAGACCTGTGGTCAAAGGAGGTTGATATACTGTGAAATCCCAGATCAAAGTGCCCCCGCTTATGGGTTAATCTGATTGTAAACAAAAGTTTCCTTCCGGTTATGATCCTAATGTCAAGTCTAACGGCAGTAGTGTTGCAGAACTACTATATGTGGTCACACCGCTTTTAATGTCGCGTAAAACACCATAGAAAGAGAAAAACCATGATAACACCACGCACTACATTATATAAGGTAAGACTGAGGTAGAGCATCTTAGTTACATTCCTCTCAGTAGCCTCGTTCTCATGGTCTTTATTGAAAGTTACGAAACGAGTTTTTTTTCTCTCGGACTTTTGGCCCAAGCGCAAAAAGTATGGGCTATAGATTAGAGCGAAAAAATAAAACAGGTTCCATCACTTACGGCACAGACCAAGAAAACGAGGTTAGTAAGATAGTTATTAAAACTCTGGGTTTGAAAAGAGGGAGAAGATTTAAATTCAAACAATAATTGAAGTTTAGAGGGCGGTACAGTAATTAATGGGCCGCTAAGGTCCGCTGGGCTGACTGATCATAGTGCATGTATCAAATGAGAGAGATGATAAAAGCTGTAAACAGAGCTTTACCCCACCCGATGACAACGTATGTGATATAGAGCTTGTGGACTGAAAACACTTTCACCAGCTTGATGTAAAGATGAATTCCTTCAACCAACATCCACGTGAAAATAGCGGTGTGTGTTATATGTTGGAGGACAGCTATAGCTGAACATAATTTCTACGATATCATGAAGAAAAAAAAAAAAAGAAAGAAATGTCTAGGTGCCATATTAATCTGGGTTTTTCAAGCTGAAAAAAGATCCAATTTAAACAAGGAGTATAGGCTTCTACAAGATTTGCTAAAACCTATCAAGGAAACGATGTGTTCTTATTATCTGAGCGGGAGGGCCGGACGGAAAACATTTGGCTCGTGGTGACAACTCACGCACTTCGCTGCGTTTGGTCCACACGGTTCGACCCGACATTGCCTGTCAATACGCATTTCATAATGGGACCGCCTTCTTTCTCGTTCTTCCTCACTTCTTACATATTTTCATCCTCACATCTCGCGGGGACATACGCTGGGTTGTGCAGCTTTTCCCGACCCTGCTCGAGCCATTGCGTACATTACTTATACCGGGATTTTTTCATAAGAATCATGATCAGTAAAACTCACCGGTGTCTGCTTCCTGTTTGTAAAAATCCACGAGTCTAAGATCATCACGATGTAAACCAGGCATATGGATATTAAAAGGTTTTTATGAACAAATATTCTCTCGGAGTTTCTTATCCTGTGTTAGAAAAGAGGTCACTCCGTTAGCTATATAGTCGGTACTTCATCGTCAATTAATGTTTGTGTTATTAAATCAGTTGCAGACCAAAGGGTATGTACATTTCAAAGTTCGGCTGGTCAGACATATATATATAACTGTTAACTACTGGTCTATCAGTCGGAAGTCAATCCACATTTGAACGTACGACAGCAAGCGAGCAAGTCACTCTTTTAGTTGGTAAGTTAGTCAGTCGGTCAGTTGTTCAGTCAGTCAGTCGGTCGATCCGACAGTCGGTCAATCAGTCAGACGGCCAGCCAGCCAGTCAGTCAGTTCGTCAGTGCACCGTCAGCAAATCAGACAACAATCAGTCTGTCTGTCTGTCAGTCAATCAGTAAGTAAGTTAGTCAGACAGTCAGTCAGTAAGATAGCCGAGTCATTCAGCCGGTTAGGCAGTCAACCGGTAAGTCGTCAGTCAGGCAGTCCGACTACTGTGTTATGCGTTGATCAATTCGAAGCTTCAATATCCCCCCTGGCGTTTGAACTTTAGAAGATAAGCGTGTTCAAATCCCCCTCCCCACAGGCCAAACTTGCGCTCGAAAAAGCTCACGAAAGCAGACTCTTTACTTTTAAACACCTCCTTTTGTCGGAAATGAGACTAAAGAATCTGCTATGTTCCGAAACTTCACGTTTTATTTTATAAAATCAACTTAATCTCCCACTCTCTCTCACCGTTTTTCTGTCCTTCGCTCTGGTCTCTCTCATTTTAAATATATAATATGATCCTATTGTTCAATCATCTGTCACTTATCGCAAAAAATCAACCGGAAATCAATTAACGCTGAATAATCTCTCACACTTTAAAACACGTTTATTACGTTTATAAGAATTGACACTTGCAGTTCAAATGCCCCACCCCATCCCATACAAGGTTCGATTTCCCCTCCCCCGGTTACAGACGACATTCAAATGCCAGTAAGGTGCCCTGGGGATGCTGAAACGTCGAATTGATGGGCACATTAGTCACGCTTCTGAGTATCAAACTGACTGAGTACCTTAGGCAGGAAAGCAGTATTAAGCAAATTACGACAACCACTGTAGAAATGCCGCTGAGAATAAGATCCAGGTGAATTTTAGCCATAGCTTTCCTCTCTTTTTCCTCATCTCTAACTTCCCTGGCTGTGATTTTTAACGTTCCATTCACCTGAGAAAATAAGTTTGAATGATTTAACCAACGAAAGTTTCCGCAACATTGGCAACTGGCCACTAATTTACTGCATAAAAGAATGAAAGGCGTATCCGACCCCCCCCGCAGCACCAACGATCTAACTCTTTACCGTTTACAATAAAAGTTATTTGACTTACGTCATATTCAATCCAAGCACAGTTGAAACGTTGAAGAGGAACAAGTACGCGACTGAAATTCATCTAGTGAGAGAAAAACAGGAGGTGCTCTTTGAGTCAAAGCTTTCCTCCTTAAATTTCGCTTGATAAGGTAGATGCGCTCTCAATAAAGGTCATTTTGAGAAAAGTATGAGTGAGTTCGATTGGGTTTAGAATTCAGTATGAAATTAAATGATAACCCATGAGTACCTATATTATTATTAGAGATAGGTGGATATTGAAGTAAAAACTTTCTTTTAAGTCGATACTCTTAGGATTGAGAGAATTAACACAAATATCCTGACTGAAATTTGAGGTCATTTCCCTCAAAAGGAATTTTTCAGACATTATCAGTTTCCCTCGTACGTTAGAATTCGCGGCGGCCTTTTTTCTTTGGTGCATTACTCACCTCGCTAGTGATGTTTCCCGGAGGAAGTGAAAGGGAGCTGACAGTATCACTTCCTAAGGACAGCTGATTTGGATCAATCCTCAGTTTTAGAACCGATCGCAGCCAATGGATAGTTATAGGAGGAGATTCTGGGCTTAAGTTGCCTCCGATAAATGGAAGAGGAAATACACTATAGGATATACAGAAGTATACGGGAATAAATTCCATGGAAAACGGCAATGAATAAGGAATGAGTCCATTCTTTACAATTAATGTTCTCAAAACCGCGAGAGCATTCCCATGGGTATCGTAAAACAAAAACTAGATACCAACAGCCAAAAAGGGTTGAGGAAAATATTGCAGGAAGCCAATGAGACTTCAAGCTGTCTGGAGCGCGGGAAAACGCGAGTGATTTGTTACGACTGGTTTTAATGGTGATTCTGATTGGTTAAGAGTTTGGCCCGGGTTTCCGAAACCAATCAAGGCAAAGTAAGAAGGAATAGTTAAATTGCGGATGACGCGCGATTGCTAATTGCTCTGTCACAACAGAATGGTAAATCAACAGGATATCCGTACTTGAATAAGCGTGTGATCTCGAGTTTTTATTTTCCCTAATTTTGTTTCCTTTTAAAGATTTCTATGAAAGGTTCCATTCTCTTTCGCTTCTTTTTCAAGGCATCTTTTGTTTCTAATGTTTTTCTTCGAAATTTTCCACGGGAAATTCGCGTGCGGTCGGCCGGAATTGTTCTTCTCGAGCATGGGCGATGTTTGACTGCTGTGTTGCTTTAAATACAATGCGTTACATCACTTACTACGTGAGGGAAAAAAATGGGAATTGGGATGAGCTGCTCAGCGGAATTCGACCAAAAAGACACTTGAAGTCGATCAATGTCTATTTAAGTCTACGAATTTCACTCACTATTTCAACTTAATCTCGATTTGTATGAAACCCTCGAATCAATAGTTTTCATGCAGGTGATAACAAGCATTAATAACATCATCGTTGTAGATGAGCTACGATGATGAAAAAAAAAATTCTGGTTAAGAAGTCTTAAAATTTTCTGGCTTATTTTTATGCATCTCTCTAGCAATTGCCGTTCACTTGTCAGTATTATTGCACTACGTATTTTCACTTTAGTTTAAAGTAATTGGTCTTTACTTGACTTACTATTCCATCGGTATCGGAGTGAAACAGAACAGGAAGGTATGCGTCAGATTTGAGGCCCCGCAATTAAATTCCCTGATATCTTGCATTAATGACCAGCGCTGCCAGTACGTCTGCGAAAACAACAAAGACGGTAACAATTTAGTGACTAAAAAAAGTCCGACATCCATAGAAACTCAAATTTATGGCAAAGTTTTTTTTTATATAGTTTGAAATTTCTCAAATCGAGTTTGAAGAACTGGGGAGTGGCGCAGTGGTGAGAGTGCTCGCCGCCCACCACCGTGTCCCGGGTTCGATTCCCGGGCCTGGCGTTGAGTTAATCATGGTCGGTTCTGGGCCTGGTGTCGAGTTAATCATGGTCGGTTCACGGCCTTGTTCCAAGGGTTTTCTCCATGTCCCCCAGATTTCTTCGCTCCTCAATACCAACATTCAAATTCAAAATTCGACCTGGAAACAGTGGACAAACTGGACCACGTAAACATCTGAACTAAGGCAGCGATGACGAATGGTCCAGTATGCCACACGGATTTATTAGATCATAATCATCATCATCATTATCACTATAGCGACGCTTGATCGCCGCTAGCTGGACCGTACGAATCTCACTGATCGACACAACAAATATCGCCCCAATTTCTCTCTGTTAAACGCCTCCTTTATTAAATGTCGTATTTGACCGTGAAGCTAAAAATAATTGATTCACAAAATTAGGGACAAGAAATTAGCTATAGAAACACTCGAAGTAAATTAAACTTACATTGTTGCCGGATCTGGCGAGAGTTGACACAAAAAAGACCTTTCCTTCCTTCGATAAAAACGACAGACAATTTCTTTCTATTAAACCACGAGTGCTTGCGAAATCGATCGAATTATTGAATTGCACAATAGATCCGTTCTGTTTGGAAATGCGATACTACTTACGGAACGCGTGACGTGGCACCTAGTGTGACTTTTACAGATTATTAATTAAACGATTACTAAATCAAAACAAGGGATAAACCCGTGCCTTAGGGGCACTTACAATCACATTTGTCATCATTTGTGGATTTTCGTCTTTTGCGATTAATTTAGTTTTTCTCAACAATCCTTATCCTTGATCGTTTTCGAATTGGTTAAAGCCATCTAGCTTTAATGCTCATCTACGTCAGTAAAAAATTAACACCCCCTAAAAGAAAACCTTGATGTGGCGTAGCTCCTTTAAAGGTGTGTACCACACTTACCTCATCCTAACCGAGTTCGAGGTCGATAGTAGAAGTTACAGACCGAGTCTTTTCCCGCTCCTATTTATAAATCCGAGCGGAAGAACGAGGTTCCGTAACTTGCAGTGCAGACCGAGAAAACGAGGTTAGCCAAGATATCTATAATATCTCTGGGGTGAAGTAGAGGTGAAAGATTTCAATTTAAACAAACTTTGATTTGAGAGGGCTGTACAGTGAAACACGGCCCTTTAAATTACCCAATTATAGCGGACGTACTAACTTAGTCTAAGTCTCGGAGATATAATAAAGTTGGTTAATTTTGTTTCAAGAATTATAAACAAGTCTTTTAGATGGAATATTACTTTCAAATCAGAAGTCTTATCAAATACTGTTTTATTATGTTGCGTGTCTATTTACTTTCTTGTTTTAGCTTTGCGTTTTCTTATCTTACAGTATGTTTCACGCATGCTTACCACTTTTTTGGGACAAAAGGAGTCTGACTGAGGTTTGAAAACGTTTTCGGTTTGAGCTGTTTGGAACATGGCCTTGAGAGAAAGAACATATATGATTAGCTCATAATTCGCAATCCTATAAGAGGTCAATAAGAAAATGAACCCCTAGACAATCATTAAAAAAGGCTACCCTCTGTACCTGCATTTCGAAATCCAGTAAGGGAGCAGTCACAATTTATCACCAGGGTGGGGGTCAGGATTTTGTGTCACATTATGATTCCCAGGCTCTTTAGTATTGCTAATGATCCCCCCTCTCTCGTTGACAGTCAATCTTTTTTATAGAATAATTCAAATAGTACGTGCCCTCTGATTGGCCATAAAAACCATTTTACATGAGCGTATGTAAACACGGTTTTCATACTGAATCTTCTCGCGGAGTTCTCCCTGCTATTTATTTAGCAGTAACTCAGTTTCTTTAAATTTATTTTGAGTACAGTAATGGAAGAAGAAGATTTTCTTAATTTTTCTTTGGAGTTTAATTTTCCCAGTATTCAAGAAACGGCCGAAAAGCCAAATGAACAACAACAACAAGCACGTCGCTTTCCTTCGTTGCAAGAAGAGGCTCTTTCATTAGTTATTTTATAATGAAGAAATGTAAAATGGTTTCCTTGTTTACATAGCCTGATGTAAACACTTGGGAGGTTGGGAGAACACTCAATAAGCTGGAAACCACTCCGCTTCGCGTCGTGGTTTCCTACGCTTATCTCGTGTTCTCCCAACCTCCCACGTGTTTTTATCAGGCTATGTAAACACGGAAACCATTTTACATTTCTTCAATGGTCCACCCTTGCAGACACTGTTGGCGACGACTAATTCCTCCCTCCGTTTCCCCTGAAATTAATGTAATCTCCCAATGTAAGATCCTTCGACCCCTCACCCCAAGGTTATTAAACGCGACTGGTCCATGAGAGTTTCTTTAATTCTTTGATAACTAGTGTAGATAAATCAAACCTCTAAGGAAGACTTTTACCTGATTTATTAAAAAAAATACCCATACCTTTAAAAAACAGTTTCTATGTTCTTCGTTAAAAAAGTAGGCGCGTATTTAATTTCAAACTGACAAAGAATGTAAAGTCTGTCATTTGGTAATAAATAATGGTAATAGGACCGAGCGGAGTCCAATTCGGTCTGTAATCGTACGAGTGATTAACAAAATCGGACGAGCGCGAGGCGAGAGTCCGATTTGTCAATCACGAGTATGATTGCAGACAGAATTGGACGACAAGAAGTCCTGTTACCAATTAATTAATCATAACCATTAAAATTTCGGAAAAAAAACATTTAGGACAAAGATCTCCAATAGGGACAATGTCTAACGCAAAAAATTTGGAAATTTCCCAGTTTTCTTTTAAGGGTAAGTGATTGTTGCTATGGATATTCTGATTAATTCTGTGATTGGTGGATTTAGCTGAGTGGACTTAGCATGGTCGGCTATTTCAAATTTACGATTACAGGTATCCGATAACAACCAACTGTCCGATTACAACTGTAGAGAATGATTAGTGAAATATAAAGCAGCTGATGCACCAATCACGTTTGAGCAAATTGTAATGGTTATGATTAAGGCTGAAATTCGTACCTGTGAGAAATTGAGTGTCACCATATCGTTGGAACGGTTGACTGGATTTAGTAGAAGAGCTCCACTTTTAAACCAAAGACTCAGATAATTAAAGAACAGTTCTTTGTTTGTAAAGTTAGTGGCCTTGTTCACAAATGCTCTTGTTAGTTCCAAAATGTTTGTTAGATTCATTATGGATAGCTGAAAATGAATAGAGAGAAGCCTTATATTAGTTCCAGCAAACTTAGTTGTTTACCCGATGAACTTTATGACAAACATGATGACGATCATCTTAACTTCTTCGTTCGTACGAGCGCGAATCAAACCAACTATTTTAATTACGGCATTTGGTTCATGGCCACTGTAAAGAGTTCTAAATCTGATGTTTCGCGCGTTAGCTCTTTGTCAGAGTGAACGACGAATTCTACAAACCCTATACGATGGCCGATTTACATACGCAACTCAACTGACAATACCAAATTATCTTAGTTGTTATATTCCTCATTGACGCAACACCAAAGTTTCTTTAGAAGCTTACCGTCCCCCCACTTACAAAAACAAAAAAAAAATTGGAAATAAATTAAAAGCTTGATTTATTTATTTGCTATTCCAATTGAGTCATGTATCGCGTTTCAAACAACCGCGGATTAGAATACAACCTATTAACCTATATAAGGATTAGAATACATCGGAATCAAGCTACTACATACTTCATGCCTGAATTCCTGACGAAGAGATTTTTTTTCGCAAAAACAGCTTTCTTTGAAACTCCACGTTGTCATACGACCATTTTGTGAAGAACAACGGCTCGTGAAATATCCTGTGGCCAAATAAAAATAAATAAATGAAAAGCACGTTCCTGAGGCACAACAATATTAATTCTATCTTAACACTCTAATGATGGTGATTCAAAGTCTAATTGAATGACAAGTACAACCGACAGCAAATGCTGTAAGCCTACGCGGATGCCTGACGAAGTAAGCTCCATAGATCTACTTCAATTTTGTATCGGGTTTACACAATGAAAGGATATGGTAGAAAAATTAACACAAGCACAGAACAAAGTCTGGACCTTGGAATAACAACTGATTGGGTCACGTAATCCTCCTGATGAGGAAAGACATTTACTGTTACTGGCCGAGGCTCATGACTGAAATTTCGATAAACGAAATGATAGTCAAAGTCAATTCACTTCCTTTTTAAGAAAAATTTGTTGAAGCGGTTCGGTCAATGTTACTGACTTTTCAGGACGTGCTCTCCTCACCCAAGTGATCATACTCCTTGCTCGGAGAAAAAAAATGCCATGTGAAGTGCACCTAAGCAGGAAACTGTTTTCTACGTACATCTGGGCACTGCTTTTGACTTCTAGGAGTGATATCGTTTCCTTTAAACCCTTTTAATCCCAGAAGTGATTAAGATGTAACTTCTCACTGTCATATACATACACTACCCAGAGAACAGGTAATGAGAACACTAAAACTTAACGGGTAGAATCTGTTGCCTTCATCTCGCACCAAATTCTTGTAGCTTATTCACAAGGTAACGCGTGGAAGCTTAGGGGAGAATTAACAATCAGACCTTGGGAATTAAATTTGTGTCGAGCACAATCACAAAATAACAATTTTCGACGAAGCGTATCAAAAAATTTTTCTTACCTCCTAACTCTGGATCCACCTCTGAACAGTTCCTTACAACAATATCATTCAGGGCAGTTCTTTCCCAGTAAATATTGAACTTCGTGTAAAATGGACAGAAATCTGAAATAATTGTTTCGAAGTTCCTTTTACAACAGCTTTCACACAAAATATTCTTGAAAAGGCATAAGTGCTTTTTTTTCCTTCTGTAATCAACATCTTCAAAGTGCATAATAGGATGTTATTCAGCATGAATATAAGAGGAAGATCAAACACCAGTCACTGTTTTTCGCCTGGAAAGTAGGAGGGTTGAAGGATTTCGGGGGGTTTCCAACTTTATCGTACCACCACAACAAAAATTATCCACCACTACCATCTTCCCCCCCCACTTCAACCAGGGTGATCAATAATGACCAGGTCCTAAAGGTAAAAGGTGTGCTCGACATCAGTTGAAGGTTTATTGCGATCAAAAGCTAGTTTGGCAATCTTCCGCGCTCTTCTCTTTATCTGACCTAACTGTCTGTTTCTTGTTACTGACGTGACTTTTACCCTTTTTGTTTTTACTCTTTTACTTGTTATTTATGCTTCAAGACCTTGGCCCATTTTATTTATTCTCAGATTAGTTCCTTTCCTTTTTCATGTGGTATAGGAAGTATCACCTGATTTGCGCGTGTGGCTTTTAGCAAACTTGGAAGAGTTTTTCAAGTTCATTATTAGCAATGTATTGTCATTGTCAATCTATTGTCAATCCTTTCCATCCTCAACCTTCGTCGTCTCTTTTCGCTTCATTCTCCTCATTTTTATGCCTTTCTATCTCGCAAAACTAGTATTTAGTGGTCTTCATAATTTTGAAGAAAACTTTTTCGCGCGTTACAGGATGATACGGTTCAAATTCCGGTGACAGCCTCCGGAAACTCTTTGACTCTGTAGTGTCGCCGCAAAATTTACCTGATTCCCCAGAAAACTCTTTACTATTCTCATGATCCCCTCCCATCAGCAGTTCATTAGCAGTCAATTTTTCCAAAAGTCCCTCTTTTATTTGCAATATTCTATTGACGACAACTGATCTTCCCGTTCCCCAGAAAACCATACGATCCCCCATTATCCTCCGAACCCCTCCCCCCAGACGAAAAATGATGACTAGTTCCCAGGTCTCAGTCAGTGCCATTTACACTTACACTGAACGCAGTCTCTCTCGTCAGACTCGTCCCTGCAGTCTGCTTTCTGATCACATCTGTCGTTGAGTGATCTTATCTCATCTCCACTCTTACAGAGGTACAGTCTTTCATCAGATACGAGTGATAAGTTTCGTACTCCTGAAAAAAGTGTAGAAACACAAACAGCCTAAAAAATATCGGAAAAGTTTTTTGTATAATGCAGAGCAGAATAGTTATTTTTCGACGTCCACAAATCTAAGCGGGAATGCTAAAAAGGTAGCTTGAAGGAGCATGTTTTTCTGGGGAAAAAAAAATGTATGTCCCTTAAAGTCCTTATGACACGCTGTATGTCTCGATAGTTAGTGGCCCATGGAACAAACCTGTAAAAGCCCCTGTACATTGCACGTGACCAGCTTTCAAGTAGCATCCATGCCTCACTCTCTGCTTTTCTGAGCTGCAAAAGAAGTCAACTCCATTCTCTGCCCAACGGTAGCCTTCCGGATAGGTTTGGTTCCTCCAAATGCAAACTAACATAATGTAGAAAAGTCATTTACATGGGAATAGATAACTTAAATTTAGTGTGGTAGTTTTCTTAGGAATTGTGGTGGTAAACAAGCCTTTAGGTACAAAATATATGATAATTCGCAGAGAAAATTAGCTAGAATTAATTGCAGCTCTTGTAATTACAGGATGAGAGCTCTTTGAAGAATCCTCGTTTCCCATTTTTACGCAGGTATTCGGCTTTACCGTCACAATCACTTACCTTTACAGATTCCTCGATTTGCTTTCAAAAACGCCGCTACGTCACAATCCGGTTGACTACAGTTATCGGTGTTTGTGTCATTAGATGTAATGACTGACAGCGTTCTAGAACACGAGACAACGCCATTGTGATAGTAACAGTCGATGCAGTCACCAATAGACCAGGTGCTTCCATTGATATATGTATTTACATCCTCATCCTGACCCAAGGCATCTGAAAAACAAATCGTCAGCAGATAGGGACTGAAAAAATCTGCCAGAGACCAAATACCTAGGTCTAAAAATAGCTTGAGAGTGATAACGTTTGAAATAGGGCTTGCAAAGGCATACAGTCTCATTAACTTATTCTCTCTTAACTGCCGCTGACGTCCATACATCGGTTCTTTCACAAAGTTGCACAAACGTTTTTGTTTAACATTTGAACATTTGCTCCGAGAGAACTCACAAACTTTATGTCACACGTCCATTATCGACAAGCGACTAGGTTATAATAGAGAAGGATGTGATAGTGTAGTTTGATCGTGTGGGTGAGTTTAGTCCTGATAAGGACTATTGTCGGTAATGGTGACTGACGTTTCGACAACCTGAGCGGAAGTCATCATCAAAGGCAAGAGAATAGTTGTTGTCAGTCGAATGTTCTTATTCCGGTTTGTAAAAACTGATTGGTCATTTTTGCCGTGATTTTATCGGCTGGAAGACTCAAGTGGCGTAGGTGGTCATGATTGGTCGGTCTTGATCCGTTAGTGAAGTTAGGTCGTTCTGTTCGGTTCATTTGTAATGTTATATTAATGTCGTGAGGAGTGTGGTCATTTCCATAAAATTCGATTTGATAGAGATCGATTCAACACATCGACAAAATCGATTCAAAACACGTAGAAATTAAGTCGTTTCGATACAGCCTAAGTCAGTTCGATACAAACTAGTGAAAGATAAATTTGGATGTCACGACGGCAGTTGTTCGGCGATATACCTTGCCTTCTTTAATCTGTATTCAACGATCTGTCAATGACCTTTGTCTCGGTATTTTTTTTTTATCTCAAACGTCTTAAGGACCAACCTCAAATTAGGTGTAAAATAACTTTTATTTAACTACCGCTTGCTAGGGTAGTCGAACAACAAAGAAAGTAATAATAACCTAAAATAGAGAACATCTGCTGAGAATGGAGAGATTAACACAGCTTGAAAATGAGAACTAGATTTTATCAAGATGGACCAGCCATATCGAAGCCTCTTAGAAGTCGCTCTAATCAATCAAACTTACCCGTTTTACAGGAGCCGTTTCCCGGCAGGGAACTCGGGCCGATAATGTCACACTGATCATCACTGGCTATCAACTGAAGTTCTCCAGGACACACTTTCATACCCCAGCGCACCTGACTTGCAAGTTGTGGGAGTGCTATGAATTACAAAACGCGCCTTCAGTGAGAAATTGAGAGCAATTTTTCAATTAAATGCTGTATGCAAATTGGTAATTGCTTTCGTTTTGCTTCAATACACTAACCACTTTGTGATAGGTCCAAAAAACTCGCACGCTGCACGTACAAATCAAATGCAAAGCAGTCAATCACTCATGTCAATCATCCGACGCTTATAGCATTTTGTCAATTATTACTCTGCATTCTCATTGGCTAATGCTCATGTTCACCTTGATTCCAATTGGCTGTTGTCATAACTTTGGTTTTCCTTTTTCGAAAACTGACAGATAATCGTTCCAAAAAGATCATAACATTGTTGTTAATTCATTTGGATTAGGGAAGGGAGAGCGGGGAGTGGGAATAGTGTAGAGGTGAGAGCGCTCGCCTCTCACCAATGTGGTCTGGGTTCGATTCCCGTCCTTGCTCCAAGGGTTTTCTTCAAGTCTTCCGGTTTTTCTCCCTCGACAAAAACTGACATTCCTGATTTAAATTCGACCCGAAAACAGTGGAGAGGACAAGCCACTTTGTGGAATGTTCTATTATTACTATTGTTATTATTATGGTCCATTAAGTTCGCTTAGATTTAAATATGAGGTAATTACAAAGCAAATGTCTTGTAAATAACTCCTTTTTATTATTAATGACCTTATCAATATGAAAAGTGCTTAACATCGTTTTCTTTCCAAACGGAACCGTTGTTCTCATTCGCAATTGGCCGTGCATATCAGTTCAATATCTATAATATTTTACCTGGGCATTTCTCAGCACAACAGACTGCTCCATTGTAGATATAACAGGTTGATAGAGACATTTGTGGGCACCCTGTGGTCCTCTTGTGTCCTACAAAGAGGAATTGACACCCTTGGTAGTCCCAGTTGTCTCCTCGTGACAAAATTTGGCCACCTTCGACGGTTTCAATCGCTGAGTAAAGAAATATTCATTATATGGATATGAAAAAATTACAATGTCAGAGGTAACGGGGTTGATCTAAATTATAAAGTGGTAGAATACGGTAGTTTTAATTGCTCTGTGTTGTTTATTTTAGGAGAGTAGAATTGAGAATGGCATGTTTTTATCAGTTTCCTCGAGTAAAAATAAAGCAATGAAAAAAATCAAGCAAAACTAAGCAATGTCAACTGTTTGAAAATATGATCGGAGACTGTTTACTATGACCGATGTCTCCTTGATCGGGAATGTATGCTAATCCTTGTATAAACTTATACTTAAATTGTTTAATTTTCGATTTGAATTTTCCTGGCTGATACCGCACGTTTTGAAATAAATATATGTTTGGGACCAGTCCTCATTAATTTTTATCTCGGAGTACTTCAGAGCCTTAGAGGGGAATCCTTTAAATTTTATTGTTACCCAACCAAAACCTCCCACCCTTCCCTCTGGCTGATGAATAATGACCAGTTCCTTAGGTTTCCTAATAGTTGTGGATGGTTTTTGCGGTGATTTCAATTTCCGCCCCAGTCAACATTTAGCAGCCTTTTATTGATAAGTATAGATCTATTAAGCGAATCCTGATGGTGTATGCTAATTTGGTTAAAGTGATCTCTAATGTAGCTCTCGGCTTAAATTAAGTTTAACTCTTTTAACCTTACGTGTACCTTCACAAGATTCTCTCCTGGCTTTCATGAATTCCATAGCGTTACACCCTGGTTGTTCACAGGACTCAGTAAAAGGTACGTATGCCAGGTGTTTGCCCGGGAAGATGACTTGAAGTGTCCTCTGGCATTTCAGACGACCCTCTGTGCACTCGCAGGTGAGACAGTCAGACACCTGGAATGATGTTAACAATGAACTCTTCAAATGTTATTCGAGCCGACATTACAAAAAAAAAAATGATAAATTAGTGTACTGCTTTAGTTATTCTAAGGGTGGAATTTTTACAAGGTTTGCCAGAAGTATGAAAACTTACATTCCAAACATCTTTTAGAATTAGAATCTGCCCTTCCTCATCGCGACAAATAACTAAAACAACAACGTGGAATAGAAATCATTAGTATTTATTTCTAATTAAGTTTGTATCTGATGGTTTTTTTCCTTTCTTTTTCGTTTGAGTGATGGGGGGGAAAGAGGAAAGAGGAAAATGGGGAGGAAGGGAGGAGAGGTATATGGTGTGGTTAGATTAGTGAAAGCTCAGTTACTTGAAAAAGCCGGATTCATTAACTCACCATTCTGGCACTGCGCCTCATCAGAAGCGTCCGGACACTCGGCGACTCCATTACACACGTGTTCTTTCCTTACGAAGTCGCCACTGTAACAACCAAATACCTCATTTGAAGCCATGAGCTGAAAGAACACTGGAAAGAGAAGAAGCTTTTAACATGGAAAATTGCACTGTGAAAATGTCATTCGTTGGTTGATCAAAACGAGTCGCTCTCTCTACTAGTTGGGGAGGTAAGTGTGAAAAAACACTTGGCTCAACTTGGCCGGAAAGTAGTCATTTTCAATATTTGATTCGATAACTGATGATTTCTCACCACTACATGTTCGCCTCTTACCATCTCTGCGATTTAGCTCCACATCGTTCAAATGATTAAGGTGGGGACCATTTTGTTTTATGTTAGTAGGGGGGGTTTGCAATCAATATAAACCTGTGATTCAGATCGAGAGTAACTACGTGATAAATAACAAACAATCATATTTCATCATTGCAGTGATTTAATAACGACACTTCATTTATTATTGAAACCTACCCTGGCAAGCAGCGACTGTCTCATCCCCTGTTGGTAAAATATCGTTACTTGGTTGATGACATGGTTTACATCTACCAATTGTCTCAACTTGGAATAACCCATACTTGATAGTCACGCGATACTTCGCACAGCTGATCAAACCATCCCCGCATGAGCAATTGAAACAGAATCCGGAAAACCAGTGGGTACCATGTTCCCGCACTATGCCTTTCTCATCGGTGCAGGTTGGCCGAGAGAGCTTGGTACAGGTTATCTTTCCATAGCTACAGGTACACTTAGTCATGTTGTTGCTAAGCCACTCGTATCCATCTACAAAAGCGTTTCCATGGGAATCCCAGCAGCCATACTCAGTTTTTTTGCATTCGACTTTAAGATTGGGTGCACATGTACATTTAAACAAAGGATTTGGGTTCCAACTCTGCCATACGTCATAGCTGTTTCCTTCTTTGTCTCTGCAACCTACCAAAAATTCAGAAAAATAGGCGACGAAGTTGGTTACCACGCATAAAATTCTCGATGTAGGCAGTCTCGGGTCACCTTTCTTTGCGTACTATCCACGGTTATGCCATTTGTAGCTACGAATGGCTTCAAAACTAAAACTACCTCATTTTATCGGGATCAAAGTCTTCTAACAACTAAATATTTAATGGAAGTATTCAGCCATGGGGAATCTGGTTTCCGCGGTTTTATCTCTTTGGTTGTTTCTTTTAAAGGAAAAATCCGTGATTTACCACCTGGGAGGACGAGATAAGGAGGATTGGGGGGCGGAAACACATGATTTTCAGGGGGAATTAAAGGGGCATCAGTTGACCCCCACATGTTATAAAGGGGGGGGGGACTAGAAAAAAATTGCTTGCCAATCAACTTCCAATAAAAGGGGGACCATAACAATATTGAAGAGCCTTACGGGGGGTCGCAAACAAATTCATCCTACTTTTTCCCCCTGCACGGCCAATAAATAATGACCAGTCCATGACTGTTTTACGTGTCATTTACCAGTTTCACCAGCTCCACAGTATCGCAGGCTGCAGGAGTCTACAGCTGTAGGAAAGTGTCCAAATTTGTACACAATAAAACCACTGCAGTTTTTCATCAACACCAAACTATACCAGTGACAACAATCGTTATCCTTTGTAAAACAAACCATACGCTCCACCACACCCTCCCCTTTAGTTGGATGTTTGCCATTCAACCAGCCAGGCGACAGAGTACCACAATGCATTTTGGGCACGCAATGTGTCGGCATAACAGTCCCTGCGCGGCCAGCCAGCCTGTACCAGCCACTTGGTAGGTAGGCATCACACTTCAAAGTGTTGTAACTGAAATAGTCTGCGGCTCTATCACGCTCGTTGAGTGTGTTGTAGTTGGTGCATTCATCGCCTAATAACAATTAAATAAACAAACAAACAAACGAAAAGTGATCAAAACAAACAATAGAAATCGACGATATGAATATTTTTTGTTTAGTTGAAACGTAGAGTTTATCATTCTTTTAATTGCAATGAACAAACTTAATAAGTTTCGGCACAATTTTTGCCAACACGTTTCTGTTTCAAGATTGAACCTCGTGTTGTTTGGTTTAACGAAGTAAACAATTATCGTAAATGCGATAAGAACTGAAATAACTTCACAAAATTAACGCGGATAACTCTTTTAAAAGCGTAAATCTTTTTCATATCGCATGTTCATCTTGACATCCGTGAAAGCATTAAAGTTTGTAACGATGGCGTCAAAATTGGGAATGTTTCTAATCTTTCTTACAAAATTTTGTAGTAGAGGAGGCGTGGAAAAAGGCTGCAATTGTGAAAATAGAATACTAGTGTCTGTGTTCAAGTTGAACTTTCTTGAATTACCTGGCTTATTCTTGATTGGTACTTGCTTAGGCGGCAATGATCCTGAAATAAAGAAAGACTCTGTGAGTAAATTTTTCCAGATTTTACGAATAAAAGTCAGTATCAGCAAGCCTTTGAATTTAAATGTCGGATGTCAAGTTGACTAACACTCATCCCGCCCCTGTGGGACGCAAAATGGATGAAGCCTCCTCCTTCTCTCGATAAAGAACTCATTTTATTTCTCAAACAACTGCAAACAACGTTTATTTTAATAAAAAAGGCAAAAACAAAGTGCCTGAAATATCGTAGTTATGATTTTCAGGTGGATAGCAGACGATGGAGGAGGTATTCACAATGTAATCTCTGAGGATTTTCTTCTACAAATGCGATTGATAAAAAGGGGTCAGAGAATATTACATTACCTTCGATACCACTTCCACACACTCGAAAAGTAAAGCTGAAACTTGAATTCACGTCCAGTTTGTAAACAAAGAAGCCGCTGCAGTTCCTCACAAGTACGCTCACAGATGTCATGCAACAAACTTGCGACTTGGAGAGACATACTGATCGTACTACTACACCTTCATCTACACTTGGATGGTTACCCGCCAGCCATCCGGGAACGAACGTACCGCAGTGATCAGCGGGAACGCAGGTTGTAGCCATACGCGTACCGGCTGAGCCATTGTACGTAAACCAGCCCGTTAACGAGGTATCACTGGCGCTAACGATGTAGTTGGTAAAAAACCTAGATCTGCTTGCCTCGTTTAGAACTGTGTGGTTCCTGCACTCGATTGCTATAGAACGGAACAGAAAAAAAAACTAACTTAACATCGATCTTTTTGGTTCTCGTCCCATGAAATTTTGGATGTTAGTGACCAAACCAAGAAATGACAAAGGGAAAAAAGACATTTCTGATTCCCCTACGACAAAACGCACCCCTTTCCATGCTTTTGAACTGAGCTAAAGGATACTCTTTGGCATGCCAGACCATTTCAGATTCATATCTGACAATTATCTTCTATACTGCTACTATGTAGGATCAAAAACGATCACGCATCTTTGTTCTCTATCACCAACTTGCTTAAAAATTTTTTTTTTAAGAATTTCGAAACTATATTTAACCTTTTCTCTAAAACCATGGTTTTTCGTTCCAAAGAAAATGAATTTTTATTTAACTAGCGCAACACCTTCAAGCAAATTACGGAATTTCCCCTACTGAGAAGAAACACCAGCCTGCTTTCGATAATATTGTTTTAGCATTACTACAATATTCCCCGATTCCAGCAATTTTGGCAAACCTAAGTAGTTTAAATCGCTTGACGTGTTCTGTGGAAAGCAGCTGGCTTCTACCTCTGTCGAAATGTTGAGTCAACTTTAAGGTACAACAAAAAGAATGGAAACAACGTTACCAGGATGAGGACTGGAAATCCCTTCACATGAAGAAAGTATGGCCACAGCAAACAGTGCAACGAAGTGGTGCAGCATCTTAGCCAGTATGCATTAACCTGGGCAGTTTTAGAAAATAAAATTGTTTCTATCAACACAGAGAAAATTTTTCTATATCTTTTAAAGCTATGAAACCGCCTTTTAAAGCGCAAGTACCTTCTTTACACGAAGGTAGATTTAACTAAGGTGTGCCGAAAAGTTAATGCAATACTCTTCTAAAAAGTTGTCTGAAAGATGTCAACATTGAAGTTATGGAACGCAATGCTAATTTGGTTAACACATAAAACTCAACTCATAAGTTTACCAGGTCAATACTTGAGGCCAATAGTTCCTCTTGAGGGTTTTCAACCAGCTTGCACCGTGCAGTGCGACATTTATCCCTCTACAGGTAAAAAAGCTCTATTTGTATTTGAGTGAAAAACTTCGTATTATGTATCAACTATTGTAATAAATATTCATAGATGTTTATATTAAAGCTTGCTACTTATAATTAGAAATTGAGCTGTTAAACGTATAAAATATAAAGATAGGTCACGAAACAAGTAAAAATTGATTTAGGAGTCTCTTGATATGAGTAAAAGGCTTGATTACGTGATTAAATTTCAGGGTTTCAAGACTTTCTTTCGCAGTACTTTGTTCGTAATATAAAATTCGCTAAATTTTGATATCTAAAACTTTTGTTCATCAATTTTCGTTAAAAATTCAGATCTCGATATAATTGATATAATTGACATTAGCGGCTTGAGGCAAAAAATTTCGGCACGATTACAGGAACCTATCAATTAAAACTCAAACGCAATTACCCCAAACAAATATGCACAAACGCCGGGGTACAGTAAAATTTTCTTATTCCGCTCCATACGTAGGGTTCGATAAACTGTTGTCGGATACAAATTGTTACAAATTGTTACTCCTGGAGCCGAACAAAAAGACATTAATTGTGTTGTTTATGAAAGGTATCAATAGAGCATCGGTTTAAATTAACAATTAAAATTTAAAAAAAAAACTTAAAATGCTAGAAGGGCATTTTAAGTTTACTAAAACTTCACGGAATCGAAGGCAGGCGATATTCTAGCTGCAAGATTTCCTCCTTCGAGGTTACCACCATTTTCTATCTGTTCTGGTCAATTGTTTTTGTTTTAAATCGTGTTGGGCAAATCACTTTACTGTCTGTCTGAGTATGGATGCAATAAAACATTTCAAACATCAACAAGTCAACACGTCTTTCAATTTTTATTCAAATACATCCTCTATCTTCTCACTCGTCGAATCCCGATTAAAGGTTTGTTTGATTTTTAAACTGGTGGAAGACAAAAACCGCAGATATAACAACTCAGATGATCAGTGAAAAAAACTTTTTATTATGTGTGAATGACCAAATCACCTGCTACCGACAAAGTGCAAAAGCTTTAGTTAAAGCAAAAATAGATGTTGACAATTAGCGAAAAAAATTTCAACCGAATTCTGCATTAAATCCTTCTTGGCGAAAGAAGAAAATCAAGACAGTGAGTTTTTAATCAAAAGCTGGAAGAGAATTACCGTTTTTTTCGCTTTTGCTTTCTATGTTCATCTTGTTTTACATTTTGGATAATAATAAAAAAATGGAAAGATAAAAGAGATGAATTAACTAAATGAGATGAGCGGAAAACGACGCAAGTATAATATTTATAACTTCCGACTACGTGTGTTGTTGCCAGAGGAGTAGAAAGTAAAGTTCAGAAATAAGGATATTAATCGACACAAAGCGAGTTTGCGGTTATAATAACTAATTTGTACCAAACTGGTTAGCGCACGTATCAGAGAATTTAGCCGCTCACCTTGCGTAATGCAAGACAGGAGGTATAAAGCTTAGGGACTTAACCAAACCAATCATGTTAAAATATTCAGTTATTATGTTTAGTCTGTACTCCTTATCATCCAGGGAAAGTTGGAGAAACCTTTCGTTTTTCAGTTCTGGAGACAAAACAAGCATAAGTTACCTTTAGCTCAGCTTGATTCCGAGCGAAAGCGAAATGGAACCAAAAAAAAAATCAATTGGTTTAATTTCCAGTTGCGTGTGGACACAATAGGGTGTGAAACTTACCAAAGATAAAATGAATAACTACAATTAAAATCACACATCCTTTAAAAACAACATAAATTGCTTCAAATTATACCGCACAGTTTGCGACTCTTATGATAAGGTAACATTACTGCAAACATTTACATCCAAATTACTTGCCCTCTTGCCTATGTGTATGCATATGTCTTGTCCAAAGGGTCCTGTTGGGCCAGTGCTTCCCAGTCCATGGTTCAAAGCTCTCTATTTTTTGGGTTGTTACCCATTTTGTACAGGACAAAAACTTCAAGGGAACTTTACCATTCTCAAACTTGAAAGCAATGTTGATTATTTTCGTTACAGGAAGAAAAAAAACGGGTTAATGTATGCGGAAAAGAACGTGTTTATAAAACATGTGTAAAATGCCTTGGTAACAATTTAAAACACCGTATTCAATCAATAAGAAAGAAACTACATTCAACTTTGTCACTGAAAACTGATACTAAAAAATAAATGCGACTTCCCTTTTCAAAAGAAGATAAGTCGAAATATTCCTCACGGGTGAAGTGTATTTCAAGAAAAATTGCTTGGGCCTCGAAGGATTTCAATCCGTTAGGTCCTTTGAGCCCCAAAAATATGGTTTCGTTGCTCAGTTATAGCATGTAGTATCTGGGAGGTCACGTTCAAACATCGTCGAAACTTGAATATATTCGGCCTTCTTCTTCAACAATTTCTTGGGTTGTGATTGTAATGATCTATAACAATCTAAAGACCGGTTTGCTTTTGAAAATAATCTTAAAAAAGAAGGTAAAATAAAGCAAACAATGTTTTCCACTACCTTTAAAAGCTAAGAATCCCATAAAGAAAAAAATAAGGAAAAATTATGGATCAAACAGAAGCAACCAAAAATTATGAAACGATACGGTGCTGGGACATTACTGAAAACTTCTTTCCTCTTTAATGAGATATTTCTGTCTGCAGAAGATCTCGCGGAAAGACCTTTTTATCTTCACATAAAAAAATATTTAATTAAGGATTTCTTCTTAATTTATCTCAGATGTTTTTCCAAACCCATGGTAGATTTCAAGCACGGAGACTCAGTGCGCCCGGAATGCATTCCGGGAGTGGAACTAGATCCATTTTCTGAGCATGCGCAAGGTTAATAATTAAGTTACAAAAGTTAACTGCATTTCATATTTGCATGCAGTGATTCTTGAATTCAAATGAGACACCAGTCAAATTCGTGTTGGTTCGTTGATAACAGAAATATTCCTTACTTAAATATACACCTCTCTTGCAAAAAGTATGCATTCTTATTTTTTACTATCTCTTCATGAATTATGTCTTGCTATTTACCGTTATAGCAATCACACTTGCGCGAGGTTTTGCGCTGAACATAAGGCTAAAGCACAGTTCACAATGGGGTATCTTTAGGGGATGTAGTTGACAGAGGGAATTTTTTTACCCATCCACGCTCCTTACATAGCCTTCCCGGTCGTAAAAGCAGAGCTACAACTGAAGCCTAACCCCTTAAATGGGTACAAAAAAGATAGAACTGGAGAGATTTCCATAGCCGAATGCTTTAACATAAAAGCGAAGCCCTATCTCGTGATAATAAAGCATTCGAGACGTTTGATTTGCGCTTAGCGAGGAAAAAAGGTGGTTGGATAAGTTTCAAATTCCTACTTGTGTCAGACGACATCAACCCGGTTAAATAAAAAAGCACATGAGTACTAAAAAACCATCCTCTTCTACTTAAATAAGGTGATTCAATCAAAATGTGAGAGGTCTGTTCCCTCTTGTTTTGATATTGAAATTATGCTATTTCCTAAGTTTTATCTGGGTGTTAGCAAAGAGCTGAGATGAGATCATGATCTAACCAGGCGTTCCATAGAGGCTGTAATAAACTTTTTTCTTTTGGTAATATGGCAAAGAATTGGCCACTTTTAATACGCCGTCGATTGACCTGGGCTAAGAAAAAAAAGATCTTAAAATTTCAATTAAATATCGGCTAATTATCTGTAACAGTTTTCTTCTCTTCTGTTTATTCAAGAGGGTGTATCACCTGCGCTTTAGGAAACTTGAATCATTGGACTCTATTTATGAAAGTTGAAGACCTCGATCGTCAATTTTGGAAGTCTTTTTCTCTAGGACACAAAGCAATCAAGGAAAATCTCTAAAGGAACCGCCATAATTAAGGGGTACAAAGGCTGAAAGCAGCTTAAAAACATATAGGTTAGCCTTCAAATCAACAGCACTCCGGTCTTTCTTATGGGACAGCAGAACCCTAAGAAAATAATTACTTTTCTTTCCTCAAGATAAGCCCTTTGAGTGCAAAAATAGTTGAATTCTGAGTTGAGACTAATGACCTTTCAACGTCATCATCATGTGTTATCCACATAGGTCTCCAGTTATCAGCGGAAATCAATTTTCATCAAAGGCCCTTCAAGATCACTGACTTATACTAGAACGATTTCTCTATGAGCAAACAAATGGTCCAACTTCATCTGATGTTGTTGTGGGTGGCACTTCAGTTTGAATCAGGTACTAGCAACCCGAGGCGATTCTATAGACCCGGTAACGTAACACTGGGAGTCATCTAACCACTTCATGTAAAAAAACTTTACAAACGGTTACATCGAGGCGATCACGTTTGCCATCGACCACATCAGCAACGATACCAACTTACTCGCGAACGTCACACTAGGATTTGACATTCGAGACCATTGCGACACACCCGTTTTAGCCATGCATGGAAACAGCAAACGACTTCGTTAAAAGTAACCACTTGAATGCTTTATTTCAAGGGCAAATGGATGTTGTGTTCAGGAGGAAGTTAAAGATACACTTAGATAATATAACGGTTCCCATATCTGCAGTTATTGATCAGTTTCCTTCAAGTGGCTGGGATACCAACAATACGCCCGTTTGCGGCCAGCGAGGAACTTAGTTCTTCTTACTATAGCAAACAGCTTACTTCTATCAGCTTTGAAAACTTCTGTATCCCCGTTTTCAAAGAAAATTTAAACATTAAAGACATAAGCTACCAGTAATAGGTTTTTCCATTGTAAGTGTTTCATAACATTAGATTCTCATCACATTTTTTTGTTATATTTGAAAGCATCAGAATATTTGAATCATTAAAATATAATGAAATCCCCATTTTAACCCTTTAAGTCCCTTCAGTGACCTAAACAGAATTTCTCCTTACACTATCAATATGATATCAAGCAGACAAGTAATGAGAATAAAGAAAAATACCAATAAGGTTAAATATTGGTTGATCCAAGTCAAAATTCTCCAAACTAACATCATATGAAGTGTATGGCAGACAGTAGGGAGAATTACTAATGAAATCTTGGGAGTTAAAGGGTTAAGACACATATGGTAATTATATGTACCAGAAAGACAGCGAGTTAATATTACATTATACTCCAGTAAAGTGTTCTTATATAGAATGAAGTTTCAATCTCATTGAAATAAAGTTGACTTCATGATTCAGATTTTAGTTAAAGAAATGCTTAATATCTCTTTAGAAGGATGAAAAGGGAATGACGCATGAATTTAAAAACAGTTACTGCCAAACACTTAAAGATGGAATTTAAAAAACCACTTAAGTGTGGCACATCTTTTCACTGAGGTTTTAATCATTAGCTGGCACACAGAGATATGAAATAGGCTTTGTGGAAAAAACCAGGGATATAAAATTAAAGATTCAGGAGAACCATATGACTTTAACTAGTATACTGATGTTCTCACTTGAATTCAGTCTGAAAAAGGAGCTCTGCCACATTTCTGTCAGTTTATCTTCTCAACCTTGAATTAAAACATGAAATTTGATTATTTTTAGGCAGGTTAAGGAGGAAATTAAAGGAATGGATATACGTCACATAAAAAGAAACCTCCTACTATAAAGAGAAGCAGAAGCACATTACCTACATGTCTATGTTTCTGAATACAGCTACAATAGGTATTTTTTAATCAATTATCTACATGTGTAAACCGGGTGCTACATACGGTCGTAAAAGGGTGCCTTGTGTATCAAATATATCAAGTTCAGTACTTCCAGAGTCATAAGCCGGGCTTCTGGCACCACAAAATAATAAAATAATCAACGAGTTATGCCAGGTCAATTTATCGAGAGTCAATTATGTATAGTTTCCTAAAATCGTATGGAAAGTTTAAAATGTGCTTCACTTGTGTTACATATACGGATTTATCGTTCTTAACTACTGATGAAATTCCGGAGAGTGTGACGTAGTTTATTCAAAAGAAAATATCCAAGCGGGTTCCAGTAATAGTTCACTAATTGTAAACTGATAACGTGTCAACAAAACTTAACTAAATTATGGCGCCGATACGAATTTATCGTTCATAATCACTTATGAACTACATATACGAATTTATCGTTCTTAATTACTGATGAAATTCCGAGATTGTACCCAAATGAATTTAATAGAAATATTTAGGAAGGTTACAGAAACGGACTCTTAAAAACTGCTCTTGAATTCCAAAACTGTAAACAACAAATATTTATGCTAACCACGTGCTTACCAGCGTGCTTGTGTGCTCAAATTGCCAGGACCCCGTTTAATTACACGATCACAGCTCGGACGCTTCTTGCAAGATTGATTCCTTAGTTTCCACCATTAGGAAAAAATTATCGTATCGCTAGCGTGTCAATCATAACCCGTGCATTAAGTACGCCTCGAGATGTTGAGCGAAGAGCAGGAGACTCCATGTTTTGTAAGACAAACCATTTCTTGAAGTTCGAACGAATCGAGTAGAAAGCATGAAAACACAGCATTGAAAAGTACCATGACCAAACAATGAAATTCATTCCTTCCGCAGTAGGATTATCACCATTTCACTCGTGAGTTGTTTGCACCACACATGTGCGCTCGGTAGCTTAACTCTCAGATGTTTGACGGGTTCTCACATGACAATATTGTCAAAATCAAATTACCGCGTCAGACTTAATGTAAACATGAACATCGGTGACTCTATCTCATTACATTTCAATTTTGGGAAAGGCTATTACTTCTTTCTTTGGGTAAAACAACAAATCTTCGACGAGGCGCGATTTTTTAAAATGAGTAATGTAAACCCTGCGATAGCTAATTGGAGAGAGTATAATGTAAACTTCCTCACGCTGTTCGCTATCATTTGAAAACTTTCTAGGTAAAACATAATCATTAAGATAACTTATTTTCCCTTAACACCACGACTGTATGAAAAATTCCAAAAGATAGGACAAGATATAACTTGAAGAATACGAACACTTTGAAATGTTATTCGAGCGACGAACCGGCGCGAGGGTTTTAAAGCGATGATTGCAAAAGTCATTGTTTTGCTGAAACGTGATTTGAATTTTAAACTAAGGCTATTATCGAACGAAGATTGGAGAAAAAGGTTTGAATTATCCGGGCCTTAGCATCATAGGAAACCCAGATAAGACACGACTTACCTCCTCTTCTTTCGCGGATCCTTTTTGGTTCGCTTCCATTTGTTGATAACCCCTTTTCATTTTCTTTCGTGAATCTCTTCGTATTTCCTTCTCACGTGGCTCCTCGTCAGATATTCACCTCTTTACTTATGCCTTTTCTTACTCTTTTGCACGTTCCTCTCGGCGTATTCTGCCTATTTTTAGCGTCGTCTCTAACTTTCTTGTGCTTTTTTGTCGACTCGCTTTACGCCTTTTACTTCTTGCTATCTTTTATTGTTGTCTCTTTCTTTCCAGCCTATTTCACCCAAATCCCTTTCTCCACGAACTTGAATTATAACAATTTCCTCCGGTTGACAAGGCTTTAAGCTCTGCCGGTATGGTTGCTTGGCGAGTTGATTAAAAATTTTAAAATACTGAGAATTACTGTGCAAACTACGACCTCACCAGTTTGATTTCCCGCTCAAAACGCGGGTGGCAAATTATTTGCTCACGCGGTTCACATCTCCCAGCCCAAGTGAAGCCCTCGTGTAATGCTTAACCGTGTGCCCGCAGCACGCTGCATTAAAGCGCGGCGCTTGAGCATATGCACTTCATTGTCATCTGCCGGTGTCTCGTGGCGCGCACTTATAGGGTGTCCTAGTTACACACGCAATCGCGCCTGCGCATTACCTTCTCCTTCCCCCCTTCCATTACGTAATTACTAACATAGTGCCCGCAATGCAGCTGGCCGCGCATGCTAAAAGTAGCACCTCGTACGTACGGTCAAATTTTTTCGGTTTGATGGTTACTACTATTTATAAGCTGCGCGCGCTACGAGCTCCGCCATAAATTATTTACCTCGCACGCTAACCCCTGTGGGTTATACACTACTGGAGAGGTGTCTAAGACAGCGCACAAGAGCTCGCAATCACCGCTTCGAGACTTCCCTGACGCGCCTGGACGAAGTCCTCTGAGGCTGTGTAATCAGTAATTACTGGGGATAGGGAAGTAGCGGATGAGGGATATATTAGGTAGGCGGAGACGGCAGAGCGGAAGGGGGGTGCAAAATCATGTCTCGTTCTTAAAATCGTTTGCTTTCAACAGTTCTCGAATAATCCTGCCAAAGGCAAATTTGTTTGCACAAAATATGAAAATATTTATTCATTTATCTGTCTACTTTGGGAACCGGTGAAAACACTGCAAATTCGGATGAATCACCGAGGCTCTCTGGAGACTGGTTGTTCATGCATAGTAATCTGTAACCTTTCCCAATGGCGTGGTGAGAGAGCCAACTTGAGAATTTTCAAGTGAACAGTTGGAGGCAAAACTTTATCTTTAATGAAAGCAGTTGAACGGAATATTTAACACTGTATGTACAGTGGATGGACTCTGTTATTAGCTAAAAGATTCTAATAATTACAATAATTCTTGTTCATTTTCCTACATCAATAAGCTTTTACTGGTAAGTTTTTTAATTCCTTATGAAATAGCTCATGTCCCACTTTGCCATTTGTAAACATTCTTTAAGTATCACTGAGGTGCGTTCTTTCTACACAACTGACCTCCTTAAACAGCACTAGTACGGAAAAAAAAACTTGTCTTTGTTCACTGCAGCCAGTAGCCTCATATTAAGGCTTGCAAATAGGTTAAAAACTGAATTAGCTATTACGAAGCTAATAGGAGCTTTTTTTTTTTTTTTATCAAGAGACACCATTAAAGCTTAGTATCTAAATGCCTCATTCCAGCAATCCCTGGGCGTCGTCCCGTGTTCGCTCGGTCATTTATCGAATCTGAAAGTTGAACATAGAAAAGAAGAACTGATAAAAAGATTGCTGAAAAACCTGATATTCGTAATTTCTCCACCGGCACCCAGGCCCAACTTCCACATACATTTGTATAGGGAACACTTGTTAATGGAAATTCATTTCAATTTAGTAATCGGAAAAGAGGAAAGATCACAAGTCTATAAATAATTAAAATACGTGGCAGGTATAAGGTGTGGGGGGGTTTTGGAGGGAACATATGGTTTTCAGGGGTACGGTCGTCACCAACAGAGTATAAAGAAGGCTATAGAAAATTGACTACCAATTAATTGCTAATAAGGACGGGGGTGGGGTGGGGTAAGTGGGTCTCTTGAGAATATAACAGAGACTTATGGAGGATCAGGTAACTTTTATCGTGACACAAACAAAATTCTCCAGCGCCTTCCCCCCGACGATAAATAATGACCGGTCCCTAGTGTAAAAATAGTCTGGAATAAGGTGGATCCGGATGAGATTAAAAAGACAGCCAGAAATAGCCAGAGAGAGGGAAAGAGGAAAAGGGAAAAGAATAAGAAAGGATAGAGAAAGGGGGAAAAAAGTAAAAAGAAAAGAGAGGGAAAGAGGAAAAGGGAAAAGAATAAGAAAGGATAGAGAAAGGGGGAAAAAAGTGAAAAGAAAAGAGAGAAGGAAAGAGGAAAAGGGAAAAGAATAAGAAAGGATAGAGAAAGGGGGAAAAAAGTGAAAAGAAAAGAGAGAAGGAAAGATAGGTTCAGTGAAAAATCCCGCCCATGGAAAACTTATTTCAACACTTCACTGCTAGATATATCTGTCTCGTGAGGACGCACATTCTACGACCTAAACGTATATGGCAACAAACGCTTCTGCACGGTACAAGACTGCGTAAAGCAAGAATGAGCTAATAAGAACTTATACCTCCAGGTGACAACTGAGTAGTTGTTGATACAATAGATGATCTCCCAATTTGGGCCATCATTCCTAATCGTGTCCTTCTAATGGATCTGAGCAAACTCTCTCTCACCTATTGTAACAAATAAAGAGACACTGCAATAAACGCTGCAACAAACAAGTATAGAAAATTATATTTAAAGTTCTGAGTGCCGCGGCTTTATCGCATAAGCCATCAATTCAGAGGGTCACCACAAGGAATACAATAGAATACGATATTCTGCATCAAACTTACACCAAAGCTGCACATGTAAAGTTGGAAAATACCTGGTCATCCAAGAAGCCATGGAAGATACAAAACACCAAACCCTATAAGAATTAAAAGGAACACGAATGAGGCAAACTTGATGAATATCAGCAACTGTGGAGCACATAGAACCGTGCGTACCTGGGTCGAGTTGAGTATGATGAACAAATACGCAAGGACTTCACTCCAGTGGATGAAAAACCCCAGCAGCCACGTGACACCCAACAGGGGCAGTAGAGCTGCGATGCTCCTCAATCCTTTTCTGTAAGATGAAAGGAAACTTTAGGGGAACGATCACTAGGGGAAGGGGGTCGGAGAATTTTTTGGAGGTATCACAAGGTTTTCAGCGGGAACGGAAGTAAGATCAGTTGTCGCCAATAGAGTGTAAAGGGGGGGGAATATTGACTGCCAAACCCTCAAAGAGTCAGGGAACCACTGCTGAAGTTTATCCCAGTTTCTCTGGAAACGGAATGTAGGAGAGCATTGCTTTTTCAACTGGAAAGTCCATTGCAGGTTAGCCCCCCCTGCAATTTGTCAAGTTTTTCTGAAGTTCATGAAAGGAGAGAGGCTCCGCAAGACTTCAGTGTCTGTCCCAGGAGCAAAAAAAAAAATGACGCGGTCAGGTTTCGAAACCAGACCTCCAGATCCATAGTCCAGCACATTAACCAATCAGGCGCTATAGGAACACACTTTTCCATTTGTTAATCCCAAATACTTCTAAACACCATTTCCTACTCTATGCGCACTTGGGAAAAAACATATTTGCCACTTTCTATAGGTCCTTCGCGAATACCTTGGTTAAATGCATCTGGTTAAAAGGCATTGTTAATTAAAAAGATCACATATACAATACAAATCTGACTTTTTTAATCGATCGTTAGCAAATTGAAAAAAAAAAAAGGAAACAGGAACGAGAAAACAAAAGAAGAAACTTGCCTGGTCTTCTCTACATTATCAGTCTGATATTTTTTCGATATCTTGGTGAAGATCACTCTCAGCAGAATTACAAATATCACAACATTGACCTGGAAATGAAAAATTGAAAAATGTTTGACTCTGAAAAAAAATTCTGATTGGTCGTTTGAAGAACAGAAAAAGCTCGATTTTAGAATACTTTTGGATTTAAAAACAAAACCCAGCCACTTAAGTCGAAACGGCGCAGCAGAACAAAGGAAATTATCAAAAGAGCTAAACGAGAACTCAAAAGAAACAGACATAAAGGTCTTCATGGTCATTATTTATCGCCCTGGGTGGAGTAAGGAAGGGGGGGGGGAAGGTCCGGAGGATTTTGTTTGTGTAATGATAAATTTACCTGACCCCCTGGCGATGTAATATTCTCATGATTCCTCTTCCGTTAGCGACGACTCAGTCCTTTCCGTTACCCCCGAAAGTTATGAGATCTCCTAAAATTCTCCACCCCTGTCCCACCTCGGTGATAAATAATCAATTGTCGAAGAAAAAAGCTGAACTTTTCAAAAGACATTCAAACAATGACTTCAAAGTTGATTTGGGAAAGAAATTTGAGCTTACCACGAGAATTGCCAAGATTGGTCCTTTATACAGCCATTCACCGTCATTAAGCCAGCACCTTGAAAAGATTACAATATTCCAATATGACTAAGTAAGGAAAAAGGAAAGCGGATCAATGAATTTTAACTTATTTACTAAGAACGTTCCGTTTTGTTGCAAAAAAAGGAAAAAAACAGTAATAGAAAAATTGATATAGAGGAGTTTGTGAACCAAACCTTTACAATCCGAAAAAATTAAAGGAACAGACATTCAAAACATTATAAATCAAGCACATGGGCCTCTTAAAAGAAAAGGTGTAGCAGTTAGAATAAAGAGTTAATGGTCCTGATCGAGGAAGTTGTAGAGTTATACCAACCTGTCACGTATAATCTCCGCTGAAAGTTTCAGTGATCCACACATGACGTCCTTGTAGTATGTCTTACTCATATCATATGTCACAGGTCTGATGGCTGCTATTAGACCCACAACAACAACTGGTAGACCTGTGGTCAAAGGAGGTTAGTATACTGTGAAATCCCAGATTAAAGTACCCCTGGTTATGGGTTAATCTGATTGTAAACAAAAGATTCCTTCCGGTTATGATCCCCATGTCAAACGGCAGTAATGTTGCAGAACTACTATATGTGGACACACCGCACTTAATGTCGCGTCAAACACCATAAAAAGAGAAAAACCATGATAACACAAGACACTACATTATATAAGGCAAGACTGAGGTATAGCATCTAAGTTATATTCCTCTTAGTAGCCTCGTTCTCACGGTCTTTACTGCAAGTTATGAACCGAGTTCTTTTCACTCGGACTTTTGGCCCAAACGCTAAAAAAACGGGCTATAGATTGGAGCGAAAAAAAATGAAACAGGTTCTATCACTTACGGTACAGACCGAGAAAACGAGGTTAGTGAGATAGTTACTAAAACTCTGGGATTAAAAAGAGGGGGAAGATTTAAATTCAAACAACATTTTGAGTTTAGAGGGCAGTACAATGATTGATGGACCGCTAGGGTCCGTTGGGCTGAACAATCATAGTGCATGTACTGAATGAGAGAGATGATAAAAGCTGTCACCAGAGCCTTACCCCACCCGATGACAATGTATGTGATGTAGAGCTTGTGGACTGAAAAAACTTTCACCAGCTTGATGTAAAGATGAATTCCTTCAACCAACATCCACGTGAAAATAGCGGTGTGTGTTATATGTTGGAGGACAGCCATAGCTGAACATAATTTCTACAATATCATAAAGAAAAAAAAAAGAAAGGAATGTATAGGTACTTAAAATCAAACAGCCATGTTACTCTGGTTTTTCAAGCTGCAAAAAATTCAAATAAATCAAGGAGTATGGGCTCCGGCCTGCAAGATTTGCTACAAGCTATTAAGGAAACAGTGTGTTCTTATTGTCTGAGCGGGAGGGCCGGACGGGAAATATTTGGCTCATGGTGACAACTTACGGACTTCGCTGCGCCTGGTCCACACGGCATGACCCGCAGAGCCAAATATTTTCCCGTCTAACCCGACCTTGCCAGTCGATACACATTTAAGCGTAAGACTACCGTCTTTCTCGTTCTTCCTTTCTTCTTACATATTTTCATCCTCACAGCTCGCGGGGACATACGCTGGGCTGTGCGACTTTTCCCGACCCTGCTCGTGCCACAGTACGTACATTTCTTATACCGGGATTTTTTTTAAGTGTTATCAGAACTAATAAGAATCAGGATCAGTTAAACTCACCGGTGTCTGCTTCCTGTTTGTAAAAATATACGAGTCCAAGATCATCAGGATGTAAACCAGGCATATGGATATTAAAAGGTTTTTATGAACAAATATTCTCTCGGAGTTTCTTATCCTGTGTTAGAAAAGAGGTCATTCTGTTAGCTTTATAGACGGTACTTCATCTTCAATTCATGTTTATGTTAGTAATTCAGTTGCTGAGTAAAGTTCAGCTGGTCATATATATATATATATATATATATATTAACTACTGGTCAATCAGTCGGAAGTCAGTCCACGTTTGTACGTACGGCAGTAAGCGAACAAGTTAGTCCTTTAGTCGCTAAGTTAGTCAGTGAGCCAGTCCGCCAGTCAGACGGTAGTCAGTCCATCAGTCAGTCAGTCAGTTGGTCAGTCAGTCAGTCGTTCGGTCCGACAGTTGGTCAATCAGTCAGACGGCCAGCCAGCCGGTCAGTCAATTAGTTAGTCAGATAGTTGATGGCTGAGTCATTCAGCCCGTCAATCGTCAGTCCGGACAATCAGTCCGCCAGTAAGGCAGTCCACCAGTAAGTCGTTAGTCAGGCAGTCCGACTACTGTGTTATGCATCGATCAATTCGAAGCTTCAATATCCCGTTCGGGCATTTGAACTTTAGAAGATTAGCGTCTTCAAATCCCCCTCCCCCCCAAGCCAAACTTGTGCTCGAAAAAGCTCACGAAAGCAGGCTCTTTACCTTTAAAATCCTCCTTTGAAAGACGTGTATTACGTTAATAAGACTTGGCACTTGCCGTTCAAATGCCCCACCCCATCCCAAGCAAGGTTCAAATTCCCCTCCCCCGGCCACGGACGACATTCAAATGCCAGTAAGGTGCCCGGGGGATGCTAAAACTTCAAATTGATGGGCATATTAGTCACACTTCTGAGTATCAAACTGACTGAGCACCTTAGGCAGGAAAGCAGTATTAAGCAAATTATAACAACCACTGTAGAAATGCTGCTGAGAACGAGATCCAGGTGAGTTTTAGCCATAGCTTTCCTCTCTTTTTCCTCATCTCTAACTTCCCTAGCTGTGATTTTTAACGTTCCATTTACCTGAAAAAGAAATTTGACAGATTTAACCAAGGAAAGTTTCTGTAACATTGACAACTGGCCACTAATTTGCTGCATAAAAGAATGAATGTCGTATACTACCCCTCCCCCCCTCAGCACCAACGATCTAACTCTTTATTATTTATAATTCAAGTTATTTGACTTACATCATATTCAATCCAAGTGCAGTTGAAACGTTGAAGAGGAACAAGGACGCGACTGAAATTCATCTAGTGAGAGAAAAAACAGGAGGTGTTCTTTGAATCAAAGCTTTCCACCTTAACTTTCGCTTTATAAGATGGATATGCTCTCGTAAAAAAGGTCATTTTAAAGAAAATTAGAGTGGGTTCGATAAGCTTTAGAGTTGAGTATGAAACTGATCAATTGATATCCCATGGTTCCTATCAGCACATATATTATTATTATTAAAAATAGGGGGATGTTGAAGTGAAAACTTTCTTTGTGGTCGATACCCCTGGGATTGAGAGAATAAACAAAAAGATCCCAACTGAAATGTGACCTTGAGGTCATTTCCCTCAAAAGGATTTTTTCAGTTTCCCTCATACGTTAGAATTCGCGGGGGCCTCTTTTCTTTGGTGTATTACTTGCCTCGCCAGTGATGTTTCCCGGAGGAAGTGAAGGGGAGCTGACAGTATCACTTCCTGAGGACAGCTGGTTTGGATCAATCCTCAGATTAAAAACCGGTCGCATCCAAAAGATAGTTACACCAGGAGGACCATGGCCCATGTTGCTTTCTCCAACGTATGGACGACTATCAGATATAGTTACACTATAGGATATACAGAAGTATGCGAGAACAGATGTCATGAAAACATGGAATGAATAAGGAATGAGTCCATTCTTTATAATTCATCGCCTGAAATCAAGGACATTTCGAGCCCGCTAACAATTATTAGCGGTATATCGTATTACACACCGGAACAATAGAATATCAAGAGAATTCAATATGGCGGCGATCACGGCTCGATCTGCAAAGAAGAGTGTTTCGTACCATGACTTATACAATTTGAGCACCGCAGATCTTCTATTTGATGAAAAGAAAAAGAAAAGAAGACCTGCAAGTAAATCTTTGGGATTTTTCGAGGTAGAGCGATGACATAATGTCAGAATTTTGATTTGCTCTAATTTAATTTTCGCGCTAAGACTACTGAATGTGCATTCAATGCCTGGCATATTTTTATTCCGAAAAGGACCGAGAACTAATTTATTTCCCTGCAAGAACATAAACAAATATGGCCGACGATTCGAAGATCAGCGTTGCTCGTGTTTAACTATTTCAGTCATAGTTTTCAACATGGCGTCTTGTCACTTACTCAACATGGAAAATAAGGGATATTCTGGCGCGTTGGGAACTTTTTTGATGGGAGGAAATGGCAATTTTACAGGATATTTGGACGCTTCAAACTCTGTAGCAGTCAATTCGATAGAGAGCAGTTGACTTTATTGATGCACTTTCCTGTAATAGGCGAGTGTTTGGGATGGAGAACGACGGATTTTGAAGAACTGTAGGGCGACCTAGGTCAATGATCAATGACAAAAGAACTGGCTCGGGAAGTAAGTGGTTTTTATTTATCGAGTCCCTGTGAGGTTTGATGAATAGCAGAATCAGTACTGAATATGTCTCGATCGAGAGCAGACGGGACCATGAGCTCCTGATTGTTATATTTTAGAAATTTTACAAATTTCCATACAGTTTCTTATATTATTTGGACGCCATTATGGACGAAATGCGCAAGCCCGGCCGCCATCTTGTCCAATATTTCTGCCGATGTAATGTTCTTAAAACCGTGAGAGCATTTCCATGGGTATCGTAAAATGAAAACTAGATACTAACAGCCAAAAGGGGAGAGGAAAATATTACGGGGAGACAATGAGAATTCAAGCTGTCTGGAGCGCGGGAAAACGCGAGTGATTTGTTACGATTGGTTTTAATGGTGATTCTGATTGGTTAAGAGTTTGGCCCGGGTCTCGAAACCAACGAAGGCAAAGTAAGAAAGGAGTAGTTAAATTCCAGATGACGTATGATTGCTAATTGCTCTGTCACAACAGAATGGGTTATTTTCATCGAAATCTACCTTAATTGCCGTACACCTGCTAGGATCATTGCTTCACGTATTTCCAGTCTAGTTTAAACTAGAATTTCTTTGCTTTACTTACTATTTCAACGATCTTAGAGTGAAACAAAACCGGAAGGTATGCGTCAGATTTGAGGCCCGGCAAATAAACTCCTTGATATCTTGTATTAATGACCAGCGCTGTGAGTAGGTCTGCGAAAACAACAAAGACAGTAAGTAACAATTTAGTGACCTTAACAAGTTCGCCATCCATAGAAACCCACGTTCATGGCAAAGTTTCGGTACAATTTTTTGCATAGCTAGAAATTTTTCCACTCCAGTTTGAAGAAACAGGGATGGTGCAGTGATGAGAGCGCTCTCCGCCCACCCATATATTGTTTCGATTCTGGCTTCACTTGTGGGTTGAGTTAATCATGGTCGGTTCTCGTCCTTGCTCCGATGGTTTTCCTCCAGTTTTCTGGCTTCAAAAAGCAACATTTCAAAACAAAACAAAATTTTCAAAACAGTAGAGAAGAAGAGCCATCCTTTGGAATGTCCATCGCTGAAATCCTATTTCCTTATTCCCATTTCATTATTCATTCCCAATCCCATTTGTCCTGCATTAATTCTCATAATCCGGAACAGAGGAAATTGATTTGATCATCTTCATTATCGTTATCACATTTGTCACCATGTAAATTTTCGTCTTTGGCGATTAATTCGAATTGGTTAAAGCCATCTAGCTTTGGTGCTCGTCCACGTCGGTAAAAAAAAACCCTTAAAAAAAAAAAGTGATGTAGCATAGCACCTTTAAAGGTGTGTGCCACACTTACCTCATCATCCTAACCGAGTTCGAGGTCGGTAGTATAAGTTACAGACAGAGTTTTTTTTTCCACTCCTGTTTATAAATCTGAGCAGAAAAACGGGGTTTCGTAACTTGCAGTGCGGACCGAGAAAACGAGGTTAGCCAAGATTTCTATACTATCTCTGAATTCAAGTAGAGGTGCAAGATTTCAATTTAAACAAAATTTTGAATTAAAAGGCCTGTACAGTGAAATACGACCCGTTAAATCACCCAATCAAAGCGCACGCACTGACTTATAGATATGATAAAGTTGGTTAATTTTGTTACAATAATTATGAACAAGGCCCTTGGATGGAATATTACTTTCAAATCAGAAGTCTTATCACATGTTGTTTATTATGTTATTTGTTTATTTGCATGCATGTTTTAGCTTTGCGTTTTCTTATTCTACAGTATGTTTCATGCATGCTTACCACTTCTTTAGGACAAAAGGAGTCTGAGTGAGCCTTGAAAACGTTTTCAGTTTGAGTTGTTTGGAATATGGCCTTAAGAGATAGAAAATATATATATGAAAGGCTCATAATTCGAAATCCTATAAGTGGTCAATTAGAAAATGAACCCCCAGACAATCATTGAAGAAGGCTACCCTCTGGATCTGCATTTTGAAATCCAGTAAGGGAGCGGTCATTATTTATCGCTGGGGTGGGACAGGATTTTATGTCACAATATGATTCCCGGGCTCTGTAGTGTTGCTAATGACCCCACCACCTCTCGCACTGGCAGTCAATCTTTTATGGTCATCCCTAACATACTCTGTTAGCGACAACTAATTTCTCCCCCTCCCCGTTCCCCCTGAAAAGAATTAAATTCCCAAACTCTTCCGACCCCCCGCCCCAAGGTGATTAAACGCGACTGGTCCATAAGAGGTTTATTTATTTCTTTGATAACTTGTGTAGATAAATCAATATTTGATTTATTAAAAAAAAATCCTATGTTCTTGGTTAAAATAGTAGGCGCGTATGTAACTTCAAACTGACAAAGAACGTGTAGTCTGTCATTTAGTAATAAATAATGGTAATAGGACCGAGTGGAGTCCAATTCGGTCTGTAGTCGTACGAGTGATTAACAAAATCGGACGTGGCGGGAGTCCGATTTGTCAATCACGAGTATGATTGCAAACAGAATTGGACGACACAAAGTCCAGTTATCAATTAATTAATCATAACCATTACAATTTCCGAAAAAAAAATTTAGGACAAACATCTCCAGTAGGGACGATGTCTAAAGCAAAAAAAATTGGAAATTACCCAGTTTTCTTTTCAGGGTAAGTGGTTGTTACTATAGTTATTGTGATCAATTCTGTGATTGGTGGATTTAGCTGAGTGGACTTAGCATGATTGGCTGCTTCAGATGTCCGATTACAGGTATCCGATTACAGCCAACTGTCCGATGACAACTGTACAGAGTGATTAGTGAAATATAAAGCAGCTGATGCACCATCACATTTGAGCAAATTGTAATGGTAATGACTAAGGCTGAAATTCGTACCTGTGAGAAATTGAGCGCCACCATATCGTTGGAATGGTTGACTGGATTTAGTAGGAGAGCTCCACTTTTAAACCAAAGACTCAGATAATTAAAGAACAGTTCTTTGTTTGTAAAGTTAGTGGCTTTGTTCACAAATGCTCTTGTTAGTTCCAAAATGTTTGTTAGATTCACTATGGATAGCTGAAAGTGAATGGAAAGAAGCCTTATATTAGTTCCAGTAAAATCAGTTGTTTACCCGATGAACTTTAAGACAAACATGATTTATTAATTGCTATTCCAATTGAGTCATGTATCGCGTTTCAAACAACCGCGGATTAGAATACATTGGAATCAAGCTACTACATACTTTATGCCTGAATTCTTGACGGAGAGATTTTTTTTCGCAAAAACAGCTTTCTTTGAAACTCCACTTTGTCATATCACCATACGGTGAAGAACAACGGTTCGTGAAATTTCCTGTGGTCAAATAAAAATAAACAAATGAAAAGCACGTTGCTGAGGCACAAACAATATTAATCCTATCTTGATACTCCAATGATGGTGATTCAAAGTCTTATTGAATGACAAGTACCACCAACAGCAAATGCTGTCAGCCTACGAGAATGCCTGAGGCTTACAGCAAGCTCCCTAGATCTAATTCAATTTTGTATCGGGTTTACACAATGAAAGGATATAGTAGAAAAGTTACCACAAGCACTGAACAAAGCCTGAACCTTGGAATAACAACTGATTGGGTTACGTAATCCTCCTGGAGAGGAAAGACATTTACTGTCACTGGCCAAGGCGCATGACTGAGATTTCGATAAACGAAATGATAGTCAAAGTAAATTCACTTCGGACATAGTTTGAAGCTACACTGGTTTGCAGATTTAATGAATGTAACCGAAGAAGTTACAATTCATAGACCCAACGTTTCGACACTCCTGTCTAGTGCCTTCATCAGGGGTGATCCAAGCGCTGCAACAAGAGGTCCTTTTATATGATCACTAATTAGCGGCCTTTTTTTCTGACGAGGTGTAAATAGGCGTCAGGAAGCAGACCGCCATCGTCACGATTTAAAGGAGCGTGGGCGGAGTTAATGTGCCATGCCTCCAAACAAAGGCGCTGGTGGTAACGCCGATTAGTGGTGATAATTTTAGAATTATCCCACCCAATTGTATGGTTGGTTAGGCAAGTATGCTCCGATAAAGCTGAATTTTCCTTTTTGCAAAGAAAAACCGCTTTTTGGTGCTCTGTCCGATGTATTCGTTGTCGCAGTCATTGCAAGGAATAGAATAAATGGCGTCGGTTCGTTGTTCTTTCGTGACAGGATCCTTAGGTTTGGCGAAAATATGCCCCAAAGTCTGAAAAGGTTTTTTGAGCAACTTTAACGTTGTGGCTATTCAAAATTCTCTTGATGGGTTCAGTAACACCCTGTATGTAAGGAATAACAGCAAAACCAGTCGCTGGTTCCCTTTCATCAAGAGCGTTACTATTTGTAACTGGTTTTTGGCAATTATCACCACTAATCGGCGTTACCACCAGCGCCTTTGTTTGGAGGCATGGCACATTAACTCCGCCCACGCTCCTTTAAATCGTGACGATGGCGGTCTGCTTCCTGACGCCTATTTACACCTCGTCAGAAAAAAAGGCCGCTAATTAGTGATCATATAAAAGGACCTCTTTTTGCAGCGCTTAGATCACCCCTGATGAAGGCACTAGACAGGAGTGTCGAAACGTTGGGTCTATGAATTGTAACTTCTTCGGTTACATTCATTAAATCTGCAAACCAGTGTAGCTTCAAACTATGTCTGATTGTCCACCTGGTTGCCGTGTGAACTTTAATATATTAAATTCACTTCCTTTTTACGATAAATTAGTTGGAGCTTCGGTCAATGTTACTGACTTTTCAGGAAGTGCTCTCCTCACCCAAGTGCACATACTCCTTTATCGGAGAAAAAAAATGCCATGTGAAGTGCACCAAAGCAGGAAACTGTTTTCTACGTACAACTGGGCACTGCTTTTGACTTCTAGGAGTTATATCGTTCCCTTTTAACCCTTTCAATCCCAGATGTGATTAAGATGCAACTTCTTCCTGTAATATACATACACTACCCAGAGAACAGGTAATGAGAATACTCAGACTTAACAGACAGAAAATGTTGCCTTCATCTCACACCAAATTCTTATAGCTTACTAACAAGGTAACGCGTGGAAGCTTAAGGGGAGAATTAATAATCATATCTTAGGAATTAAATTTGTGTTAAGTACCATCATAAAATAATTTTTCGACGAAGCGTATCAAAACATTTTTCCTACCTCCTAATTCTGGATCCACCTCTGAACAGTTCCTTGCAACAATCTCATTCAGGGCAGTTCTTTCCCAGTACATATTGAACTTCGTGCAAAATGGACAGAAATCTGAAATAATTGTTTCGAAGTTCCTTTTAAAACAGCTTTCACACAAAATATTCTTGGAAAGGCATGAGTGCCTTTTTTCCTTCTATGATCAACATCTTCAAATTGCAGAATAGGATGTTAATCAGCACTATTATACTAGGAAGATCAAACGCCGGTCATTATTTTTCGCCTGGAAAGTAGGAGGGTCGAAGGATTTCGGGGGGGGGGGGGGGGGTTCCAGGTAGGGGTCATGAGAATGCTAGGGAGTCTTATGGGGTATCAATTAAACTTTATCGTAACACAACAAAAATTATCCAACAATACCATCTCCCCAACTAGGGTGATCAATGATGACCAGTCCCTAAAAATAGAGGTGCGCACTCGACATTAGTTGAAGGTTTACTGCGATCAAAAGCTAGTTTGGCGATCTTCCGCGCTCTTCCCTTTATATGACCTAACAGTCTGTTTCTTGTTACTGACATCACTTATACCTTTTTTGGGTTCTTTTTACTTGTTCCCTACGCTTCAAGACCATGGTCCGTTTTAATTTTGCTCAGATTAGTTCCTTTCCTTTTTCATGGGGTATAGGAAGTATCACCTGATTTGCGCATATGGCTTTTAGCAAACTTGGAAGAGTTTTTCAAGTTCCTTATTAGCAATATATTGTCATTCCTTTCCATCCTCAACCTTCGTCGTTTCTTTTCGCTTCTTTGCTCATTTTTATCTCTCTCTCTTTTTTGCGCGTTGCAGCTCAAATTGCGGTGGGAGGAGGAGGGGGGTATGAAGATTTTGTAATGTCACGTTAAAACTTACCTGATCCCCCAGAGGGCTCTTTAATATTCTTATGATCCCCTCCCATCAGCAGTTCATTGGCAGTCAATTTTACTACAATCCCCCTTTTTATTTGCAATATTCTATTAGCGGCAACTGATCTCCCCTTCCGTTCCCTCAGAAAACTACGCGATCCTACATTATCCTCCGAACCCCTTTCTAAAGGCGAAAAATGACGACTAGTTCCCAGGTCTCACTCATTAGTATTTATACTTACATTGAACGCATTCTCTCTCGTCAGACTCGTCGCTGCAGTCTGATTTCTGATCACATCTGTTGTTAAGTGATCTTATCTCATCTCCACTCTTACAGAGGTACAGTCTTTCATCAGATATGAGTGATAAGTTTCGTATTCCTGAAAAATGTAGAAACACAAACAGCCTCAAGAATTTCGGAACAGTCTTTTGTCTGAGGCATAGCAGAATAATTATTTTTTGACGTCCACAGATCTCAGCGAGGACGTAAACAAAAGTAAATTGAAGGAGCATGTTTTACTGGGCAAGAAATGTATGTCCTTAAAGTCCCTATGACACGATGGGTGTCTCGATAGTTAATGGCTCATGGAACAAACCTATGAAAGCCCCTGTACATCGCACGTGACCAGCTTCCAAGTAGCATCCAGACCTCACTCTCTGCATCTCTGAGCTGCAAAAGAAGTCAACTCCATTCTCTTTCCAGCGGTGGCCTTCCGGATGGGTTTGGTTCCTCCAAATGCAAACTAACATAAAGCAGGAAAATCATTTACACGGGAATGGATAAGTTAAATTTAGTGTGGTCATTTTCTTATGAGTCATGGTGGTAAACAAGCTTTTAAGTACAAAATACATGATAATTCGCAGAGAAAATTAGCTAGAATAATTGCAGCTCTTGTGATTACAACATGAGAGCTCTTTGAAAAATCCTCGTTCCTCATTTTTACGCAGGTATTTGGCTTTGCCGTCACAATCACTTGCCTTTACAGATTCCTCTCTTTGCTTTCAAAAACGCCGCTACGTTACAATCCGGTTGACTACAGCGCTCAGTGTTTTCTTCATTGGATGTAATGACTGACAGCGTTTTAGAACACGAGATAACGCCATTGTGACAATAACAGGTGATGCAGTCACCAATAGACCAGGTGCTTCCAATGATATATGTATTTGCATCCTCGTCCTGACACAAGTCATCTGAGAAACAAATCGTCAGCAGATAGACTGAAAAAAATCTGCTTTCACAGGAAATAAGTGAGTTTAGAGAAGGAACCTTCCCCCCAATCTCTCCTCATGTGGTGTTTAATCTTACAGTACTTCCCCTAAGGCTATTTTTTGGCATACTTCCCTTGGAGATCCAGGCGGATCTAAAAATAGTGAATTCAATGTTGCTAATTCTGCTCACGTGCACGTCCCTTGATCCCACACGGCTTCTGTGCGTTCTTCAGTGATAAGTCAAGCAACACACTAAGTAATGTACATTGGTCTCGGAAGACCAGATACCTAAGTCTAAATATAACTTAAAAGTGATAACGTTTGGAATAGGACCTACAAAGGGATACAGTCTCATTAACTTATTCTCTCTTAACTGTCGCTGACGTCTATACATTGGTTTTATTGCAAAAGTGCACAAACTTTTTCGTTTAATAATTAGGACATTTGCTCCAAGAGAGCTCACAAACTTTGTTTCACGTCCATTCTCGATAAGGGAATGTGACTAAGTTATAAAAGAGAAGGGGTCCGGTTGTTTCGATAAAATTTGATTCTATAGAGGTGGATTCAACACATCGACAAAGTCGATTCAAAACACGTAGAAATTAAGTCGTTTTGATACAGCCTAAGTCAGTTCGATACAAACTAGTGAAAGATAAATTTGAACGTCACTACGGCAGCTGTTCGGCGATATACGTTGCCTTTTTTAATCTGCATTCAACGATCTGTCAATGACCTTTGTCTCGGTATTTTTGTTGATCTCAAACGTCATAAAGACCAACCTCAAATTATGTGTAAAATAACTTTTATATAACTACCGCTTGCTAGGGTAGTCGAACAACAAAGAAAGTAGCAATAACCTGAAATAAAGAACATCTGCTGAGAATGGAGAAGATTAACACAGCTTGAAAATGAGGACTAGATTTTTTTAAGATGGACCGGCCATATCGAAGCATCCTAGAAGTCGCTCTAATCAATAAACTTACCCGTTTTACAGGAGCCGTTTCCCGGTAGGCAACTCGGGTCGATAATGTCACACTGATCATCACTGGCTATCAACTGAAGTCCTCCAGGACACACCTTCATACCCCAGCGCACCTGACTTGCAAGTTGTAGGAGTTCTATGAATTACAAAACGCGCCTTCTGTGAGAAATTGAGAGCAATTTTTCAATTAAATGCTGAATGCAAATTCGTAATTGCTATGGTTTTGCTTAAATACACTTAACACTTTGTGATAGGTCTGGAAAACTCGCACACCGCATGTACAAATCAAATACAAAACAGTCAATCACTCGTGTCAATCACACGACGCTTGCAACATCTTGTCAATTATTTCTTTGCATTGTCATTGGCTAATGCTGATGCTCAACTTGATTCCAATTGGCTGTTGTCATAACTTTGGTTTTCGTTTTTCGAAAACTGGCAGATAATCGTTCCAAAAAGATCATAACATTGTTGTTAATTCATTTGGATTAATGAAGGGAGAGCGGGGAGTGGGAATAGTGCAGAGGTGAGAGCGCTCGCCTCCCACCTCTGTGGCCTGGGTTCGATTCCCGTCCTTGCTCCAAGAGTTTTTCTCCCTCGACAAAAACAGACATTCCTGATTTAAATTCGACCTGGAAACAGTGGAGAGGACGAGCCACCTTGTGGAATGCTCTATTATTATTATTATTATTGTTGTTGTTGTTGTTGTTGTTGTAATTGTTATGGTCCATTAAGTTCGCTTAGGTTTAAAAATGAGGTAATTACAAAGCAAATGCCTTGTAAATAACTCCTTATTATCATTAATGACCTTCTCAATATGAAAAGTGCTTAATATCGTTTTCTTTCCAAACGGAACCGTCGTTCTTATTCGCAATTGGCCATGAATATCAGTTCAACATCTACGATATTTTACCTGGGCATTTCTCAGCACAACAGACTGCTCCATTGTAGATGTAACAGGTTGATAGAGACATTTGTGGGCATCCTGAGGTTCGCTTGTGCCCTATAAAGAGGAATTGACACCCTTTGTAGTCCCAGTTGTCTCCTCGTGACAAAATGTGGCCACCTTCGACGGTTTCAATTGCTGAGTAAAGAAATATTTATTATATGGATATGAAAAAATTACAATGCCAAGGTAACGGGGTTGAGCCAAATTATAAAGAGTGGTTTTAATTGCTCTGTGTTGTTAATTTTAAGAGACTAGAATTGAGAATGGCCGGTTTCCTCGAGTAAAAATATAGTAATGAAAAAAAAAAGAAGCAAAACAAAGCAATGTCAGTTGTTTGAAAATATGATCGGAGACTCTTTATTTTGACCGATGTCTCCTTGGTCGGGAATGAATGCTAAGCCTTAAATATTCTTATACTGAAATTGTTTAGTTTCGATTTGAATTTCCTGGCTGATACCGCACGTTTTGAAATAAATATATGTTTGGATCAATCCTCATTAATTTTTATCGCGGAGTACTTCAGGGCCTTGGGGGGGGAAATCCTTTAAATTTTATTGTTACCCAACCAAAACCCCCCAACCTTCCCTCTGGCTGATGAATATTGACCAGTTCCTAAGGTTTCCAAATAGTTGTGGATGGTTTTTGCGTTGATTTCAATTTCCGCTCGGGTCAACATTTAGTAGCCTTTTTTGATAAGTATAGATCTATTAAGCGAATCCTGATGGTGTATGCTAAATTGGTATAAGTGATCTCTAAGGTAGCTGGGCTTAAATTAAGTTTAACTCTTTAATTTTACGTGTACCTTCACAAGATTCTCTCCTAGCTTTAATAAACTCCACAGCGTTACATCCTGGTTGTTCACAGGACTCAGTAAAAGGCACGTATGCCAAGTGTTTGCCCGGGAAGATAACTTGAAGTGTCCTCTGGCATTTTAGACGACCCTCTATACACTTGCAAATGAGACAGTCGGACACCTGGAATGATGTTAACAATGAATTCTTCAAATGTTATTCGAGCTGACATTCCAAAAAAAATAAACGCTAAGCTTTCCAAATGATAAATCAGTGTAATGCTTTAGTTATTCTAAGGGTGGAATTTTTACAAGGTTTGCCATAGGTATGAAAATTTACCTTCCAAACATCTTTTAGAATTAGAATCTGCCCTTCCTCATCGCGACAAATAACTGAAATATCAACATGGAACAGAATCATCAGTATTTATTTTTAATTAAGTTTGTCTCCGATGGTTTTTATTCCTCTCTTTTTCGTTTGAGCGATGGGGGGGGGGAGGAGGAAAGGGGGAAATAGGGAGGCAGGGAGGAGTGATATAGGGTGTGGTTAGATTAGTGAAAACTCAGTTACTTGAAAAAGCCGGATTCATTAACTCACCATTCTGGCACTGCGCCTCATCAGAAGCGTCCGGACACTCGACGACTCCATTACACACGTGTTCTTTCCTTACGAAGTCCCCACTGGAACAACCAAATACCTCTTTTAAAGCCTTGAGCTGAAATAAAACTGGAAAGAGAAGCTTTTAACATGGAAAATTGTACTGTGTAAATGTTATTCGTTGGTCGATCAAAACGAGTCGCTCTCTCTACTGGTAGGGGAGGTAAGTGTGAAAAAACACTTGGCTCAACTTGGCCGGAAAGTAGTCATTTTCGATATTTGATTCGATAACTGATGATTTCTCACCATTACAATATCGCCTCTTACCATCTCTGCGATTTCACTCCACATCCTTCAACTGATTAAGGTGGGTGCGTTTTTGTTTTATGTTACGAGGGGGGGTTGCAATAGAGAAAAATCAATATAAACCCGTGATTCAGATCGAGAGTAACTACATGATAAATAACAAACAATCATATTTCATCATTGTAGTGATTTAACAACGACACCTCATTTATTATTGACACCCACCCTGGCAAGCAGCGACTGTCCCATCCCCTGTTGGTAAAATATCGTCACTTGGCTGATGACATGGCATACATCTTCCAACTGTCTCAACTTGGAATAACCCATACTTGATAGTCACGCGATACTTTTCACAACTGATCAAACCATCCACGCATGAGCAATTGAAACAGACTCCGGAAAGCCAGTGGGTACCATGTTCCCGCACCATGCCTTTCTCATCGGTGCAGGCTGGCCGAGAGAGCTTGGTACAGGTTATCTTTCCATTGCTACAGGTACACTTAGTCATGTTGTTGCTAAGCCACTCATGTCCATCCACAAAAGCGTTTCCATGGGAATCCCAGCATCCGCTTTCAGTTTTTTGGCACTCGACTTTTAGATTGGGTGTACATGTACATTTGAACAAAGGATTTGGGTTCCAACTCTGCCATACGTCATAACTGTTTCCTTCTTTGTCTCTGCAACCTAATATAAATTAATAGGGCGACCAATTAACGCAAAAATTCTCGATGGGCGACCAAGGGTCTCGGGTCTCGGGTCTCACTCAGGTCTCAGGTCTCGGGTCTCGGGTCTCAGGTCTCGGGTTCTCTCAGGTCTCGTCTCGGGTCTCAGGCAGTCTCAGGTCTCGGGTCTCAGGTCTCGGGTCTCTCGGGTCTCGGGTCTCGGGTCTCGGGTCTCGGGTCTCGGGTCTCGGGTCTCGGGTCTCGGGTCTCGGGTCTCGGGTCCTCTTCTCCCAGTCTCAGGTCTCAGGTCTACCTAAGGTCTCACGGGTCTCGCCATTTCTCGTCTCGGTCTCGGGTCTCAGGTCTCGGGTCTCACTTTGCGCACTAATGGCCATTTGTAAAAAAACTAAAACTACCTCATTTTATTGGGATCAAAGTCTTCTAACAACGATGGAATGGAAGTATTTAGCCATGTGGAATCTGGTTTCCGCAGTTTTATCTATTCGGTTGTTTCTTTTACAGGAAAAATCCATGATTTATCATCTGGGAGGACGAGATAAGGAGAATTTGGGGGGGGGGGGCGGGAACACATGGCTTTTAGGGGGAGTTCAGTCGACCCCTATATATTATAAAGAGGGAGGTACCAAAGAAAATCGATTGCCAATCAACTTCCAATGAAAGGGGGACCATAACAATATTATAGAGCCTTAGGGGGGGATCACAACCAAATTCATCGTACTTCTTCCCCCCCCCCCGGCCGATAAATAATGATCAGTTCATAACTGGTTTATGTGTCACTTACCAGCTTCTCCGGCTTCTCCACCTCCACAGTATCGCAAGCTGCAGGAGTCTACACCTGTAGGAAAGGGTCCAAATTTGTACACCATAAAACCACTGCAGTTTTTCACTAACACCAAACTATACCAGTGACAGCAATTGGTATCCTTTGTAAAACAAACCATACGCTGCACCACACCCTCCTCCACAGTTGGATGCTTGCCATTCAACCAACCAGGTGACAGAGTACCACAATGCATTCTGGGCACGCAATGTGTCGGCATAACAGTCCCTGCGCGGCCAGCCAGCCTGTACCAGCCACTGGGTAGGTAGGCGTCACACTTCAAAGTGTTGTAACTGAAATAGTCCGCGGCTCTATCACGTGCGCTGAGTGTGTTGTAGTCGGTGCATTCATCGCCTAATAACAATTAAACAAACAAACAAACAGTTATCAAAACAAACAATAACAATGGACGATATGAAATTCTTTTGTTTATTTGAAACGTAGAGTCGATCATTCTTTTAATTACAATGACCAAGCTTCAAACGTTTCGGCACAATTTTTCCTAACACGTTTCTGTTTAAAGACTGAACCTCGTGTTGCTTGGTTTAACGAAGTAAACAATCATGGTAAATGAGATTAGATCTGAAATAACCTTATAAAGTTAACGCGGATAACTCTTTTAAAAGGGTAACTCTTTTCCATATCGCATGTTCATCTTGACATTATGAAAAGATTATCAAATAGAATACTAGTGTCTGTGTTCAAGTTGAACTTTCACTCACAGTTAAACAATCAATCAATTCATTATCATTTTTAAAGACTTTAAACTGTCTTTCTTATATTACCTAACTTATTCTTGATTGCTACTTGCTTAGGCGGCAATGATCCTGAAATAAAAAAAAAGGCTCTCTGAGAAAATTTGTCCAGATTTTATGAATTGAAGTCAGTATCAGCAAACCTTTGGGTTAAAAGGTGGGATACCAAGTTAACTAACACCCATGCCTCCCCTAAGGGACGCAAAATGGATGAAACCTCCTCCTCTCGATAAAGAATTAATTTTACATCTCAAACAACTGCCAATAACTTTTATTTGAATAAAAAAGCAAAAACAAAGTGTCTGTAATATCGTGGTTATGATTTGCAAGTGGATGGTAGACGATGGAGGAAGCATTCACATTGCAATCTCTAAGGGTTTTCCTCTACAAATGGAGGTCGAAGAATATTACATTACCTTCAATACCAGCTCCACACACTCGAAAAGTAAAGCTTAAACTTGCATTCACGTCCAGTTTGTAAACAAAGAAGCCGCTGCAGTTCCTCACAAGTACACTCACAGACGTCATGCAACAAACTTGCGACTTGGAGAGACATACTGATCGTACTACTAAACCTTCGTCTACACTTGGATGGTTACCCGCCAGCCATCCAGGAACGAACGTACCGCAGTGATCAGCGGGAACGCAGGTTGTAGCCATGCGCGTACCGGCTGAGCCATTGTATGTAAACCAGCCCAATAGTAAGGTATCGCTGGCGTGAACGTAGTTGGTAAAAAACCTAGATCTGCTTGCCTCGTTTAAAACTGTGTGGTTTCTGCACTCGATTGCTATAGAACAGGACAGAAAAAAAACAACTTAACATAGATCTTTTTGGTTCTCGTCTCATGAAAGCTTGGATGTTAGTGACCAAACCGAGGAATAGTAAAGGGAAAAAAAAGGCATTTCTGATTCCCCTACGACGAAACGCATCCCTTTCCATGTTTTTTAACTTAGCTTAAGGATACTCTATGGCAAGCTGGACTATTTTAGATTCATGTCCGACAAATGTCTTCTATACTGCTAGTATGTAGGATCAAAAAAGATCAAGCGTCTTAGTTCTCTATTATCAATTTAAAATAATTTATTTTTCCTTAAAAATTTCGAAACCTTATCTAACCGTTTCTCTAAAACCATAGTTTTTATTTCCAAGGAAAATGAATTTTTATTTGACTGGCGCAGCACCTTCAAGCGAATTACGGCATTTTCTCTACTGAGAAGAAATACCAGCCTGCTTTCGTTAATAATGTTCAAGCACTACTATAATATTCCACAGTTCCAGCAATTTTGGCAAGCTTAAGTAGTTTAGATCGTGTGACGTGTCCTGTGAAAAGCAGCTGGCTTCTACCTCTGTCGAAATTTTGAGTCAACTTTAAGGTACAATAAAAAAATGGAAACAACGTTACCAGGATGAGGACTGGAAATCCCTTCACGTGAAGAAAGTATGGCCACAGCAAACAGTGCAATGAAGTGGTGCAGCATCTTAGCCAGTGTGCATTATCCTGGGCAGTTTTAGGAAATAAAATTGCTTTTATCCAACAGAGAGGAAAATTTTTTATACCTTTTAAAGCTACGAAACCTCTTTTTAAAGCGCAAGTACCTTCTTTACACGAAGGTAGATTTAACTAAGGTGTGCCGAAAAGTTAATGCAATACTCTTCTAAACAGTTGTCTGAAAGATGTGATCAAATCCTCGCCGCAAAGTTTCGTGTCCAGGGTTTGACCTCATCGTACCCTTTGACTCATCGGTGAGTTTTTCAATTACTTTCAAACACGTACATGCATTTAAAGGAGCGCATAAAAATTCACTCTGGTTAGAAAAAGCGAGACCAATTTGCCCATGCATCATAGAAGATGTTTACGACGAGAGCTTGGCATATACTCAGTGGAGTATCATCAACGTTTGTCATTCTTACCTTACATCGAAGTCGTGGAACGCAATGCTAATTTGGTCAACACATGAAACTTAAAGTTTACCCGGTCAATACTATAAGCCAATAGTTCATCTTGTGGGTTTTAAACCAGCTTGTTCCGTGCAGTGCGACATTTCTCCCTCTACAGGTAACAAAGTCCTACCTGTACTTGAGTTAAAAACTTCGTATTATGTAACAACTATTGTAATAAAATATTTATAGATGTTTGTATTAAAAGCTTGGTACTTATAATTAGAAATTGAGCTGTTAAACGTATAAAATATAAAAAAATAGGTCTCGAAACAAGTACAGATTGATTTAAGAGTCACTTGATATGAATAAAAAGCTACATTACGTAATTAAATTTCAGGGTTTCAAGACAATTTCTTTCGCGGTACTTTTTCGTAATATAAAATTCGCTCCCTGAATTTTGATACCTAAAAAATTTTTGTTCATCAATTTTCATTTAAAACTCATATCTTGTTATAATTGACAAGTCGTCACGATTTCATGAAACAGGAAATCAATTAAACTCAAACGCAATTTTCCCAAACAAATATGCACAAACGCCGGGTAACATGAATTTTTTTTTTTTTGCTCCATACGTGGGCTTCCATAACCTATTTTCTATTACAAGGGAAGCAGTGTTAACAATCAGCCCAATTGCTCCTGGAGTCGAACAAAAAGACATCAATTGCGTTGTTTATGAAAGGTATCAACAGAGCATCGGTTTTAATTGAAAACAAAACTTAAAATGCTAAAAGAGCATTTTAAGTATACTAAAAAACCTCACGGAATCGAAGGCAGGCGACATTCTAGTTGCAAGATTTCCTTCTTCGAGGTTACGGCCATTTTCTATCTGGTCTAAATTGTTTTTGTTGTAAATCATGTTGGGGAAATCACTTTACCGTTTGTCGGAGTATGGATGCAACAAAACATTTCAAACATCAACAAGTCAACACGTTTCGCAATTTTTTTCCTAAATACGTTCTCTATCATCCCACTCGTCGAATCCTGATTAAGGGTTTGTTTGATTTTTAAATTTTGACGGAAGAGAAAAACCGCAGACATAACAGCTGGGATGATCAGTGACAAAAAATTTTTATGTGTGAATGACCATATCACCTGCTGCTAACAAAGTGAAAAAGCTTTAGTTAAAGCGAAAATGGATTTTGACAATTTGCGACAAAAACATTTCAACTGAATTTTGCATTATATCCCTCTTGGCGAACGAAGAAAAACAAGACAGTAAATTTTTGATCAAAAAGCTGAAAGAGAATTACCATTTTGCTTCATATACTTGTTTTGTTTTACATTTTGGATAAATAAAAAAAAAGAAAGATAAAAGATATGAAATACCTAAATGAGATGAGCGCAACACGACGCAATGATCATATTTATAATTTCCGACCATGGGTCATCTTCGACTTAGTGCTTTGTTGAAAGATGAGTGAAAAGTAAATTCAGAAATAAGGAAATTAACCGAAAAGAGAAACTAAATTCAGAAATAAGGAAATTAACCGACATTTGAATATTCTGCTCTTCAGTGACAGAAAACTAAGTCTGTTCAATTACTACATTTCTCAGAGGCGTGTTTTGGCTAATTACACGAAGTTTTCGTTTCCTTTCTTCAGTTTTGTTCTGACGAAATTTTTCAGAATAGCGTACTTCTTGTGTATCAAGAAGGTTTTTCCAGAGGGGGTTATGGAGAGAGGAGTGGAGAACAAAAACTCGAAGGTTTAGCTTGTAATAGCGTCTTGTTGGCACGTGGAGGGGCGCCACATCTCTACGTGAACCCTTCCCCCCCGCTTAGTTACGTCCTTGTTCGAGTAACTAACTGTTCCTGGCGAAATATTAAAAGCGATCGCTCCTCAGCCAAAACTCTTTGCGGAGGCCAATTTTTATGATATATACTACCGCACAGTACTTCCAGGGATATTAGTTTCCACATTTACATATTTATCTATATCTGAAGGAAAAAAAAGAAAGTCCTCGTTTTTTTTGTCTATTTAAACTATAAATGAAAATAAAGAATTTTACATTTGTATTTATTTGTTGTTAGGCTACGGACTTCGCTGCACCTACATTTATCATTTAAAGAAAAATGTGGCGCTCGTTCTTTAATGCTGATGAGGTATTTCATGAATCCTCATTTTGTCAAAAAAACAAAGGGTAACATCAATTTTTTAAGATAAAAGATCTTGAGCGAATAAAAAGCAATTATCTTGGCTAAAAGCTAAAATAAATTCGCTCAGTTTTATCGTATCCAATCTCTTAAAATGCCATAATTGGATTCCTGGCTACTTTTAATCATTTCCCGTTGGAAATTAATATTCTCCATTAAAATTCAAGTTCACTGATTGAATGCGGGTAGTATTTTTATATTCATGCTAAAATACGTCTTTTTAAGTCATACAGAAAATGAAATAATACATCTTTTTTTTTAATCACATTGTTTTCACTTGACTTTGGTTTGATATTTTTTCTTTATCATCTAAATTTTATAAAATTTTCGTATCACTGCTATATTATGTCAAGTAAGTTAGGAAATGAAAAAGTTATACCGAAGAAAAATATATAATGATTCAACTAGTTTTATAGATATTATTGTGACAAATAAATACAAATTATATCTGAGGAATTAAGGGAATTTTGATAAAACTTTCGGGAAAAGAAGTGTATTTCAAAGTTGAAATAATACCACTTTGGGTAAGGATATCTGGAAAAATCAAAGTTGTAAAATTAAAAATTCTACTTGTTAAATTAAAAGTAATAAGAGAAAACAGTGAAATTAGCCGATGATTCGGAGCTTTTTTGCAAAAGGCTTTCGGAAAAAATAAAAAATTCTACTAAATAAATTAAAAGCAATAGGAGAATACTGTCAAATTAATCAGTGTTTCGGAAATTTGTTGCACAAGGCTGTCGGAAAGAGCTTAAGTTCTTCCTTTACTCGTGAAATATCCAGAAAAAAAATTTCACAGCTATGCACGATTGAAAACGAAGAGTCATTGGCATCAGTTACGAGCTATTGTGAAAATTAGCGAAAACTATCTGAATTATTGGATCTTGAAGCTTCGTTCGGCAGTGACGAATTTAAAAACGAAAACCCTGACGTATCTCTAAACAAAGCAAAATTTGTATGACGAAATAAAAAACCCGATACAGCACAGAGTTGTTGATGAAACAGATGTCTAAAAATTAAGTCGCGAGCAAATTTATCGCCTACCTTCAAAACTTCCGCGTTTGTTCTTGCATGGACTAACACCACTACTGTGGATATCACTGCGAGTTTTCGTTTATAAGAATTAATTAGTACTAAACTGGATAGCGCGCGTATCAGAGACTTTAGCCGCTCACCTTGCGAGGCGGTATAAAGCTTAGGGACTTAACTGAACCAATTATGTTAAAATATTCAGTTTTTATGTTTATTCTGTACACCTTATCATCCTGGGAAAGTTGGAGAAACCTTTCGTTTTCCAGTTTTAGAGACAAACAAGCATAAATTACCTTTAGGTCAGCTTGATTCCTAGCGAAATCTCCTCCCTCAAATGTATGCAAATACGAAATGGAGTTAAGGGAAGAATTAATTGGTTTAATTTCCAGCGGCGTGTGGACACAGTAGGATGTGAAACTAATACAAAAATAAGATGAATAAATACTAATAAAAATCATGCGTCATTTAAAAACAACATACATTGCCTCAAATTACAACGCACCGTTTGCTACTCATAGTAAGGTATCATTACTGCAGACATTGACATCCAAATTATTTGCTTTCTTGTCTATGTGTGTGCATATGTCTCGTCCGAAGGGTCGTGTTGGGCCAGTGCTTCTCAGTCCATGGTTCAAAGCTCTATATTTTTTGGGCTGTCGCACATTTTGTACAAGAAAAAACTTCAAGGGAACTGTACTATTCTCAAACTTAAAAGCAACGTCGATCATTTTCATTACAAGAAGAAAACGACTGGTTAATGATGCGGCAAGGAACATGTTTATAAAACATGAGTAAAATGCCTTGATAACAATTTAAAACACCGTATCCAATCAATAAGAAAGAGACTATGTTCAACTTTGTCACTGAAAATTAAATCTGAACAAAAAATACAACTGTTCCATTCGAAAGAAGATAAGTCGCAATATTCCTCACGAGTAAAGTATATTTCAAGAAAAATTGCTTGGGCTTCAAAGGATTTCAATCAGTTAGGTCCTTTGAGCCTCGAAAATATGGTTTTTTAGCTCATGCAGTATCTGAGAGGTCACGTTCGAACATTGTCGAAACTTGATTACATTCGGACTTCTTCTGCAATTTCTTGGGTTGTGATTGTAATGAGACATCTAAAGACCGGTTTTCTTTTGAAAATAAGCTGAAAAAAAACAAACTAAAGCAAACAATGTTTTCCACTACCTTTATAAGCTAAGAATCCCAAGAAAAAAATAAGGAAAAATTATGGATCAAACAGAAGCAACCAAAAATTATGAAACAATACGGTGCTGTGACATTACTGAAAACTTCTGTTCTCTTTAATGAGATTTCTCTGTCTGCAGAAGATCTCGCGCAAAGACCTTTTTTATTTTCACATAAAAATACTCAGTTAAGGATTTCTTCGTAATTTATCTCAGTTGTTTTTCCAAACCCATGGTAAATTTCGAGCACGGAGACTCAGTGCGCCCGGAATGCATTCCGGGAGTGGAACTTGCTCCATTTTCTGAGCATGTGCAAGGCTGATAATTAAGTTACAAAAGTTGACTGTATTTCAAATTTGCATGCAATGATTCTTGAATTCAAATGTGACACCAGTCAAAATCGTGTTGGTTCGTTGATAACAGAAATATTCCTTACTTTAATATACACTTCTCTAGCAGAAAGTATGCATTCTTATTTTTTGCCATTTCTTCATGAATTATGTCTTGTTATTTACCGTTGTACTAATCATACTTGCGCGAGGTTTTGCACTGAACTTAAGGCTAAAGCACAGTTCACCATGGGGTATCCTTGGAGGATGTAGTTGACAGAGGGAATTTTTTTACCCATCCACGCTCCTTACACAGCCTTCTCGGTCGTAAAAGCAGAGCTACAACTGAAGCCTAACCCCTTAAATGGGTACAAAAAAGAGAGAACTGGAGAGATTTCCATGGCTGAAAGGCGAAACCCTATCTCGTGATGATAAAGCATTCGGGACGTTTGATTTGCACTTGGCGAGGAAAAAAGGTGGTTGGATAAGTTTTAAATTCCCACTTGTGTCAGACGACATCAACCCGGTTAAATCAAAAAGCACATGGGTATTAAAAACCATCCTCTTCTACTAAAATAAGGTGATTCAATCAAAATGTGAGAGGTCTGTTCCCTTCTGTTTTGATATTTAAATTATGATATTCCCCAAGTTTTATCTGGGTGTAAGCAAAGAGCTGAGATGAGATCATGATCTAGCCAGGCGTTCCATAGAGGCTGTAACTGGCTTTTTCTTTGGGTAGTATCGCAAAAAATTGGCTAAGAAAAAAAAAATCTTCAAATTTCAATTAAATATCGGCTAGTTATCTATGACAGTTTTCTTCTCTTCTGTCTATTCAAGAAAGTGTATCACCGGTGCTTTAGTAAACTTGAATCATTAGACTCTATTTATGAAAGTTGAAGACTTAGATCGTCAATTTGGAAATCTTTTTCTCTAGAACACAAGGCATTCAAGGAAACTCTTTGAAGGAACCACCATGATTAAGGGGTAAAAAGACTGAAAGCATCTTAAAAACATGTATAAAGGGGTAAGTTTCTAAAGAAACTGTGGTGCTGCGTCGGTGGGAGAGTATAGCAGGTAATTTAGTGTTAACAACTGGGTTGAAAACGTGATTCAATCACTCTGACGAAGGGCTAACGCTCGAAACGTCAGCTTTTTTACCCTTTACGGTGGCTTATTTACGTTTTCAACCCAGTTGTTAACACTAAATTACCTGATGAAATTAGGAGATCCTCGCAGCTAAGAACACTACTGAAACGAGTAGTTGTAAATAGGACCTGAAAAAAAATTTCAGGCCCGTACGAATTTTCATATATCTAAAATCTTCATTCACTTGGATGTTTATTTGGACCCAATTCATTGACCAGCTCCCAGTTGGCTTGTTAGCTCAATTGGTAGAGCGCTGCACCGGTATCGCAGAGGTCATGGGTTCAAATCCCGTACGGGCCAGAAATGTTTTTTTCAGGTCCTATTTACAACTACTCGTTTCAGTAGTGTTCTTAGCTGCGAGGATCTCCTAATTTCATCTTTCCACCGCAGTGCAAATATGTGAATTTTCATATATCTAAAATCTTCATTCACTAAATTACCTGTTAAAAACATGTAGGTTGGCCTTGAAATCAACAGCACTCTGGTCTTTCTCCTGGGAAAGCAGAACCCCTGGGAAAATAATAACTTTTCTTTCCTCAAGATAAGCCCTTCGAATGCAAAAATAGTTGAATTCTAAGTTGAGATTGTAATGACCTTTCAACGTTATCATCATGTGTTTTTCACATGGTCTCCAGTTATCAGCGGAAATAAATTTTCATCAAAGGCCCTTCAAGATCACCGATTTATTCAGGAACGATTTCTCTATGAGCAAACAAATGGTCCGACCTCATCTGCTGTTGTTGTGGGTGGCACTTCAGTTTGAACCAGGTACTAGCAAGGCTATTCTATCGACGCGGTAACGTAACACTGGGAGTCATCTAACCACTTCATGTGAAAAACTCGGAGGATAAATGCTGCGAGTTTTACGCGTTTGGACTCGGTTACATCGAGGCGATCACGTTTGCCATCGACCACATCAGCAACGACACCAACTTACTCCCGAACGTCACACTAGGATTTGACATTCGAGACTATTGCGACACCCCTGTTTTAGCCATGGAGACGGCAAACGACTTCGTTAAAAGTAATTACTTGAATGATTCATTTGAATGGCAAACGGATGCTGTGTTCAGAAGGAAGTTAAAGATGCACTTAGATAATCTAACGGTTCCCATATCTACAGTTATTGGAACCGCCATATCATTCCCATACTTTTTCTCTGGTAAGGGCGAGGATTCCAGCAGTAGTACTCAGGTTTCCAGCCTCCTTCAAGTGGCTGGGATACCAACAATACGCCCGTTTGCGGCCAGCGAGGAACTTAGTTCTCCTAACTACAACCCATTTATTCGTACCATTCTCCCTGACAGAGAGCAGGCAAAAGCCATGGTGGATATTACAGAACATTACGGGTGGACGTACATCGCAGCCGTCGCCATCGACCATTCGTACGGTCGATATGGGTTACGCGCTTTAGAAAGTATATAAAAATACAAACATGCAGCTCAAAGGCTGCGAGCATTGTATCATAGTTCATTTAACGTTAGAATAAATATTATAATCGAGACACCTTGGTAATTCTCTCCCAAAGATTTTGTGAAAGTACTTATTCTGACATCAAACGCGACATTTTACCTTGCAACTTTAGATCCACTGGTAGAGCTCAAATGTCGGTCGATTAGCACAATTTCACAACAATTACGTGGTCTCAAAAATTCTGCAAGGAAAGACGAGTTTATAAACTTAAATATTTTTATAAGCTAAGCTAAGCTCTTCAACTCCCATGAGTGATAAAGACAGAATTTCTCCCTACAATACAAATACAATATCAACTAGATAAGTAATGAGAATAGAGAAAAATATCAATTTGGGGATAATTAGTTGATCCAATACCAAATTCTCTGAACTAACATTATAAGAATTGTATGATTGACAGTAAGAAGAATTACATATTTTGATCTGGGAGTTAAAGGGTTAATTGGGATGGCAACCAAAACAACTTTGAAACCATAACAGCAATTACCTTTCCATGTAAACAAACCATAATGAAGCATGATATGAATTAATTTAATCTCACACAGTTTGAATGTAGAATCCAAAATCTAATGAACTTACTGGAGAATATGAAAAAGCTCAATGTGTTTTTCTTGCTTCTGTCATTTTAAATATCACAAGTCAATCACACCACCACTTCAGTGTGATTTTTTCAATGATTTGTACTTTTTCTTGGGAACATATGTTCTTAGGAAAAAGCTCAATGTGTCTTTCTTGCTTCTGTCATTTTAAATATCACAAGTCAATCACACCACCGCTTCAGTGTGATTTTTTCAATGATTTGTCCTTTTTTTTGGGAACATATGTTCTTAGGAAAAAGCTCAATGTGTCTTTCTTGCTTCTGTCATTTTAAATATCAAAAATCAATCATGCCACCACTTAACTCTTTAACTCCCAGATCAAATTTTATATTCTCCTTACCATCAACCTTACAATTCTTATGTTAGTTCAGAGAATTTGGTATTGGATCAACTAATTATCCTCAATTTGATATTTTTATTTATTCTCATCACTTATATGGTTCATATGGTATTGATACTGTAAGGAGAAATTCTGTCTTGGTCACTCATGGGAGTTAAAGTGTTCAGTGTAATGTTTTTAATGTGTTCTTTTTCTTATGGACATCTTATTTTAGTATCTATCTTTTACCAGCTGACATTTGAGAAGAATCAAGTCCACACAGCAGATGATTTGAAACATTGTAGGCAAACCCTAAAACTGATTAAATTTTATTTGATAAAAAACATGAAGGGTAATAGAGGAAATTAACTGGCACAATTCAAGTTTCCCTTCTTAAGTATTCGGTGATGTTTTTTCTATCATATGGTGAGGTTTACATACGGTTTCCTCATTTCACTGTCTTCTGTTCATTTGTTTATTTGCTTTCCTAACAATCTTAACTATTGTTGCCAACAAATGCAAGGCGCTCATAAAATGTGTCCAGTTTTTAACCCTTTAATCCTTCAGAGTGACTAGCATCTCCTTTCAATATCAACCCCTGAATCAAACATTAAGGTCATGAGCGTAAAAGAAATGATCACCAACTGAAGAACCTCTTGATTGTTAGACAAATTCTCTTTGCCAGCACATTAGGAAATGCATGCTGATGTTAGGGTGTTGGAGTGTTAGGGTGTAAAGGGTTAAAAACATCGTGTAATCCGTATATGTGGAGTATTGCTTGAATACATAATTGCAGTAAGTGCAAAATAGACATCTTTCTATGGTCTTCTACTCTTCCACCTTGGAGGGTGCCTTGTGTACAAAAAAAAATTGAAGTTCAGTGCCTCTAGTAGCTTTTTTGGCTACAAAGATCAACAAAGAGCAGCAGCCACACTGAAAAATATTTTTAAAGACACCTCTACAATGGTAAGTACACACCTGACATGTAAGAGTGAAACATGTCAAGCATTAAAGTATGATTGTCAATTTGCTTTTCGTTACTTGCTAACAGCTTACTTCTATCAGCTTTTAAAATTTCTGTATCCCTGCTTTCAAAGAAAATTTGAATATTAAAGACATAAGCTTCCAGCAATAGGTTTTTCCATTATAAGTGTTTCATAACATTAGATTCTTGTCGCATTTTTTGTTACATTTGAAATCATCAGAATATTTCAATCATTAAAATATAATAAAATCCCCATTTTAACCCTTTAAGTCCCTTCAGTGACCTAAACATAAATTCTCCTTACACTATCAATATGATATCAAGCAGACAAGTAATGGGAATAAAGAAAAATATCAATTAGGGTATTATTGGTTGATCCAAGGCCAAATTCTCTAAACTAACTTCACATTAAGTGTATGAATTTTATTTCAGGTCTGAAAGCTTAAAAGAAAATTCAGTTCAAATCTTTTTGCTTGCAATTTGATCATTGGATTTTCTAAAAAGAATAGGGAAAATTTTCTCTAACAGGCTTTGGAAAAAATAAATATAAAAACCTACGTTAAAATTTAACCCAAGGCTAGCACTAATCAGCCTTTGAACAACTGGGCCCAGGGCTATAAAATTAATATACTGATGTTCTCACCTGCATTCAGTCTGAAAAAGGAACTCTGCAACACTTCTGTCAGTTTATCTTCTCACCCTTGAATTAAAACATAAAGTTTGATTATTTTTAGGCAGGTTAAGTATGAAATTAAAGGAATGGATATATATCACATAAAAAGAAACCTCCTACTATAAAATAAACCAGAAGCACACTACTTACATGTCTATGTGTTACACACTCAAATCACCAGATTAATTAAACACAAGGTTGTATTTATTCGAAAACTCCGAGCACATGCTTTTCTGTTTTTTTTTCGACACCCTTTGTGGTTCATGAACTCAACAAAACATGTCACGCACTCTACACACTTCCCCGCCGAAAATGAAAGTGTTCTTCTAAATATTACAAAACTATTTATCAGAGTTCTCTGCAGCTACTGTAATTGTTGTTTGACGTTGTCTCCTTCAGCACCTTGCGTGCTTTTGATTTTTTTTTTTTTGTTTTTTTGTTTTTTTAATGTTTGGGTCTTATAAGAGGCTCCTCTCAAGCCCTCGGGTAGTAGACAGGTTGGAAACAGCATGGCCACACCCAGAAATACAGGGGTATTCCCGGATGAATAGCTGTGATAGCTGGAGTTTGAATGGCGTTAACGCGTGAACTGCTGAATACTGGCTCAGCCGACTGGTACTGTGGATTTCCCAGGGGTTGTAAGTTAAGATCTGCGGCGGTCTCCTTTGGCGCTGCGGCCGAGTCCACATGTCCTGCTCAGCAATGTCCTCTCCCTCTGATCCGTCATTGTCAGCACTTCCTTCATTTGCAAGTTGTATTTCGCTGGATGGCCCATTGGTGCCCTCAGTAGTCGCAGAATCCTCAATTGACTCTGAAGGCAAATCGCGTCCTGGAGACACTGAGTTTGAAGTTCTTACTTCAGTAGGTATTTCCTCTACAAGGTCCACACTACCGAAATCATCATCATCTTTCCCCGAATTCTGTAGGTCATTTCCCAGAAACAGACAAAGGTCGTTTCTCTACTGCTGATTTTGGGGTCGCGTACCAAATCCCAGGTTTGGGGCATCTGCTTCCAAAGCGTCACAAGGCAGTAGTAAATTCCGGTGAAGCACTCTTGCGCGGCCACCTCCACTCTCGGGCTTAACTTTGTAGACTGGGCTTTGAGCCCCCATTCGTTCAACCACAACGTGGATAGCGCACTCCCAATGGGATCGTAATTTTCCGGGTCCACCGCGCTCTGTTAAGTTTCTAACTAGCACCCGATCGCCTGGCTGAAGAACGCCACCTGAGACTCTCTTGTTGTAATATTGCTTGCCGCGCTCGGCAGTCTTCTTTGCATTCTGTTGAGCTATCCGGTATGCCTCCTTCATATCATGCTGCCAGTTTTGGACGTAAGTGTTATAATCTCCCTCTGCACTCTCTTGATTCAAATTGAAAATCAGGTCGATGGGCAGGCGGGGTGTTCTTCAAACAACAAGTAATACGGAGCGTATCCTGTCGCCTCATGCTTAGTGCAATTGTACGCGTGGATCATCTTGTTGAGTGATTCATCCCACTTTCGTTTCTTCAAATCTGGGAGTGTTCGCAGCATAGACAATAGCGTGCGGTTCATCCTCTCCACTTGCCCATTCCCTTGAGGGTGGTAGGGGCTGGTGCGAGACTTGGAAACGCCAGACAACTTATGTAGTTGATGGAAGAGATTGTTCTCAAATTCTCCTCCTTGATCACTGTGTATACGGGCTGGGAATCCGAATCGTGGTACAAAGTCATTGTAAATCTTTTCAGCCACCGTTCGTGCTGTCTTGTTTCGGGTTGGGTAGGCCTGTGCAAACCTTGTGAAGTGATCTACTATCAGCAAAATGTATTCAAATCCCCGTTGGCTTTTCTCCAAATGAAGAAAGTCTATAGACACCATCTCAAAAGGGGCAGTCGTCGTAATGCTCTCCATTGGTGCTCTAGGGGAGATTTGGGGCTTCTTTTGCTGGATGCAGTGACACTTGTTGGCGATGAAATACTCGATTTCCTCTTGCATGTAAGGCCAATAGAACCTAGATCTCGCTAAGTCCACCACTCGATCTGCACCCAGATGACCCATTTCAATGTGAAGTTCTTGGTAAACCAACTGTTTAAACTTTGTGGGTAATACTAGCTGCAATCGACTCTTAGTTTGGCGCCACAGGATCCCGTCCGCTGATATATGGAGTTTATTCCATGCTCTCAAGTAGCAAGATGTTGTACGAGTCTCATTTTTCCGCTCTCCTCCTGATGGGGGATATCCCCGTTTCTTGTAGGCCAGGATCCGTGAGATGTCGGGGTCTTCCCGTTGAGCCCTTAATATTTCTTCTAACGTAAGTTGGCGAAAAACCAAATCTGTGACGCCCGGTTCTGCGTGAGCAATGCCAACTCTTGCTGAAACTGCTGCCACCCAGGGTGTGGCGTCTGTTTCCTGATGGATCACTGCTTGACTTGTTGCACAAATTGCGTCCTTTTCCATTTCTGCAATACAGGTTTCCATGTATGCACTGAAATCTAGCGGTAGGCGGGATAGTACATCCGCGTCAATGTTAGATTTGCCAGGCCGATACTTGATGTTAAAATTAAAATCTGCCAGTTCTGCCACCCACCGGTGCCCTACTGCAGACAACTTAGCTGACGACAGAATGTAAGTTAGTGGATTGTTGTCGGTGTAAACAGTGAAGAAGGTGGAGTAGTACAAGTAATCACGGAACTTCTCAGTTACTGCCCATTTGAGGGCAAGGAACTCCAATTTTCCCGCGTGTGTGTGGTAATTTTTCTCTGCCGGAGTTAGTGTCCTAGAGGCATAACCTAGAACTCTGAGCTTCCCGTCCTGTTCTTGATACAATACAGCTCCAAGTCCCTCTTGCGAGGCGTCTGTGTGAAGTACAAATGGCTTCGTAAAGTCGGGAAATGCCATCACTGGAGGAGAAGTCAGTCGGTCGACCAGCATGTCAAGCCGCTTCTGATGTTCCTCTGTCCATGTTACCTTATGATTATTAGCCAATCGATCAGGGCCAGCCATTAGATCGTACAGGGGCTTAGCTATGCGTGAGAAATCCTGGATGTATTGCCTGTAGTAACTCAGGAACCCTAGCAGTTTACGCACATCACCCACTGTTGCTGGTTTCTGTTTCGCCAAGTTGTGTACGGCAGCCGTGTCCTCTGGGTCTAGAGAGTAGCCATCGCCGGAAACAACCCGCCCCAAATATCTAACTTGTCGTTGGAAGAACTTGCACTTTGATGGCTTTAACTTTATCCCATGTTCCTGCAGTCGACGCAGGACTTGTTGGACATCCTGAACGTGTTGCTCAAAGGTCTTACTATACACCAAGACATCATCCAGGTAGGGAATACAGATGTTGTCACGTAAGCCATCTAGACATTCATTCATGCACCTTTGGAATGCCGCCGGTGCATTCATTAGCCCAAACGGTATTCTATTCCATTGATACAATCCCCAGGGGTCACGAATGCAGTCAGGGGCGGCTTTCTTCTGTCATAAAGCCTTGGTGGTAGGCCTTCCCTTGGTCCAGAACTGTAAACCATTTGTTGCCGCCTAGGCCATTTAAGATATCCTGTATACGGGGAATCGGCTGTCGTTCTGGATATGTTTTCTTGTTCAATTCTCGATAATCAATACAAAGTCGCAGACTTCCATCCTTTTGCGAACACAGACCATGGGTGAGGAGTAAGCCGAACAGGACTTGCAGATCCAATTTCGATTAATCAAGTCTTCTAAGTACTCTTTCACTTCCCCATAGAGTGGCTTGGGGATGGAGATATAGTTCTTCTGTACTGGCTCATTGTCCTTTAACTGGAGATCAAGCACCAAGTTCTCCACGCAGCCAACCTCATCGTCGTTTCTTGCAAAGGCACCAGCTTCTTGCCGTAGCATTTCGTGGACGATCAATTGTTCATTGTCTTCTAGCTGACTCAAGTCAACTGGTGGCTCCCATCCATCTTGTTCCTGACCAGGATGCAAGGTAGCTTCAGGGTAAAAATCCTCGTCTCCTCGAGAGTACGAGTCGGGAGTATTTGGAATTGGTAGAACTGACTTTACCAGGTGTATCCGGCCCAATTCTGTTCTGCGCTTTAACAAGATGTTTCTGTCTGTATTGTTTTGGACCACGACGGCCACGTGACTAGAGGTTCCCGGGGTTATTTTCGTAAGTTCCTCGCCCAATTCCAGTCCGTCTGGGAGCTCGCTGTCTTCCTTGGGCTCAAATATTACTGGCATCCCCTCTGGAACTGGTCCGAGGTGAGTTTGACACTTAACTGTCGTTGCCTCTCCTTTTGGCAGCATAACATCTCTCTTTCCGACTTTAACAGCTGCAGTACCGGTATCCTGTGTTCTTGACTGGATCAGATTGATCAGGGTACCTACGCGAGTATGATGAATTGAAGGAATGACTGCTGAATGATGTTACTTGCCGCTTGGTGGTTTCCACCATGTTGAGCGAGGACTTCTTCTATAACATTGAAGCCAATGATTGGGTACTCTTGTTCCTTTTGTCCCACCAGTACTGGAACTGTCAGCTCATGAGCAGTTGTATCATCTCCAGCCAACTTAAACCCGACCTCAATCCAACCGTCAAATGGAATGTTTGTCCCATTCATCGCTTCCAAATTCAACTCTTCTCCTGCTCCCAACAACTCTTCAACATTTCTTAACACCTCCAGCGGTAAGTGAGTTTGTTGCCACTTCCTTGACACAACACAAACCTGGGAACCTGTATCCCATAATGCCTCCACTTCCTTTCCTTGAATTAGGCATTTTACCACGCACCTCCGTCCCACGATTTTTGTCAGTCCGAGCTGCTGCCTTGGCGTCAGGTGGCAGGGAAACGTCGTGTTCAAATCATCGCCATCATCTCCGGCTGCTTTCTGTTTCTCAAGTTCCTGTATAGCCATGCAAACTGGTTTATGCACAGTTCTGTATTTTACTTGACATTCTTTTGAATAATATCTATTGATCTTACAGGCTCCGCAGCGGTTAAGTGGTACATGGTCTGTGCTTTGTTTTCCACACTGCACGTAACGGGACTGATTTTCTTGCCTGGTCACACCCTGTCCCATGGGCGTGACCTCTGGCCGTTTCCCTGAGATTCTGCCGGAGAGCGTCGGCTGAATTGGGCATTACACTCGCGTACATAATGGCCACTCGCCCCACACCTGAAGCAATGGTTGCACGGCCATCCATTCCCACTTTGTTGGCAGGTCCTACACAGTGGGGGTTGTCTCATAGGCTGTTGTGTGAGGGGGTTTGAGCCCGGAGTGGGGCCCGAACTCTCTCTTTGACTGCGGCCACTTCTGCCTTGAGCTCCCTTAGTTCTTTCATGAGACCTTCCTCCACCCCATTATTCTTTGTCTCCTGCTTGTCCCTCCCTTTTGAACAGCATTTACCTTGGGGGTTAGCTGTGAACCGAATTTCTGTGATCGCTCCAGTTCGTCACTGAAACACACATTTAATTTCTCGAATAGTTCTTCATCGCTTATAAATTTCTTTTCCAAGTAAGGCTTCATTTCGATCTTGATATTCTCACTTTGCAGGCCAAGGGAAAAGCTATGGACAAACATGCCATGTACTAAGGTAGGATCATATTTCAGGTCCGAGTCAGTTTCTTGAGATGCAAACAAGATCTTCTGTTTCAAATCGAGAAGGCGGATCAAGAATTCTTGAGGTTTTTCCTTTGGCTGTTGTACAGTTGAGCTCAACTGATGATATAGTTCGGTTGCTGTTCTCTCCTGATAATGAGAACGCATAATTCTCCTCAATTTGGCCAGTGTTAAATCTACCTTACCCTCCAAATAACTTCTTAGGCTTAACGCCGGATTTATCGCTTTTATCACAGCCTCTTTAATTTCATCCTCTGTATAGTCGTTCTTTAAACCATTCTCAATTTGATGCACTAGCGAGGAAAAACTCAAACGATCCTTCTGCGACACGTCGCCAATCTGGCCCGAAATCTTGAAG